TGCCATCATTAATGTGGACACAAATAAACAGAGACGCGGTATTTGTAGGCGCCATTAGTGGCCGAGTACGGTCACCTCTTCGTGCATTCCAGCCATCAGTCCCATGCAGCTGATGCACCCAGCCATCACGACCACACTGACGTAATTCACTAAGTACGTCGAAAGAAGTGAGTCCCTATTGCCTGCAATAGCGGCGACAAAGCCGCACATGGATAGCAAGTCCAATCCGTAAATAACGAAAAGTGAATTTCCAAATGCACCATTCAGGTCCGAGGAACAGCGTAAAACATTCAAATAGCGCAGCTTCAACATTTTCAGTTCCCGGTAAGAAATTTTTGTTTTCATCCCAGCCCGTTCGCCTAATTTCTTGTTCCGCACCGATAAAGAGCAACGAATATCAGTCAAAAACCTCTTTGAAGATCCGGCTATACAGCAATAAACTGATGTACAGCTGCTGTGAGAGGAAATACGGAAAAGTGTTGAAAAGTACCCAAACAGCGATAAACAACCCCACCGGAATGCGTAAAGGGATAATTGACTGATCATACGCCATATTCCAGCGCCGCGGATCCCGATCCAGCCAGCTCAGCCAGTCCGCAATCTCAAACGCCAACACGGCTAAAAATGAACCAACTCCAAACACCACAGACAGCTGCTTCCATCGGTGCATTCTGCTCCGTAACAGGTCATGTTTTGAATAGTGTCGAAGAAGGTTGGCGGCCTGTTGTTGTAACGCAATGTAGCGGGTGCGTTTACACCAGCATTCCAGCAGAACAAAGAGAGAACGGATGTTACCGAAGAAGTATAGTAAATACGAGAGCATGAGGAAAAAGGGAGTACCAACAGTCACAATTTTATCCAAACGACCCAAACGAGGACCCAAACCTTGATGACCCAAACAAGGACAAGCGCGTAGTTTGTAGCGCAAAACACCATACCGATTACAAAAAAGCTGACCACGGTGACACCGTACACCTTGTTAAAGAGCTTTAATTGTTCACCGGCGCCGGATAAGAAGCCAAACAATCGAAGACAGCGTTCTTGACAAGCAAAAAAGGCAGCAACCTCTTTCTTATAATCGTAGGGTTTCTCCATGACTCAGAGAATGGGAAGCTATCACTGCATTCATCTACGGAGTATGTCGTAGTATTTTTAGTTGTCGTGACGGACACTGCACCGTCGCGTTGCAGTGTTCAAGCCAGCGGAAACTCTACAACAAGTTTGCCGCATATTTGGTCAGACGACCAGAATAAACGCTGTCAAACCATATATATTTTATTTTTTTTTTGTTGCTGCTTTTTGCCAACGCTTTCGATTGCACAGCTTGCAGTGAAATCACTAGGCGGTTCGTAATTCATTTAATGTAACGCTGGAGTGTCAACGAGGCTTCCTCTCTTCAACACTCACATTGCGCTCATATTGCTTCCTTTTGCCAAAAGGGTTTGAAACAGAATGGCTGGCAATTATTCTATGTACATGTCAGAGCAATGACACATGCAGTTGTATATATAGAGATTCTGCTTCTTTCGTTAAACTTCATATTATTACGTTGCATACAGTAGAAGTCAGAACTAATACATTGATGATTTAACAACCTCTCGTCATGGAAAGTGGTCACATCAAGTGTCCTCAAGACATAAGGCAAATATTAAAAGCGTCGCACTAAGCTGCTATCAAGTTCAGTGCTGCTACAAACGAAAATGTGCTTGTAAATTACGTCACAGTTGAACACTGGCTGCTATCACGAAAAGCCGTTTGTTTGCGACAATAACAATCAGTGCATTCGGCTTGAAATATTACTGGTTACAGCTTACAACCGAAAATAAATCCGGTGAATTCCGATGCTTGCAGACAATATGAGATTCAGCATCTCGGGGTTTGTCAGTGAATTCTTTGCATGTCCTACACAGTGTTGAGTATACCACACCATCAGATTCGTCGAACTCTTTATGTCGGTGATGCAAGGAGAGGGTCATGCTTATCTTAATATGTTCGATCACCACTTACACATATTCCGAAAACTTGTGATATATCTGCGAAGGTTTAAAGGATTGCCGTGGCATTGGCGACACGAGTGCTACAGTTGGGCATATCTGTATCATGTATGATATTGCGGGGTAGCGCTAAAATTCTGCCACTTCACTTCGAGTGATGCAAGCTTCTGTAAAATGGATCGCATCACGAAAAATAACTACTCCAACTTTTGGGGTGCAGTGCTAAACCCAGGCGGCGTAACTGCCTAGAGGCGAGTACAGGGTAATATACTGGAGCTGTAATACTATTAACCAAGCCCACTTAATCTAAGCGGCCCGTTTACGAATATACGGATAGTCTGAAGTTAATGAAAATTTCGAGCATTCACTCAAACAATGTTTGTCTCCACGGATGTTTTCAAAACTAAGATAGTGTGACAGTTTTCCCTTTAGGCTCAAGTTACACCACTTACACCTTTCAGATAGGAGAGTCGTGGGAGTAAGCGTATACAGACTGCTTAATTCGGTAGTGCAGAGCGGCAGTTGTCCATTTCCCCAACCGACACCGCAACTTGAGATCTTTTAATCCTGGCTGAATTGTTTGACTTGTATCAGTCACGATTCTGGTAGCAGCATAGGAATCCACAATACAATGTTAAAGGAATGGCGAGCCGCGAAATCAAGCAGCGCGACAGAGAAATCCGCGTTTTAGGAAGCATAATACACCTAATTTTATAGAGTAGTTTTACTAAGCTCATGAGATTTAACAGATTGTTGTGGTTGTATAAATTCGAGAGTATGAAGACAGAGCCAGGAAAAGTAGGAAAGTTGAAGCGCTCTGGTTGGCCTGAGTTTTTGCCGTATTTACGGACATCAGCGGCTACAACAGCATTAAAAAATGACACACCGCTTTCGGATAAAACTTTCAAAACTGCTACAATCGTGAATTACAATGCAGATGAATTCCTTGTGAATACATGAGAGCAGCCGTGGCATTGTCGGCATGACAGCTGAAATTACGGTTGCCTGCCGTCTCCTCGGTGCTCTTTGTCCGTTCCAGAACCTCGCTAAGCACAATTGTAGATGATATGATAAAGGTCACGGTCTGCAAAGCAACTACTTGTTTGCACGTGCCAGTTCTATAAGTTTAACGTGGTACTTACGCCGACAAGAAAACTGCGCGTAACACGGAAAATATCGGCACCCCTGAATACTACAGGATGATCACGAACCAGCGTAATGAAGCTGCCCATATATGATTCCAGCTAAGCCGTACGAAACGAGGATTTAATTAGGGTAAGTTTTCTGTTAACTTTAAGCAGCCGCATTCGGAAAAATAAGATCTACCTGACAGTGTAATAGCCTTTAGTAAGTATCGTCATGTAAGTACAACTTGACAGTATGTCATACCTGAAAGACTGCCGTTTGTGAACCAGTTTCTGCCTGCTCCATTGCTTCATATAACGCCAGACCAAGTGCTTCGCACTACAACCATGAAACCTTAAAGCGTTTTACGGTTAGGTAATAATGTCCGCATTACACTTACGGGTTTACGATATGCACGAATATTTGTCGTATCGTTTACTCGTATGAATTAACAGATGTATTTAGCGGCGTTTGTTAGCTGTGCAAAGTCACCTCTTCGTGCATTCCAGCCATCAGCCCCATGCAGCTGATATACGCACAAAACACGACCACACTGACGTAATTCACCAAGTACGCCGAAAACTGCGTTTCCCCATTGGCTGCTATCGCTGCGACGAACCCGCACATGCCCAGCAAGTCCAATCCGTAAATAACGAACAGCGAATTTCCAAATGCATCATTCAAATCCGAAGAACAGCGTAAAACATCCAAATATCGATGCTTTAGCATTTTTACTACCGAGTAAGAAATTGTGGTTTTCCCCTCAACACGATGTCCAGTGACCTCTTCAAATGACTTCTTATTTCGTACCGGTAAACAGCTGTGAATATCAGTTAGAGCTTCTTTCATTATCCGCGAATACAACAGTAAACTGATGTACAGCTGCTGTGAGAGAATGTACGGAAAGTCATTGAAAAGTGCCCAGATAGTGATAAACAACCATGCTGGAATGCGTAAGGGCATATATGACTGATCATACGCCATATTCCAGCGTCGCGGATCGCGATCCAACCAGCTCAGCCAGTCCACAACCTCAAAGGTCAACACGGCTAGAAACGAAGCAATCCCGAGCACCACAGACAGATGCTTCCATCGGCGCATTTTGGCCAATAAAAGGTCTTGTCTTGAGTGATGACCAAGAAGAACAGCGGCCTGCTGCTGTAATTTGATATAGCGGGCGCGTTTACACCAGCACTCCAGCAGAACAAACAGAGCACGGATGTTCGTGAAGAAGTATGGTAAATACGAGAGCATGAGGAAAAAGGGAGTGCCAAACATCGTTATTTTATCCTTGATGAGCCAGATAAGAGAAAGCGCGTAGGTGATTGCGCAAAAGATCCCGCCGATTAAAAAAATGCTGGCCGCACTCACATTGTACAGCTTTTTGAAGAGGCTCGCTTCATTGCGAACGTATAAGAAGCCGAACAACCTCAGACAGCTTTCTTGCCAAGCAAACACGGCAGCAATTTCTTCCCTGTAATCGCCTACCTTCTCCATGCTTGTGCTGACAGTAAGTTGTGTGAGAACTCTCACTGCATCAATTCAAGCATATTACTGTATGTTGAATCATGGCATGAACTTGATGGAAGCATGGATAGTTAACGCGCTGTCTCGACAGATCGTACTGGGAGAAAATTTTCTCAGTTGTCTGTGCCATATTTGAGTACATCGTCAATACGAACAGTATCAAACCAACAGGGGAATCATCTCGGTCTCAGGTGGCGCTTTCGAAATTAAAACGAAGACAAGGGAATAATGGGATTACCCAGCGTTGTCTCACAAATTCTCCAGGAATAGCCCCAGAATTGTTCGCCGTAGAGTTGTATTGTTACTCGTAACTGTTACTCGTAATAACTGCCTTATGTTACTTAAGTAAGTAGGTAACAAAACTTCATTTTTATTTCCAATTAAGCAGGTAAAACTGGTGTCTATGAACCCATAATTTTGGTAAGTGATAAAGGTGGATCTAGATAAACACCAAGCGGCATTCTAAACTAGACGCCTTTCTAATGTTGATTCAAGCAAACAACATGAGTCTAGCCCCAGTTATTCGCTAAAACATCCAGCATAATTGGCGGTCTCTTCCACACCGAAGATTCTCAACAATTTCGTGTAGATGTCCAATCTCTCTGGCATTTCTTCGTACTCCTGACATTCCCGGCCACCGGTAATCGCCTTGGTTGAGACACCGAATTTTCCATCAGCAATACCGGGCTGGTTGTGCACTTTGTTGGCCCAGAACCAGAACGCGGTGTCCCACGCAGCCGGCGCATCCTTTACCAGCTCCGGGTTCTCCACCAGTCGATTGTCCTCGTACAGTCCTTGTGAGGCTTCCTTATACGCCCAGTAGCCGCGCAGCATTAGGTAACCGCGCCCGTGATACTTTAGCTCCGGGTTGTTGGGGTTCTTCTCATACGGTACGTAGTTCCCATACGGTCCACTGGGTCCTCGCTCTTCCGTGGCCCCCATGCCTTCGCTTTCGTGGAATACATTGGCAAGGAACATGGCCAGTTCCCGTTTGGTGGTGATCTTGCCTTTGGGTCCGGCATCGCGCATAATTAGCTCATACTGTTCATCCGTGGGCGGTTTGTAGCGCCAGTAACCGATGGTTGTCACTGCCCTTTGGAACTCATCGCGTGTAATCAGATTCCCCGCTTGAACGCTGTAAACCTGCAGGAAATGTAAGAGCATACGAAAACCATGATAACAGATGTAGTCGTTAATTAAATTCCACTTGAAAACCTATATACCTCATCAGCAACTAGATTAAATTTTTTTTAAATTTACAAACAAACAGTTTAGTGATTATCTGTAGAGTGTTTCTTTTGTACAAGTATGTACGTTTTTACAGAAATACACTTATAATAGCTTAAGTACTGCCCGACAGGCACTCTTCTTTCGTTACGATCGGCATAATTACATGGTTTTTTCACAGACACCCGGAAAAAATTAGCAAGTTTTTATTGAATCACGTACCGCACTCAGCAGGAGGATGCCCACCACGAAATCCATTTTCCGTTACGTCGTTGCGATTCCCACAATGGCGACCAGAATAAAATGTAGTAGGAGCTACTAACCGCACACAGCAAATGAGCGCCATTTATACGGTTTCCGCTTTCCGGTGCAGGATATCAGCGACCTTGATCTTTTTTCAAAAGATTGTGGTGAGTGATACAGCAAGTGCACGCTACAATAATAATAATTATGTGTATACTGCAGTGGAAACGCTCGTCCAGGTATCACATGTTGAACAGCCAGTAAACAAAAATGTCCCGTTTTCCACCTATGGTTTGCCTTTGCGTTCAAGACGATGATACTCGTAACTGATACAGTAGCGGTTCGCAATCGAAGATAGAAAGGCAAAGTAGCGGTAGCGCTGCGTACAGCGGTGAAAGTGGTGAGCTGATACAGATTGCAGATAAACCGGTTCCATTTCACGAGGTATGTACGTAGCACAGACGTTTGTACCGTGTCCTCTTTTCTACAGACTGTAAGTCCAGTCTGTCAGATCTCACGATAGGAGTAAGAATTCTCACGCTCAGCATACAAGAGTACAAGACCACCTGATGAAAATGCAGCCTTATACCACTTCCGTATACTGTTTAATGCTTTATACAGGCACATTAATGTTGGGCTCTATCGTGTTGGCATTATGATAACCAACACGATAGAGCCACTCATCAGCACATGCATGGGCATCACAGGACATGTAACCGGACATGAACATCCGCAAAGAACCGTAAAACCACTGTCCGCCGTTGACTCACGTCTGTTGCAAACCATACCTGAGTGCATGCAGCAAAGTTCAATAAAACTAGTGGGTCAACAGCGCAAGTTAAATTGTAAAGCTGGTACACGTTTTTATCCCTTCTTTGTTTGAGTGAAATATGTGAAACCGGGTTCTTCTGTGTCAGTAACTTCCATCTTGCCACAATGGTCTGGTTGCTGGTAAGTCGTAAACGCACACTGTTGAATCGGTAACTGGTAGGAATAGTTTACTTTTAACGTTGCTCGTTAACATTGAATCTGATTTTTTGCTGCAGACGTTTTGTTTATGGCTGTTAGCAGCGGTTGGCAGTGAATCACTGTAAGTGCTGACTAATACTTCGTGTCTTGCGTACCAAGAACTGAGCGAGGGTTGATACAACCACAGAATATTCTACTCTGTAGGATCCCCTCTGCCGAACAACATGAAAACAGAACTGTTGGGTCTCGGTGTCGATGCATCCCAGGAAATTCCTGTTGGCCAACAGCGGAACAGTGGCACGCGCTTAACACCAGCATTAACGGGCGCATGCTTATTCCGACACCAACAGGTATATAAAGCGCGTAATGTAGTGCTGAATTGAAACCTTTCGTGAAAAATTTATAAAAATCTTTTTATCGAGAAAACAGCCAAGCGCTGCTATTTGTTGACACGGTGGCTCTGATCAGTTTGAAACAGTGATGCGTTTTTGTAATCCAGCGGTTCCGTGCTATGATGGCCCGCTGTTTGACTCAAACCAGTGCGAGGATATCCGGAGAAACTATAACAAACAAGGCTACTTAATTAACAAACCCGGTAGCATGCACCTCTTTAACTGGGAGGATGCGGGAGAGCAGCGGTGCCCGTTGAAAAACGATCTGACCCCCGCTGATCGCTGTCAAACCGGCAGCGTTCCGGCCTACGGCGTGGATGCGCACAGCGTGGAAGATATCCAAAAAGCGGTGGCTTTCGCGCATGAACATCGCGTACGAATTGTGGTGAAGAGCACCGGGCACAATTATCTCGGGCGCAGCACGGCACCGGGAGCGTTGATGATTTGGATGCGGAATTTTGAGGGAGAGATACAGACTAACATGACCTTTACAGCCAGTGGTTGTGATGAGAGCGCTCGGCACAGCGGCCCTGTTGTCACAGTGCGAGGCGGAAAAACCTGGGGAGAAGTCTATACAGTGGTAAGGGTATGGTAACGAAACTTATTATTTGTTGCCCGCATTTGATCTGGATTTTCTATTGATAGAATTGTTTTATTGCAAAAACCATTTGCACAGCATTAGCAAAACTATTTATATTTGTTGTAAAATAGTCACTTGTTTTTTGTTGAAATACCTATTTTTGTAAAAACATTTTTGCAATTACGTTTTTATAGGGAGAAAGTAATTTGTTGTTGCAGATTGAGAACAGCCTTAATCGGACATACGGTATTGTCGGCGGATTCTGCAAGGATGTTGGTGCGACCGGTGGGTACGTTCTGGGCGGCGGCCACAGTCTTTTATCACCCGCCTTTGGTCTCGCTTCGGACAATGTCCTGGAGATGACAGTTGTCACCGCAGACGGTCAGTTACTGACGGCCAACGCTTGCCAAAACAAAGACCTATTCTGGGCATTACGCGGCGGCGGCGGTGGCACCTTTGGCATCGTCACGTCCGTCACCTACAAACTGCACCCACTCCCCAACGGGCTTATTGCCTATTCCATAGAAATCCTGAATGCAAACAGAACGGGACAGTTGTTACCGCAGCACGTGGAGGATATTTTCGAAATTTTGGCACGCCATTCGTCGTCATTGGATACGGTTGGTTGGGGTGGCTTCTTGGCTTTTGATCCGCGCTTCGGTTTCACACTGGTGTTCTTAAGTCCGGCTGATCTACTGAATGCCGCAGCACCCATGGAAGCTCTAAGAGAAGAGTTGGTTGGTTTCGTAGCATCTAAGGAAGACCTTTATATCGGACCATTCGCTACTGCCGGAACATATTCTCAACATTTCGGCGGTTTTCAGGTACTGTAGTGGCTCGCACATCTTGAACCACAGAGTTCGTGTACGGGAAAAAAGTGCATCCAATATACACACTCTAACCGGGCAAAATGCACGGCGGCGAAATGATGCTTGATTTTGACTTCAACATGAACACTCCTTCTGAATCTGTCCAATTAATTAAGCATTTTCATTAAAATTGTAATTCACCTTAGAAAGAAAAGATCTGTATTTGAGAGCTCGAATTGTTCTATAGCTGCAGCATGTGGACGCTGAACGTACCCCTCACACTGCAGGAGCACCCCAAAAACCACAACAAATCAGCGCTAGAATTCGAGCTGACGGCAAAGACTTAAGTTAATGGCTGCTTTTGAGCATAAACATAGTTATTAATTGTTAGAGCTCTAATTTTTTTAAAATTCAAGAAGGTTCTCCAGACCAGATGTTGTGAAACATCAGAAATTTATCAATGCACACCAACTGCGAATCGTGCGTTTGGCCCTGTTAGAGTGTGTACACTGGATGCACGTTTTTCCCGTACACCAACTCTGTGGTTCAAGATGTGCGAGCCACTACAGTACGTCATACGTGCACTGTGCAGTGTGCACCATGTAAAGGTTACGTTCAAATTAACGAACATGTGTGCGTAAAGTGCAATAATTTAGGATAGGTACTGTAATCTTTTTCACAGCTAGGTAATTCCGCTTTCATACGTGATTACGAGTCCGTGTATAAAAGTACGTATAAGAATCACTCGACACATCGGGCAGAAAAACCGGTTTTTGAGCGAAGACAGATAATCGTAATCGGCTGTATGCATGGCCAGAGTGGGCGTCGACTTTCCTTAAAATTTTATTGGCTGATCTGTTGGTCTGAATGTGTCCTAATGTGTACAATAATGACTGGAATTTGTCATTAAATTGGTGTAATTTTTGCAGGATTGGCTAGCGTGGATTGCCACCATTCCGCAGTTTAAAGGCTACAGTGCCGGTGCGCGTCTGCTGTTAGGTACACGTTTAATCCCGGAATCCGCCCTGACTGAGCCACGCACTCTCGCCCGGACCCTTGTAGCCGGAGCGATAAAGAACGGTTTTTCCGCGGGCGTGGATGCTTTGATGGTGGCTGGCAGCGCTGTGCGCAATCAGCATCGCTCCACTCAAGAGTCGTCGGTGTCGCCAGCATGGCGTAGCACGGCTTGGGTGGCATTTCTAGTCACCAGCTGGGATGCTGCAACATCCGAGGCGGCGATCACCGCGAAGAAAACGGCACTGAATGATGGGTTGCAAGTGTGGAGGGATATTTACCCCGATTCCGGTGTGTATTCCAATGAAGTGTGGATAGATGAGCCGAACTGGCAGCGCGCTTCCTTTGGCAGCAATTACGATCGGTTGCTGAGTATTAAACGACATGTCGATCCACGCGGAATGTTTACCTGTACAATGTGTGTCGGCAGTGAAGATGTGGAACTGTCTGAAAATTGCGCATGATACGTACACTTTATAGATCCTTAAGCGTCTTTCTGGTGCTATTAATTCAGATTATGCAAGCTCGATGCACATAGCACATGCCAGCCTAATACAATGAAAACGAAACGAAGGAAAATTAATATGAAGTTTATTATGTACCGGAAATACCTTTACCATACGTTACCGTTAAGTAACTTAAGTACTTATACGAGTATTACCTGGGTACTACACTGCAAAAGTTACTACAGCGAAAAAGGACCATTATACAATACGTAAATTACACAAACCATTATTTTTCACTCCCTCTAAAGCTTAATCCTTCCACTGTTCCCCATAATTGAAGTAAAAGTGGGAGGTTACGAAATTGAGCAAGAATAGGTTAAAATTAGAGTTATGATGCTGCTCCCCGAATTCGTTATGTTTGTCGCAAGACGGTTTGTCACAAAACGGTTTCAGACAAGGCCTTGGCCCATGACGATACGTACCAAAAAAGTTGGTATTTAACTTGCGAAGCTACCGTATTAAAGTAAAAATAATAATGTATTAGTAGTCGTGCGATCGTACAGTACGATACTAGTACTGCTCTCTTGGCTGGCGCGCTTTTTAAACCGGTTAGTACTAGTAGTACAATACCGTAGTTATATGAATACTAAACATCTCTTGCAGGTGTTTGGCCTCTGCTGTTAGACCGCGGTAATCTCAGCTTCTATTCATCCGATTTTCCTGCTTTAAAATGTTCTAAAAACCTCTAGGTCTAGCGGGTGATCTAAGACCAATCGCTGTTGCCAATAATCAGAACCTCAAGCCCAATGGTCACTCAAAAGCTTGTTACCATGGATGCCATAGAGCTAACATGGGCTATTCTGTTACCACGGTCACATTACAGTGTACTTACGATTAGTTAACTTAAACAGGAAACAGCTTCGGCTTCGCCTCTGCGTTTCCTGCAGTCCACGTTCAGATTAAAAAATGATCAAACGAATGCACGGTTAGATTACTAGCGTCTAATCTTTCAGCCTTTGTGTTTCTCATTTTGCTAGCCTCCAATAAACGGGTTGACATTCTAATGTTATGACACAGAATTTTCTGAATAGTCGTAAGCCAATATTCATCCGTGCTCAGCTTGTTATTAATATTAACTACATCCGTAACAGCCGTGACGGCCTTTGCTAAGAAAATTATGTTTGGACGAACGGGTAGGCCGATTTTGACGCGGTAAAGTGCGCCAGAATCGTCGCAACGAAGCGGGTGATGTTGCGCTATTGCCGACCCGATGCGCCTCAAGGGAGAAGCAGGTGCCTCAAAAAACAAATTGTTGCCATGGGCCTGACAGCCTCGGCTTCAGATATCGCTTCCATTTCGGTAAAGCAAAGTATTGTTAACAATATTAACTGCTTATTATTTCCGGTGTGAGGACTATAAAAAGACGCATAACTCCACACCCAGATATCCGTACGCATGTGGCAAGTGCACTTATACGACAACCGGATATTTTAGCTGCGTCGTACAGCGCAACTGCGCCGCATGCGTTCGGAATGCTGTGGGTGGGATTATGCGTTTTTTTGTCCATGCTGTACAGGGCGCACCTCGCTCACCGACCTCGATGCGTAAAAAAAGCAAATGTTTTCCACAAACCTCATAAAATTATGCGCCGTAACGCCACGAAGCTGGTTGCGGATTTAAGACATAAAATGACCCCTTATTTGTCACTACCGTTATTGTCCCTTTATTATCGAACTTTTTAACGATTGTATAATTTAGGACATAAAATGACCCCCTATTTGTCCACTACCGTTAAATTCAGCATTCGTCTGTTTTCCAATACAGTACTTCAAAATTACAGAAATAAAAATATGGTGGTGGGCCTGCAGTGGTGTATGTGGGCCTACACGCCTCGACTTCGGACCTCGCTTCAAACTAAGTATTTGTAGTAGTTCATGCAAAATATTAAGATTTAAACAACGCAACGCGCTTCGACCACCGAATCGAAGCGCTAAATATACGAAAAAAGCCAAAACCAGGCGCCACCCAAGTAGTTACTAGATTATTATTACGGATGTAGTCCTCCGTAGACTGGTTATATGAATACTAAACATCTCTTGCAGGTGTTTGGCCTCTGCTGTTAGACCGCGGTAATCTCAGCTTCTATTCATCCGATTTTCCTGCTTTAAAATGTTCTAAAAACCTCTAGGTCTAGGGGTTGATCTAAGACCAATTGTTGTTGGCAATATTCAGAACCTCAAGCCCAGTGGTCACTCAAAAGCTTGTTACCATGGATGCCACAGGGCTAACATGGGCTAGTCTGTTACCACGGTCACATTATAGTGGTCTTACATAGTTAACTCAAACAGTAAACAGCTTCGGCTTTGCCTCTGCGTTTCTTGCAGTATTTCACTTGATCACTGTCGCACCTTGCGGGCCAATGCACTGAGCTGTATCAATAGTTCGGTCAATCTCGCAGCCCAGTTCACTAAACAGTAATACTGCGACGTAATTCTGCGACTACTAGTAACAACAGATCCTAACTCACTTATTTACAGTACCTAGTCGTAAGCCAAATATTCATCCGTGCTCAGCTTGTTAACTACATCCGTAACAGCCGTGACGGCCTTTGCTAAGAAAATTATGTTTGGACGAACGGGTAGGCCGATTTTGACGCGGTAAAGAGCGCCAGAATCGTCGCAACGAAGCGGGTGATGTTGCGCTATTGCCGATCTGATGCGCCTCAAAGGGGGAGCACGACCCTCAAAAAACAAATTGTTGCCATGGGCCTGCATGTCGCGGCTTCGGACCTCGCTCCAAACTAAGTACGGTACTAGTTAAGCACAGTGTTGTGACTTAAGTATCTTCTCCGTTGCGTAAAGGACACAACACTCCTCGGCCACCGGCCTCGATGCGCAAAAAAAAACGAAATTGAATCGCTAAAACTAACGCCGATCGCCAAACCGACGCCGACGAATTAGATACGGATGTAGTGCTCCGTAAACTGGTTATCTACATCCGTAACATCTTAATCACGAGTATGCTTTGTTCCGAATGATTGGCCGAACGGCTGGGCCGATTTTCACGCAGAAAAGTGCGTTAGAATCGTCGCAACGACGCCGGTAATGTTACGCAAATGCAAAACCGATGCGCCCCAACGGGGAAACAGAGGCCCCAAAAAACAAATTGTTGCCATGGGCCCCCATAGACGGACGTGGGCTAATCTGCACAGTCGCAGCGACAGAGGCGGCCCGCGGCCTTCGGCATCGCTTCGGCGAAAAAAATTAAAAAATCGTAAAAGTACGACAAAATAATAATGGTGATCAAACTGGCGATTAGCGTAATCTGTATTCTTTGCCTTTCTTAACTTTCTTGCTTTCGTAGATTTTTTAGGTTTCTTAGGTTTCTTATTTTTCTTAGGTTTCTTAGGTTTCTTAGGTTTTATTCGATTTTCTGAGGTTTCTTAGGCGTCTTACAATTCTTACGCTCATGAAACTTTTTGAATGCAGAAGATTCGTATACTTCATTAGCTAAAAAATTGCGAAACCTTCGAAACTAAAGTACGCTGCGACAATACGTACGGATGTAGATCCCGTAAACTGGTTATATGAATACTGTACATCTCTTGCAGGTTTTCGGCCTCTCCTGTTTGTTACCTATGTTCTCAGCTTCCACTGAGCCGATTTTGCAGCTATAAATTTTCACAGAATCCTTTCAAAACGTAGAGTAAAACAAAGCTAGTAGTTTTTTCACTCTCACAAGCAGGATAAGCCCAGTGGTCACTCAAAGGCTTGTTGCCATGGATGCCATAGGGCTAACATACGCTTGTCCGTCACCACGGCCAATTTAGGGTTTAACAAGAAACAGCTTTGGCTTCGCCTCTGCGTTTCTTGTGGACCACGTACCGAGTGAACGAATGATTCGGTTAGTTTTAGAATAAAATGAAAACTAGCAGCCAAGGCACAAGCGAAACAAACTTTAATGGCGAAAGGTCAACATTTGTAGAACCGGGCATCAGATCTAGATACTGGCCTGATCGACCTCACCTCATAAGAAAAAGTGCCAACTGCTAACGTAATAGATAATGCCAGTAAACGTCCGCTTGTTGAATAGTCACCAAACTAAATGCAGAAACAGGAAAAATTTCAGCTGATTCAAACGCAAGTTGACCGCAGAGCATTCTCGATGTCACCAGTTAAATCTAATAAACTGAAGGCGACCTGTTGTCTTATACTCGTATTAAAATTAACTGGTTTCAAACAAATTCATAACTGCTATTAAATAACTACTGCTTTTTCGAATACAGTCATAACTGCTAAACTATGAAATCGTAACTACTGTCTCCTCGAACACACTGCAACTTTTGAATTTAGTCTATTTACCCAGTCGTAAGCCAATATTCATCCGTGCTCAGCTTGTTATCTACATTCGAAACAGTTATGACAGGAACTACTGACCAACGCGATGTTTGGGCGAACGGGTGGGCCGATTTTGACGCGGTAAAGTGCGTTAGAATTGTCGGAACGGCGCGAAGGTTCATACGCTATTCCGAAATCGATACGCCCCAACGGGGAAACAGGAACTTCGATAAACAAATTGTTGCCATGGGCCTCCATAGACGGATATGGGCTAAGGCTTTGCACAGTCTCATTGACAGAGATACACCGCGCACATCGGTTCGTTAAAAAATCACGAAAAAAATTGGAAAAAATCTTTAAGAAAACGGAAGACACGACCACAGTTCTTCGAAAACATTCGCTAAAAACAATATTCAGGGAAAAATCGCGGCGTAATACGTAGATTTGCGAGTTTTCTTAGGTATTCTTACGTATTCTCCTATAATTAAATTATGCTGTAATTAAATACGAACGACCTTTATTCATTACAATTTACCTAATTCTTAGGTTTCTTGGGTTTCCAAGGTTTTCTTAGGTTTCTTAGGTTTCTGAGGTTTCTGAGGCTTCTGAGGTTTCTGAGGTTTCTGAGGTTTCTGAGGTTTCTGAGGTTTCTTAGGTTTCTTAGGTTTCTTAGGTTTATGAGATTTCTTAGGTTTCTTAGGCTTTCACGCATTTATTATATTTTCACACTTTCTTGGCGGAATTAACCGGTGCGGTGTCGATTGCGACGATGCAAACTTTCGCCGCAAAAGTTGGGTACGGATATGAAACCCGTTAGTTATTTGCCAAAAATAGAATTCGGTAAAGAGTTGTGCGCGAATGTAGATTTCCGTATACTGGTTATATGAATACTGTACATCTCTTGCAGGTTTTCGGCCTCTCCTGTTTGTTACCTATGTTCTCAGCTTCCACTGAGCCGATTTTGCAGCTTTAAATTTTCACAGAATCCTTTCAAAACGTAGAGTAACACAAAGCTAGTGGTTTTTTTACTCACACAAGTAGGATAAGCCCAGTGGTCACTCAATGGCTTGTTGCCATGGATGCCATAGGGCTAACATGCGCTTGTCTGTCACCACGGGCAAATTAAGGTTTCACAAGAAACAGCTTTGGCTTCGCCTCTGCGTTTCTTGTGGGCCACATACCGAGTGAACGAATGATTCGGTTAGTTTTAGAATAAAATGAAAACTAGCAGCCGAGGCACAAATGAAACAAACTTTAATGGCGAAAGGTCAACATTTGAAAAACCGGGCACCAGATATTGGCCTGATCGACCTCAACTCATAAAAAAAGTGCAAACTGCTAACGTAATAATATATAATGTTGGCTTGATGCCCGCTTGATGACTAGTCACCAATTTGAATACAGAAACAGGTAATTTCAGCAGATACAAACGCAAGTTGACCGCAGAGCAATCGCTGTGACCAGTTTAATCAAATAAACTGAAGGCGATCTATTGTCTCATATTCCAAAACTATCTCTTTTCAAACAAATTCCTAACTGCTAGTGAATTACTACTGCTACCAGTGCCAGAGCTGGTCCGATAAGTCATCGGAGACCGCCGCTGTGTCCGATAACTCCGATAATTCCGATGTTTTCATCGGAAAAAGCGGTATCGGAAAAGTTCTGTAGCGCATCGTAGCGGATCGGAAAAATTGTTTATCGGGCGGAGCTGCAAAATCTTTAGCGTAGCGGAAATTTCACCCGATAGAAGCAAAAAAACGTAGTTCTAAAGGTTTTCGACGAACTTTTTCAGAAAAAAATGAGTCAGAAGGTGACTTTCTAAGTTGGTGCCTCACTAAAAGACGTCACGAAACTAATGAAGCGCACTTTCCGCCAAAATATAGCAGCTTATTTTTTAAAATCGTAAACTGAATTTTGTGAAATGCACTGGTGAATGCCGGCCTGCGCGAATTTTCACTTGAAAGTTTTGGTTTTTTTTATCGGATCATCGGATTTATCGTATCGGAAAATTTGAGCAAAATCGTAGCGGTATCGGAATCGTATCGGACATTTTAATTATCGGAGCGGTATCGTAGCGGAGGCGAAAAATTCATATCGGACCAGCTCTGGCTACCACAAAATATACAGTCATAACTGCTAACTATGAAATCATAACTACTTCCTCCTCGAATACACTGCAACATTTGAATTTTAAACTAGTCTATTTGCCCAGTCGTAATCCAATATTCATCCGTGCTCAGCTTGTTAACTACATCCGTAACAACCGTGACGGCGTAAGGTTAAAAAACCTATGTTTGGGAGAACGGGTAGGCCGATTTTGACACGGTCAAGTGCGTTAGAACCGTTGCAACGGTGCAAAGGTTCATACGCTAATGCGGAACTGATACGCCCCAAGGGGGAAGCAGGAACCCCAAAAAACGAATTGTTGCCATGGGCCTCCATAGAGGAACGTGTGGTGATGCGGAATAACAAAGGCAGCCCGCGGCCTTCGTCATCGCTTCGTTAACAATTACAAAAAAGCCCGACAAATATGGTAATTAGGCTGCCGATTAGCGTAATCGCTTTGTTTCTCACGATTCTTACGTGCCATAGGGTTCTTAGGTTTATTTGGAGTTTCGGGTTTATTAAGTTTTGTAGACTACTTATGTTCTTAGGCATTCTTAGCGTTTTCTTAGATCTCTTAGGTTTCTTAGGTTGCACAGTGGGCGGAATTAACTAATGCGAAGTGTGCACTGCATAGCTGTTGGCCGTCGCAAAAATTGTGTACGGATGTAGTCCTCCGTAAACTGGTTATATGAATACTAACTAAGTAACAAGGGTCCTCGACACTTTGCCGTTGTACTCAATGTTCTCCCGTTCTACGCATCCAATCTGCACGCTCTAAAGTTCTACAGAATCCTCTCAGTGTCGAAAGTAATCCTGCATCTTCAAATTTCTGGAAAGCCCAATCCCTACAGTCCAGTGGTCACTCAAAAGCTTGTTACCATGGTGGCCATTATCTTAACATGGGCTGTTTGTAAATTCCCAGATTGTTACTATGTGTTATTATATCGAATTGTCATTGGAAATTAGCGAACTGCGAATTAGAAAAATAACAGGTTCTGCTCACGCCTGTTTATTTTGTTCGTGCCTCCTCATTGTAATAAACATCGTGCCATTATTTAATACATATGCAGTTAACCTTTTTACATGCTCGAAATCCTAAGACAGTATTCATCCGTGCTGGGCTTGTACTTAATACTTATACTCGGTATTCGTATAGAATATCTATAGATATACAGATATAGCGTACTGCCCACCATTAATTTTTGGAGTTATTATAGTAAAATCATTTTCCTGATATTATATCGTCAAGTGCGTTTGATGTAAAGTCGTGCGGCCAAGGTTAAAAAGAGGAAGGAATAATTAAATGAAGGAATGTTTTTTTTTGTTGAGAAAGTGAAAAAAGTGTCGATGGTCAAAAAAGGAAAGAATTTTCTGTGTGACGAAAAACTTAAACGTGGGCGTTATAATATTATATCCAGGCTCCGTACATTACGAGTACAATAGTAATTATCAATAATGTTAACAATGTCACTAATTAGTAAAGTAATGATTACAGTATTGCAGTCCTATATCAATGAGTAATTATAGCATCTTACATATACTGAGTATAATCAGTATTATTCAAGTATTATTCGTTCTGTAGTACTGGCTAATAGCTAACTATCATAATTTGTTGTTGATGAAATGTTCATCATGCGTACTGGGTAAGATTATCGCTATAATTATAATTGCTCATTAAAAAAGTGGTCGCAGCGTTTTGTAGCAGTTGCACATGCATAAGTTTCTGACCAAGTGAACTTTCAGTTTCTACAAAGTACTATCATGCGTCTAATGAATTAAAATAATCTGTGAGCTTAATAATTACTCGTATGATGGCTTGAACTGGGACCGGTAACCTTTCAGGCTTTCACGTTAATAACTCGCAGTACAATAATTTGAAGATGTACCGATTGCACTTTAAAGCACTTTAAAGCGGTAAATCGCAGCAATGTTTGGCGCTTTCCAAATAGCCCGCTTGATGCAAATATGTGATGCGTCAATGGCGTGCAACTACAATATTTGGTATTTCACGACGTTCAAAGTTCAGTTTTTTTCTGCATACTGTACTTCACAGATACAGTCGGTACAGGCGCCACATCTTTACGTCATGTTTCAACAAAGAACCGAGCTATTCAGACATTCGGGTATCTTCCAACGCCCGTACAGGTTTTTTGTGCATAACGCGCAGCCGATAAGGGCCGGTAACGTGTGTCATCACGATCCGGAGCTTGTCTACGCTCCGAATGGTCAAAACAACCATACCGCACGTATTCGAGATACCGCGCTGCACAGCTCCGTTTTTCAACATACCCGTTCTTATCTCTATGAATCATAACTTATGCACCATAATGCGCTGCACTGGCCGTAAACCAGCCAACAGAGAAAGATGTCTGATTTTCATTTTCGTATGGAATGGCAGTATCAGCTGCAAGGAGGATATCATTTTTTGAATGTGGGGCTGCCCGGTAAGACATCAAAGGCAACCGCCGTTGATGCTTATTCTTTGACCCAAAGGCTGACTCAGGCTCTGCATGATCCAACACATCAAAGCGCATTACATTACCTAGATCGCACTGTACTCCGTACTTATTTTGATTAAATAGTACTACTTTTTTCGTATCATTTTTCCTGGTACTTTTTCACACGATATTCATAGCACATTTAAGTGCACGGGTAATTACTTGTTCTCGAAAAATATGTTTAGCTGTAACGCTTGCTGCATTACCTACTTTATGTATTTGTGTTTTCAACCGTACAGACCATCAAGTCTAATTTCAAAACTTCGAAACATTTTCTTAGCGCATTTTCCTCTTGTTTTGGACCATCGGAATCTCCTGCCTCTTTGACCGCAAAAATATCCTTCGTTTTTTTACCATCGAAATTTCCTTCCTCTTTTGACCAAAAAACATTCCTTCCTTTAATTATTCCTTCCTCTTTTTGACCTTGGCCAAGTCGTGCTATGATCGTGTTATATAATATGAGTTACCGCAAAAAGACCGAACCACTGGAAACTTCGCGTTAAAGTTAAAGTTTAAACAACATCCACATTCCACAGCCGACATTAACATCATACCGTACAAACGTGTGGGTATGTACATACTTACTTATTGTTATTAAACTCTACGGGTAAAATTAATGGATGTCCACTCCAGAATACCTACCATTAATCGTAAAAAAATTAGCTGTTTGACAAAACAAATTGACAATGTACAACTGCAGTACATGCGCAATAAAATTAACAATCGATTGTTTATACTTGCACCGGCATATCCGGGTTGGGTTGAGTTATGCGTACGTACGTCGTACATGGTCTGCTCATTCTGCTGTATATCCGCTAGGCGCGACGGCGAGGACGCAAAGCAGAAGCGTTCAACGACCTGCCGAAGGCTTGAAGGAAATTCCTGTCTGATTCTGACCAGTCGTCAAGTACAACCGGATCGAATAATACAACCGGATCGAATCTCTCAGGTTTCTCTAGGATTTGCTTGTTGTTTCCTTCTCATGTAGAACTAATTCTTCCTTTCCTTTGAAGAATGTCGGTTCGTGAAATACTGTTGACGGTATTTGGTTTGCTTATGAGTGAAATCATAATCAAATTGTTAGTGAGATTGTACAAGGCAGCTATTTACAGCAACAATGTTTGGTTGTCGACTTCTGTGAGAATATTCGCTCTGGGTACTTTTATCCTCTGTGTTATCTGGCTGCGTCGACATTTTGATGTGGTGATTTAAATGTTTCCTCGCTGAACCGCACAGATTCCCTTTTTATGATACCAGTCATTACCTACAAATTTTCCGGCTTTCTTCATAGAGTCATAGACAACACGACGCAAAATCTAGCCATCTTTTTGACGTAACATTTGTCAGTCAAATTCAGCGTCCATGTTTGTCGTAACTCGTAAGCAGCAACCGCCCGGGCGGTATGTTTCCTATCCCTCCGCTGATTTAGCAGTGTGAGCACTGAGCAGCGACGACTGACGAGCACTTGAGCAGTGTACTTTGTAATAATCAAATAATGAATAATCTGTTATCTCTTTAGTCACTTTAGTGTTTCTAACTTTTTCTTGAAAGCCTGCAGTCTGCCTGCCATTGAGAAAAAAAGAAATCCCAACTGAGCTAGAATGTTTGCACTTTCATAATTATTCTTCGGGCTGATTCATTAATAGTTTGGCAGTCTCGATTATTGGTTTGCTCATTTTGGTTGATCCAGTATCCCACTGTTGCCTGGCCATGGATGCGCTGGAATCCCTCTGGAAGCTCATCACCAACCCCTCCCTTCCCGAATCCCCCACCACTGTGGCCGAGGCCCTGGAGAAATGTCACCCCCTCCTGTTTTCCAGTTTCTCCTCGCAGCCCTACCTGCCGAAACGCGAAGCGGTCGCCGTGACGGCCGACAGCGTCCAGAAAGCCGTCAAGACCCCCGCCGAGGTCCCCGCGGATCTCCGCGACAATTACGCCCGCCAGCTGGCCTCTGTCGCCCGCATTCTGTACCGCACTCCTTCATCTGTTGTCTCCCTATTCGATAATTGCGCTGCGGATGCCAAAGAGTCCGTGGTGACGTTGGCCGCGGAGCGGAGCGTGGCGAGGGTTCTTCGACATTATTTCCAGAAACGACGGCTGCTTCTGAATATTCATCGGTATATTTACGAGTGCTATGAAAATTCCAAAATCTCCAGCAGTCATCCGTTGGCTAATTTATTCGAGAAGTTTGTGGATGATGTGAAGGATGCCAGTGGATTGATCAATGATCTCATCGAGCAGTGTGGACTGATTTTGACGCGCTTGAATGATCACGCGGAGAAACCCGTGTTTGGACGTGATGAGACGGAGTGGTTAACGCTACAACTGGGAGAAATGAGGTACATAATATTTTATTTATTTTCCATTTTCCTTGGCAGTTGTGCTAACTGTGCCAGTGTGCCCTAACCCATTTTTTTGGATTTTGCGTAATTTTTGCCAGACGTTTGTTAGTAAATTTTGAAATTTATTGTCCTCCCAGCCATTTTCTTAAACAGGGTTTGTCACTGACTTTGTTCTTCTGGCTTTCTGAATTATAGAATAATAATTTACAATAAAACAGAAATTTTTTCTTAAAATTTTAACGTCGTTCTTTTCGCATATTTGAATTTTCCAAAGTCCTTAATATTAATCACTTTGAATTTTCATTTAGAAACTAGCTTATTCTCCAATTTTGCGATTACAATTTTATATTTGTGGATATGTGTACGCTTTCTTTGGAATTTTTGTTAATGTTGATTTTGTTCAATAGTTTAACTTTTTCATTATGTGACAGTCTGTTTTTTAGTAATTATTATACGTCAGTTATTATTTAATAAATAACAGCAATTTTTACCATTTTTACATTTTGCGTAACCTGAAATTACTTTTTTTACCTAACGATTTTTTCGGGGGAATTTTAGTTAAACAAAACTTTTTTGCAGAGATTTATCACTGTTGCTGTTTAATCTGGCGCCAATCCTCCCGAAAACCATGGTCTCTCTGGAGAAACTAACCAAACCCCTCCAGCTGGCCGGAGCCGCGCTGCAGCGCTTCCCCGTCTCCCCCGACCGCAGAACCGGGCTCCTGCAGATGGAACTGTCCCAGCAGGTGCTCCTCACCCTCACCGCCTTCACCCTGCACTACTTCAGCATCGCCACCCCGCTCTTCCTCCTAGATCCGCAGGCGCGCCACTACCTGGACCGCTTCTTCCCGCAGAACGCTCCCGTGTTCATCCTGGGCCCGGCAGCGGTGCTGTACCTGACCACCCGCGTCCAGGACGATCCCGCGCAGCAGGACGCCGTGGAGGGTCTGAGCAAGTTGTTCGCCGAGGCCAAACCGTTCGCCGCCCTGTGCTCCCTGATGCGGGCGGAAGTGATGCAGTTGGAGTTGAAGGAGCGCCTGGCGGGACTGGTGCACGATGTGGGAGAGCAGTTTATTCGCGTGTTCGGACTGAAGGTAACTTGTAATGGAATGTTCTGTGATAATTGTATGAATAGGATATTACCTAATACGTAAATAAATATGCAACGCATATTTAATACGAAAATGAATGTGTGGTACAGATCGCATATACCAGTCTGTAAGTAATGCGTATTTACGCATGCGTTTCGTAAAATAAAAATCTGCTGTCGTTTTATGTTTCTTTCTGTTGTTTGGCATTAGTTTACTGGTATTTTTTGTTGTACGTTATAAAATATGAATATAAAAAAATCGTAACTGTTGTCTTAATAATGGTGGCTATAATATATTAATAATGAATTTTATTAGAGGATTTTTTTATCTCCCGAAATTGCATTCCCTCGCTGCATGTGTTAACTTAACCGATTCCCTTTTTACTTTCAAGGAACAAAGTTTGCCATTAAAATTACGTTATTTGTAGTTGTGCAGATTATTTTCAGCAAGTTTTCATAAGTTTGGTAGCGTTGATATTTGACTTGCTCCGACAAATTGTTGTTTTTGTTGTTGATGACGCTCAGTGATATTGTAAATGGAAGTTTGATTTGGGCTGACATTTCTTAATGCGGTTGTACATACGGAATGATATTTTGATTTTTTTATTTGAATAATATGAACAATATTTTAGGAATCCTATTATGGTTTCTCTTCTTAAATAACATATTATTATTATTTTAATATTATTTTATTTAATAATTTATGACATTATTATGATACGATATTATTTTAGTCTGGTTCCCATAGGGCATTCAGCAGTTTGCCGGGGATTTCGCCAGTCTGGCCGCGGGAATCTTGCACCACCCGAAGGAGACGAACCGTTTCTGGCAGCGCTGGGTGGAGGGCAACGGCGCGGATGTGCACTACGCTTGGGGCCTGCTGGTCTCCGACCTGCGCGACCGCCTGCCCGGCAGTCTGCTGGAATTCATCACGGTGATGGGCAGCGTGTTCAAGGGCTTCAAAGAGAGCGGTGCGGATGTCGCGGAACGCGCCGGGAAATTGAACCACTTATTATGGAATCTGGATGGCTTTGTGGAGCAGCTGGGCGACCGCGAGGTGAAGGGGCTCACCCTCGTCAAAACGGAGGCGGAGGGCGTGGCGGTGGTGCGGTGTGATACCGATCGGTTCCCCCTTGGACCAGGTTGGTATTTTTCTGTAGTACGCTTTCTTTTTTTATTTCTGAAAATTATTTGCATCCGTGTTGCGTGTGTGATTTAAAATTGAATATATCAAGTTACACCTTTTATGGAATGTTCGTCTCATTTGTGTGTCGAATATTGTAGAAGAGTGGCGCCGAATTGTAGAAGTTGCTCACATTTTTAAAACAAAGTACAAATTGCGAATTTACTATTTTTTTATGTACGTTAATTAATAACCGGTCTACTTTTTATTTCTGTAATTATGTCTGAAAACTGTATGTTTTGTTTGTTCGTTTATGACATAAAATTTTACTATACCTTTATTTTTATTCAGTTACTACTTAGGCTGGCTGTCTTTTTTAAACACGAAATCTTTTTGTAACTGTCTTAAAGTATTTGAAATTTTATTTCCTTTTTGAACCGTATTATTACTTCATTATTAGGCGTACTGGTGATCCCCGCGAACAGCATGGGCTGGATGCTGACCACCGATCACCTGGTTGATCTGAAATGGGTGCTGCACAACAAAGGGAAATACAGTGTCTGGGCGCTCATTGCCGGTCATATACTCCGCATGTCCCAGTCCACAAAAATTGCTGGTAAGAAGTTTTGTTGCCCCGTGTTTTTTTATGACGGAGAATTTAATTAAAATGCTGTTGTCGCAATAGAAAAATACGCTGAGATGGTGGATGACCTGGGGAAAATCGTTAAATTCTACGTGTCCAGCTTGAAAGCGGACGGGAAGACGCACGACGATCTGGAGCAGGTGCTGGTGATGATGTGCCGCGTCATTGGCCAGCTGATGCTGGTCGGGGAGGATGTGGCCGATGAAAAGTCCAAGCACGCGCTGGTGAAGACTGCGTTTGATCTCTGCGCCGTGGAAGCCAAGTTCCGTGATTTGGTGGTATGTACTATGTTCTGTTACAGTTTGGGCTTATTTTCTCGATGTCTGCTCTTGCTGTTTGTACTATCCGTTTTTATAACAATAAAATCATAAGCCTTCTAAAACATTTGTTGGTAAATGACAGCCAGAAATTTGTGGATTATAATTTGTGCGAAATTGATCTTACTAATGAATAGTATCAACCAAGACAAAATCGTAGTGAAGTGGATTCTGTACAATTACGTTGTGGTAAATATCATGGATGTATACTACTTCTTAAGTACTAACTTTCGTTAGTAGGAAGTTATTTTGGGTGAGGTGATTCCTTTTTTCGAAACATCTTTCATAATAATTGTTATTTGTCAGTGTATCGATTTTTTATGTCAAGTATTTTGCAACATTTTTTTTCTAGAAGCTGAGCATGCTCGTTTCATCTAACGTTCGGACGATAATCCCTTTAAGAACCGTTATGTGCCTTCCTTATTCACCTACAGTATTTGGAAATTATTCTTTTAGTTTGTCAATGATTTGGACTTCATCGCACGGAACCTCTTCCCGAAGGCGGTGCGGCAGGGCGCGTCCGAAGCTGACTGGATTCGTAATGGAAATTTCACGTGGTTTTCCCCGTTCTGGCAGGAATTAGCCAGGCATTCCAGTTCCAAAGATTTTATGCGGACGTTGGGAAAATTAGCATCGGCCATGGAAAGCATTGTTCGGGTAATAAATTTCATGTTGTCACTTCTAACGCTTCAGTAAGCGTTGCTGAATTTACGGCTCAATCAACGGTGCAGTCTAGGACGCGGCACTTTTCTGATTTTACGTACTGTACTTTATCATTTTTTTTTATTACCAAGATATGTATCGTCTTTCAATTTAAGTTATTATTTGATTGTTTTCTTTACCGGCTATTTTATTACTTTCTTCTTTAGTTGTGGCTTCCTTTTTAATGTGTTGTATTTTTGCAGAACGTAAATGGTGGCAGTAGCTCGAATGCGACGACACAACAAGCCAACCTCTTCCTCTTGAACATTGGAATTCCGTTGGTGGTCCAGTTGGAGGAACTCTCCGAAGGTAAACGACCACGAATGTAGTAAAACATCAAAACAATAAAGCAGAATTGAAAAATAAATGTGCGTGCAGGTAGATTAATCAAATAAATGTTTTAAAAACACCTAGGTCTGTCTGTTTTAAATGTTCAACAATGTTCAACAATTAAATATTCAACAACAACAATTTTTTAAATATTTAGCAACAATTATATTCAACAACAACAACAACAAATTTAAATATTCAATATACAACAACAAAATATTCAACAATATACAACAATGTTGTCGTCGTAGGCATCCCCATTCTGCAGTACGCACTGAGTATCGTGGAATCCCTGGGCGCTGTGGCGGATACGGAGGCCACTATCCGCAACGTGGCCGCGGATTGTTTGTACGAAGGCCCGGCTGGCCAAGCGCTGGTGGAGCTGTTGAACCGCGGTGGCCGCCTGCTGAATCTCTTCCTCCACAACGACGCTCCCTCGCGGTACGTAACGCGCATGCCGTTGTGTCAGAAATCTGATATTACTTTTATTATATTTAACATTAATTTTTTTCAGATTCAGTACGATTTTGTTCTGTAAATTTTTAGAATTGTGATTTTTTTAAAGTTAATAACTCGTGTGATGTTGTATTACGGTTATTTGTGCGTGCGGCTTGGATTTGCTGTTACCGTTTTTCAGAAAAAATATTTTCAACGCTCTTGTATTGACACTTATTCATTAAAAATATTTAGAATACTTTTATGTTAAAAATAAATTCAAAACATTTTTATCGCTTTTTTAGAAACAGTAAAGTGTAAGGGTGATAACTGAACGAAGACTAAAACACTCACTGTAACCTTCGCACTACGATATTCCTATAAGTTGCCCACGAAATACTTGGTAGACCGGAGCGTGGCTTAGGCCTGATCTGCGTTTTAACTAAATACGACTTTAATTATAAACTGATGAGATATTTAGTTATATTAAATAATGATAATTTAAACAGGGTGTTTCTGTCTGAACGTTCCGATGAAGTCCACTTTGTCCATCTGGTCCTCGGCATCTTCCGACACCTTCTCCGGCGCCTCCCCGAACGCGTCGACACCCTGACCGCCCTGGAGCGGTCCCTGTGCAGCCTGGAGAAGCACAGGCAGGTCCTCAGCGTGGGCGTGCCCAACGCCTACGCCGAACTGTACCGCCACCCCAAACACGGCCTGCTGCAGCTGTGCCGCTACGTCTACAACGCCAGCGATGCCGGGATTGTCCAGTTGGCCGCGGCCGTCCTCACCCGGCTGCTGGTGCTGCAGCGGATTTCCCTGGTGTCCGTCGTCAAGCAGGACGCCGATGATTTCGTCCAGGGCGTGTTCCGGCTGTTGCAGTGTCCGCGACCGGAAGTGGTGCGGCAGATGTGGACGTTCGTGGCGGTGTGCGAGGCGCGGCAGCCGCGGATGCTGGATGTGTTGGTCAATCTGCAGTATGACGCCGGCAGCAAGAAGGTACTGTTAATATGTACAACTGCAGTTAGTGTTGACGAAGTTCGTAGAACAATGGCATTGGGTGCTTCATAAAGGTTGCTGTCTCTGTTTGCAGTTTGCACTTTGCGTTGTATTTACATTGTATCAGCGAGATCGTGCACGGATAGCTTTTTTACTTTATTGATTTGATATAAAAATACACGTATAATAAAATTTCAAATTTGAAATTTTCTCATGAAAATAACAGTGTATTTGTACAGGCGTTGTTTTATTACCTAGACTCCAGATATGTTCTTGTGAATTTTGTCAATCCAGTGCATGAATGAATAATTATTATTGGGTCACTAACTTCATTTTTTGTAATTTGCTCATTTTGTTATTTCACTGGAAGTGGCCAGTGGAATGAAAAAAGGTTTTCTATTCTTTCAAGGTTTTCGAATTGGTTTTCGAATTTCAAATTTGAAATTTTCCCATGAAAATAACAGTGTATTTGTACAGGCGTTGTTTTATTACCTAGACTTCAGATATGTTCTTGTGAATTTTGTCAATCCAGTGCATGAATGAATAATTATTAATATGAAATATTATTAATTATGAATAATTTTCTTTTTTTAGTTATTAATTATGAATAAATATTATTAATTATGAATATTTTTTTTTTTCATTTTCATTTTTTTAGTTATTAATTATGAATGAATATTATTAATTATGAATAATTTTCATTTTTTTTCTGATAAGCCGCGACGGAACGCAGTTTCGCAATTCTAATATGAAAAAGCGTTCCTGTTGTTTTTTTCAGTATGAATTGGATATTCCGCATTTGGGCAGTCTGCTGGACATTGTCATCAGCGTCCTGAAACACCCCGCCTGCGACGAATCCCAGCAGGGCGCACTGGATTTCTGTCTGCAGTTGTTCAGCTCGAAAACGGATCTCGCGGAATATCTGTACAAAAAGTATGGGAATTTTAAAGGTTTTCAAAATGTTTTGAAGTCAGCAGCAATACGTACTGCACGCTGAAAGCTGCAGTATGCCACTGCACTACGATAATGATGTAGTTACTTAGTGTATAATGATGGCGAGATAGGTAAGCTGAGATGGAGCTGTGTTTTCTCGTTGTAGGAGAGAATTTTGGGGATTGGTGATGGATGTGCTGATCAGCGCCAGTAGCCCATCGTTGCCGTGGGAGAAGAAATTATGCTGCGTGTACGCCTGTGATCTCGTTGCCGGTGAATGTCTGCGCAGTCAGCTGAATTCGCCGCTGTTTGACAAGCAGTTTATAGAGGAAAATTGGACGAGTTACATCAACGACGAAATACCAAAGATTCTTTCGGTAAAAATATTGCATTAATTTTTCGAAAAGTGTTGTATATAATAAGAATTTGTTTTTGTATTTCTGCAGCATTTAAACCGGGATGTGGCGCAAGCCGCTGCCGCATGGCCGTTTGACAGTATTGCGATGAAGATCGTGGCGCGTTTCTTCGAGTCATGGTGCGCCGTGAATCTGCTGTGCTTAACTCAGGTACTGCATGTATTTTGTTTTTATTCACTGGTTTTTTTATTGAAGTTAAATAAATAAAAACATTTGAGCATTTTTTGTATCCGATCGAAAGAACTTTCAGTTACAAATGCAGACAGTGGTTGTGGTTAATACGGAAACATCCCATGTTCTACGATTGCGCTGTGAACTGGATTATCCGGACTAGATGTAATAATAATAATTATGTGATTTCCTCATCCTCGTACTTAAAATATTTTCGAAAATATTAATACAGTAGTTTAAGTAAGAAGTAATTATAATAAAGTATTAATAATTAAAGTAATAACAGTAATCAAATTTTCTAGTGTTTTTGTGTCCTTTGCTTCCTTCTTGATCATTTATTGCTGTTTCTTTAGTAACATTACATTTTTTGCGATAACTTTTATTTATTAAAATTTTGATTTGTTAATTCATGTTTTTAGGAGTCGTTGCGAGGCATCGTCAGCGCCGACACCTTGCAGAACATCATCCGTCCGACGTTTATTTTGTTAAACCGCAGTCTGGCCAGTCCCGCCGCCGGCCTCTTCAGCGCGGCCATCGTGCGCGGTCTGCTGCGCATGCTGACACAGTGGCGCCGCCACCTGACCACGGATCTTTTTCTCTCGGTCTTGCACATCGCCGACGACCTGACGCAGTTCATCTGCTCGGCCGCCGACGGGGCGCAGTGGAGTCACGCGGCGCGCAGTAGTGTCCTGCATCTGGACAGCGTCATGCTGGGGATCATTGGCGGATTGGATGCGGAGGAGGAGCTGGACGTGGCGCTGAAGCGACCCCTGCGCGGGTTGTTCGAGACGGCGCTGGGCGTCGTCGGGCATTGGACGCTGCGATGGAGTGTGGAGAAGGACGAGGAGGAGGAGATGGGCAACATGCTGGGAAATGCTGTAAGAAATAGTATTTAAAAGTTTTTAATATGATTTACTTACTCATATATCATTTTTTGGTTGCTCTTTTTTTCCTTAATTCCGGAAGTACTTTTTGTCGTAAATTCTTTGTTCTTATTTTAATCTGTTTTTTTCTTATTTAATTTTTACGTTCAGTGTGGTGTTTTTGCTCAGTTTAATATAATTTATATTGTTATTTTGCATTTCTTCTTTTTTATCATTTAAAATTCGGCGATATGGCTGATTTTTCGGATTTTTCTTTCGCTGATACGCTGATCCGTACATCGCAGTTCTGTCTTGGCTTCACATTATGTGTGGGAATATTAAGTTAAAGTATTATTAATTTGTTCGTTGCGGATAAAGTGGTGTAGACGATTCTTAACGATAAATCTCAGTGTAGACGATTCGGTGACTAAATTTTTCGCAGTCCTCTGAGCTCTCGCCGGTTTCTTTTTAGGTGAATTTGCTTGTTGCCGTCGTGAAGTTGGTGGGGAATAACAGTCTGAACGGGTTGGACGAAGGGGTGCAGATCTTCCAGTCGGAGTGTCTGTGCGAGAAGATTCTGATGAAAACCGTGGAAATGCTCAAGGTTTGTACGGCATACAAATGTCCTTACATTAAAATATGTGCAGTATAAAAGGGGCTGCTACAGATTGAACTACAATAAAATCCTACGCTGATTTCTCATACCGGTAAAAGCTTGAGTTTTAGAAAAAAAACATTTCCTTGATTCTAAAACTTAATGTCGTAAAGTGTTTCCATTTTAAGCAAGGATTGCGAAGGAACGCAAAAGCTCCGTTAAATTCCTTTTTTATGTGATCATTTCCACTGTACTACGTTACTCTGTAGTCTGCACTGTTGGCCAAATTCAGTTGTGTTAGTCGCACGATTAATGAATCTTTCAGTATTAATGAATACTGGCTGACGTCCAGTCGTCCAACGGGTGATTGCTGGTCACTATACTGATTACTGACGGGTTTCAGAGAGTGTTCAGTGAATTAGTTTTTTTAAAATATACAATTCATATTTCAATAATCCAGCGAAGGTTTCGCAATGCAGTACTTGTTAGTTGTTACCTTTATTTCGTTGCGTTTTTCTCGGTGCTTAGCGCGAGCGTGTCATTGGCAATTTGATAGATTTCCTGGGGAATGTATCAAAATCAGCCTGATTCTCTCTTTGTCGTTTCATACAGTTGCTCAAGTATCCGCTCATCGCGCAAAAATTCCTGGATTTCTTTTTGCACTTGTCGCTGCACGACAGCGGGGCGGCGTTGCTGCGCGATATCGGTTATTTAACCTGCATTGCCGGACCGTTGTCCAGCGTGTTTGCGCCGGTGAGGGAGCTGTTCGTGGAGCGCAACACGGCGGAGATGAACGTGGAGGACACGGTGCTGGTCAGGGAACAGCGACAGCGGCTGCCGGTGTGGCTGGACGTGTACCTCACCGGGTTGACTGTTAGCTACAATGTCATTCACAGCGGACGTCAGCGCCACACGCAGACCGATGCGTTTATCGTGCCGCAGCTGGGATGTATGCCCCATGTAAGTCAACCTGGTGATATCTTGCCATTTGTTTGCGATATTTCAACAGCGATATAAAAAATTGTGTTGCACACCATTTGCTCTGTTTTGGTGAATTTTTCATATCTGGCAAATAATGTTCGGGTGTCATCGGAAAAGTTTTTAAGCGTTAGTTTTTCTTCGCGTCCGTTCATTGCGGCCACATACGATCGCTACGGTCAACGCTTAATTGCGAAGGATTTGGTAGTGCAGCGGTTAAACTTAAAATCTTCCTCTGCATAATATGAAAGCGCGATGGTGCTGTGGTTAGCGAGAACATCGAATACCCGAGAAATAAAACTAAGTTATGAAAAATTATTTTAAACTTTTTTGTTAAGATTCTTTTACGTTACGTGTATCTTTTTTTTGAATTGCGTAGAATTGAACCATTTTCGACGCAAGTTGTGAACAACATATTTTTAGCGCATCCATACAGCGAACACCGTGAGTAAAACTGACTGTTGCCCTGCCAAATGTCCATTAATATTTTCAGAGTGCCGTTTAACAATTTTTGATGGCTTAATTTTTTCGTTTATAAACACATGCAGTGTGAAAAGTGTTTTTAATTTGTTTATTACCGAACAGAATTTTGCAAATTATTTGATGAGCAGGAACTTTCCCAGCTGAATTCAACAGGAGTGTGTCGTTTGTGCAGGTGATCAATGTCTTTCGCGGTGAGCCGACGCTGGCTGCCTGGCGTTTCCTGGAATTATTCACCCGTCTGCTGGGCGCGGTGGTGGTCCCGGGGAAGAACAGCAGCGCCAAAGATGTGTGTCAGACGCACATTCCCAGTCTGTACCACCTCGTCTGCCATCAGCTGATGAAGTTCGCCGACGTGTTGACCGCCGATGCGACGCTGCTCTCCGGCCGTCTGATCCAGCTGATGCTCAACTGTGGATTGTCCTGTTTGAAGATTATGGGCGTGGATCAGCCTGGACTGTATGAAATGCTCACTGATCAGGTGGATTTCGACTATTTTCTGTTATAATTTCTATTTTCTATCTACTTCTGTTTTCTGCTTCCCTTTTTATTTTCTTTTTATTCGACTGTTTTCTGTTTGAATCATGTTATTCATGCCCACAAGAAAATTTTTACTTAATTTTTACTTTTATTTTCCTTATTTTTTAATTTTCTTTTATTTTAATCAAATGGAAGACTAAAATTTCGATCGATAGAGAAGAATATTTGAGTGTTGTGTTGATTCTCCGCGCAAGAAGAGATGGCGAATTTTTTATCTATTTTTCGCCATCTTCCGGCTGATTATTTTTATTCTGATAACATGGTGTATTTTTCAGAAATTCCTTCTGCCGTCCAGTTCGGTGCGCAGCATCGTCGATTACAGTTTCGGCAGTCCGATCTCCTTGGAATTGGCGCCGACATTGTCTTTCGGCACGCTGGTCCATATCATCCGCACGGGTGTGGAAATCCTCCAAAAGGTCAGACAGTATTTCCCAATTTTTATCTGGAGGACGAGAAATTAATTTGCACTTTTTTTCTTGCGGTTATTCGCATTTGCTTATTTAGGAAATGAAAAAACTATGAATTTGCTTGCATGTTTTCCCCAAATATTAACGCTGCGTAGTCTTCGTTTGGCGATTTCCAGATGATTCTGCTGCCGAAAGTAATTATTATTTAAATCTGATGATATTTTTTTATGATGTTAGCTTTACTTTTCGGCTGGAAAGGTTTGAGATTAATTTCTTACTGTTTATTATGTGCTGTAGGAGCAGCATTTTTTTGTATACTCGTATAAATCGTTACGCGGTTACAGGTCGATCCGGCTCCGCTGGCCAGCGTGGTGTTCGCCCGGGAATCCGCGTCCACCAGCGCCGATTTTCTGCCGTTGCTGCATTTCGTGCAGCGCACCGCAGTGTTGTTGCTGCAACAGGCCAGTGTCTTTGTCGTGGGATTCGGCCAGCTGTCCGACGAGTCCTGGCAGGAAACGCTGCGGGAACTCAACAACGAAATCGTAAGCAAATGATTCTAAATCGAGCGTATCACTGTAGTCAGAATTGTCCGTGCATAACTAAAATCGAATAATAAATTAAATTAAAATGGATTTGTACTGCGACATTGTAGCTGATGGCTGTGTAGCGTCGTAGTGTACGGGTCCATTTTAGAGGTTTCCCGCGGAGTTCATGCGAAGCAGTTGTGCGTCGTTCAGGCATTCGAATTGTAGCTGATTTATCGTTTCTGATTTTGTTTACAACAAAATCTGTTTTTTTCCCTCCAGATGGATCTGCAGCAGTCGCTGCACGCTTTCCTGAACAAACTGGAAGACAATTTAGAGACGTCGTCGCTGCGTGAACCGAGCGGACCGACGACGCTGCTGCCGCTGATCAGCCAGCTGTTTCTCAATTTCCGTTTATATTACGATGAGACGCGCGACAGCTACGGCGAGCCATCCTCCCTCGCATCTCTGCCCCGGGGCGGCGACCGCAAAAAGTCACCTTTCACTTGGCGTAAATGTTTTTTAATTGGCTGCGATTGTGTTTTCTGTTTTGGGACGTTTTTTTAATGTTTCGGAGTTTTACTTGTCAGTTGTGTTAAGTTAACCAGTTTTGTATGTAGATGAGAGCTAATATTAAAGTGATGGAGAGAAATGATTACAGCTGCAGACGCTGGTAATTTTATAATACTGTACACTGGCTTTTTTCGCATTCCGACCGGTGTCAGAATACTTTCAATTTCAAAATTCACACGGTCACCGAAACAAATTCCTGATTATTCCCGACTCGGGAATCCAGAGTAATGAAAAATGCACAGTTCAAATAAAAATTTAAGTGCCTACAGTCTGTATAATCACAGTAAACACTCCAACAGAAATTTCCAATTATTCCACAGGGAAAAGAAAGCACATCTCAGATAAACATTCCAGCCTATTCCATAATGTTAAACGAAGTATAATCCCAACAGAGAGAAAATTCAATTTCAACAATGGAGCAATCAAAACTGAGACAAACAGAAAGTGAGACGGTTTGGGACGAAATTGTGTTTGTCACAAGGAAGATAAGATTGATTACAAGGCAATTCCTATGTTCTCACAGCGCGAAACAACTTTGTTTGTCTAAGATATGTAAACTGCAAGTGCAAATCTCGTTGATTACTGCCGTGTTACGTGCGCATAGTTGCGTGGTCATCTATGTAACGCATTGCATGGAGGGAAATGGCGATCAGAATGTTGCTTAATCCTGCACCGTGGTCCGTGATCAAAAACCCAATGGAGAGAAGTTAAATCCTGTTTCTAACCGTATCAAGTTCGCGATAAAACTAACGATTTTCCCCCATCGCATTCAAAAATGTCGCAAACGTCGCACTTGTGTGAAGGAGGCACTATTTAACGTGGCTTGAAAATATCAACACCATCCTTGGTTTAAATATGGAAATGTTTACATTTCTATTCACTATGCAGTCGGTTAATGCTTTGACTGACCAGGTGAGAGTGTTATCAACAGGCTGGCAGCGGACTTCAGATTATCTGTTCAGCCGCTGAAACTGTGCCCCCGCGGTGTACATACTGTATTTCGCACTAAGCGCAACCGTTATTCATGCCAGGTTGTCTTTGCGAGAGACAGGGAGAGTGTTCAAGGAAAATGGTACCGAGATTAATTTTCAAAGCAAGATGGTGTTTGTACAAATGTAACTATGTTATCAAGCACTGCTCCCTAATGCGATCTGTTCGCCTTCACACCGAGCTTGAGTCTGACCCGATCTCTGCTTTGCAAAACATATCGACGAACTACCGGTCACTGATCGGTATTTTTTCCAACCAGTGGCCCTCGAAACTATGGGAAGCTGGGGCGAAAGTACACGTCAGTTCATCAGTGAAGTCGGCCGGCGTATCAAAGAGCAAACAGGAGAAGCGCGCGCTACTCAGTATTTGTGGCAACGTATAAGCGTAGAAATTCAGCGCGGAAATGCGGCTTCTTTCCTGGGGACGGTCGGATGTTCTCGAGAGTTTACTTGTTCTAATTATTGGGTTGTAAAGTTAAATTTAAATGGCATTGGCTTGTACAAGTTGAAATAAAGATTATACGTCGTACTACCGGTTGATTACATTAGCATTAGGTCATTTTATCCGCAGTGATTCAGCACTGATAGCAGTTTATTCATTTTCTTCCGGGCCTTGGACAATCACGCAAGGAAGCCGCCTGACAAAATTTTGATTTCTCATCATCAAGCAACGGAAGTGTATTATATCTGATAGAATAACTGCGTGATAGCGATTACCTTTTGATCGACCGTTTTTAAGGGGGTTTAGAACCAAGAAATTAGCATCACAGGTTTTTCCTGGACCCGTTTAAAAAAAGGCTTTTAAATGAATAACAAGGCTTTTAAATGAATATATTTCTGTGAATTTCAGTCCAGATTGCGGTTTATATCACTTGGGGCTGTCGCTCAAGTTCTCAAAACAAGTAATTATCCTCCCGTATATGGGCGTGTAACTTCTGCGCAGAACACTGTTCTGAGTGTGATGTGTTAACTAAAATTTAATGTCAGCGCAGCCTTCAAAAAGGTCATCAACGACACACCGATACACCATGTCTAATGGCATTTCCTTCTGTCCTATTCGCACCGGTTTTGGTAAGAATCTCCCCGTGCTCCTGTTGTGTTGCGCATTATTTCTGGCAATCTTCTGCTTGTGGCACATAAACGGATCTCGTCAAAAGTGTCCGAATTTCGCCGTTCCCGTGATTATTTCAAGGAAAAATTTTTTCTGCAACGGAACCGGGTACTTTGATGCATGGACCGAACGCCCAGTCAAACTGATTGCGTTCTATGGAGACAGCGATATGATAAGCGCCACCGGCAGCGTACCGGTGTGCGAGGCGAAACCCAGTACGTTGATGGGTCGACGAAATATTTCTCAGGAAATAAAATCTGACAAGGAAATTGTGGCTGAGAATCCGCATGTGGAACATGGCGGCAGCTATCGCCCGAAGCATTGTGTCCAGCGTGGTCGAATGAAAGTGGCGGTATTGGTGGCATACCGGAGCCGTACGGAACATCTGCGTAGGTTGGTTTTTGTCTTCGGTAGAGCACTCACTGAAATCGTCGTAACTCGTAAGTAACGCCTTGGTAGTTATAATTATTTTATTGTGATCTGTAGAAATCTTGCTGAACAATCTCCACCCGTTTCTTCAACGACAGCAGCTGGACTATACCATTTTTGTCGCGGAACAAAGTGGAAATGCAACATTCAACCGAGGTAAAGGAAACAATAACGCCATGACTTTATTATCGGAAAACGTTTGTAGGATGGGTCAAAACAGTGGGAAGTATTAGTAAATTAATGTGAGTGAGACTTTGATGATAAGGTTGCATTTTTGCTAGCGATAAGGTTTCATTTTGTGCTCTTAATTCCTAGGCAAGCTCTTCAACACGGGATTCCAAGAGGTCAACAAATTGTCCGGTTACAGTTGTTTTGTCTTCCACGACGTAGATCTTTTACCGGAAAACGACCATAATTCATACTTTTGTCCCACGATACCGACTCTTTTAGCCAGTGTGATGGATAAGAATCAGTACAAGCCGTTTTACGACACTTATTTTGGTGGAGCTGTCTCGTTTCTCGTCGACATTTTCAGCAAATAAATGGGTTTTCCAATGTCTACTGGGGCTGGGGTAAGTAGTTATTCTAAATAATGCTGCACAACAGCACTTTGGTTGATGGTAGAACTGAAAGGAACATGAATCCGATCACGTATTGTAAGCATGAGATACCAACCACTGTGTGCAACTGAATGAAGGTATGAGGATGCGCTTCGACTTCGTGATCGCCTAAAAACTGGCGAGAATAAGGGATCACCTTGCCCGGCTTGTGCGGCACAGCCAGCCACCGAGGGAAGGCAGTCCAGTGACACGACGCGTAGACTTCTGTGTTAAACTCAAACCCTTGCATCTTGCACATTTCAGAATTTAATCGTACAATCTATCTCTCAAAAGAGCAAGAACAAAATAAAGATTTTCGATAAAAATTAAATAGGAAAAAATTAAGATTAGAAAAAAATTAGGATTTTCGATACCAAGCAAGCCATTATCTATGGGAACAGCGCAATTTAAAGCCAAGAAACACAGTTATTCTCGCCAGTTCTTTTTTAGGTTATCATGAACACGAAGCGCATCCTCGTATTCGTAAACGACTTTTTGAAAAAAGCTCATTTAGTACCGTTGTTCACAACACAGAAATACATAGCGGGTCGATGAAGGTGATCTTATACTGTTATCTTTCAAAATACAAAATCAGTGTTTCAAACGATCAGAAAGCGAAACCGTCGTTTTGTTTAAAGGTTCCGAAGACGATGACTTGGGCGAGCGGGTCCGAACGAAGCTGGGTAAGCCGGGAAGAGTGCCCTTCGATATAGGCCAGTACACCATGATTAAGCACGGCAGAGATTCTGGCAATCCATTCAATCCCAAAGGTCAGGAACTAGCCAAAAACGCCACACAGAGAATGGAGACAGATGGTTTATCGAATGTCCATTATACGATACTGCAATCTGAGCTGCGACCACTATACACTTGGATGCTGGTGGATCTGGGTGCACCACCGTAACTCGTTTATCGCTGTACTTGGACCAGGAAAAACCAAAGGTGTTAAAATTTGTTTCAGATTAATCACTTTTCAGTGTTTATTCACCGTATTTGCGAATGGCACTCCCGCAATAACACTGTCTCATTCGCATTATTTTGTATTGGTTTTCGACAATTGACAAAGTAGTCGGTACTTTGTTACTGCGTGATATCATAGCAAAGACTCATAAAACCTTCATATTTATCAACAAACGGCTTTGCTCTCGATAGAGTTACCTTTGAAAAAAGTCTTTTAATTAGCTGGAATATCCAGATAAAGGTCAAAAAGCAAATGCAAGCTGCTCAGTTCGTTGTGAAAACTTTACGATAGTGCTACTGCTCGTAACAACTTGCTCACAACTGCACACGAACAGGTAGTAAATGTAACTAAAGTTTTTTCGGCTGCATTTGAATGTTAAGTTCAAGCTCTATTCGGAAAAATTTAAAAGATAACGAATTGTATTGAGATCATACGCCGGAAATGGCCGGAAAAGATGGGGCCTATATTTGCGATGGTGCAAACATGATCGACAAAGAAGAGTATTATGCTGCAGCTGTTAGCTTAATAACATAGAGGATGTGTAACGATCTGATAATATTCGTCACTGTCGTCCGAAGAAGATTCTTACAATGAAGATTCACTCTCTATTGTGCACTGCTTAATATGGGATGAATCATACTGAAGACGGGGATCATCGATTGACTTTCTTGACTTCCCGGCGCACTTTGGTGCTGTGCAGCCTCTGTACTGGTACAATACATTGTGCATGGCAGTATAGATAGATATAAGACGTATGGGCTGCTGATCGGATTGTACAGACATATTATTTGTGTTGCTTGCTGTATCTGTACTGCACTTCACCATAAATTTATACACTTCACTTCAACGTACCAGTAATACTCGTTCGCATAACAAGATTGCAATTGCAAAGACCATCATGGTTCAAGTTAATAAGTCTAATGCTTTTTAACAAGTAACGAACGGAATATTAATGGCGCTCCATGAATGTACTCGTCCGTACGACAGCCGACGTCAGCACTATGTTCTTCCAACCGAGAGCATTCACTTATGGGAGCGTGTTGTCGTCGCGAACTATGCCACAGCAATAAACACGGCATTGTTCTTCCTTAAGATTACCGCAATGGCACTCACGGCAAGTTTCTGCAAGGCCCCGGGTTTTTCCACCAAAACGGTGAGCGACTTCTTACTTACAGTATTTTAGAGCTGCTTTTGCGAAATGGATTATGACATATTAACGATTACCACGCCTGCCAATAAATTTAATGGTAATTGGTTTGTAAAGTTACGTAGCATCCTTATTACTGTGTTAGCTAGCGTAAGTCAAATTTACACTTGCCGTACTTGAAATGCCTGCATGCTTTTCAAATTTTTATACAGTACTTAAGTTGATAATAATAATACTGCAATATTTTGTAAATTTGTGGTAACTTGTATTTGTGTAGTCTAACCATAAGTGCATAGTCAATACTGTAGTGTCGAACTGATCACAGTTCGTGCAAGATCAAGCCAATTATGATTGTTAGAATGGGCTTTTCGATGCGGTTAATGACTGTGACACAAATAGATAAGTAAAAATAACACAGAACATACCAAACCTCATAAAACATAGGATCTAGCTAATAAGCGGTGCTTAACGGCAACAGCCATCCAAGAAAGAATAGTTGCAGTAATTAATAGTGATCTCTATCTGTAATTAGACTAGTAATAACTGAAACAGTACCAGTCAGACAGTAGTCAGGAAATGGAAACAAGTCAACGCATAAAATTATCAAGACGTTAATTGCAGACGCTGAGCGAAGAGCACCGCATCCTTGAACAAGCCGTGAAGCAGTTTGCTATGATTGGACCGTCCCTGTTGTTCTGTTTTGCTCCCCTCGGCGCCCAGGCCAGAACTCTCGCTCTCTTGGTGTCCCTGCGAAAACTCCGCCCATCGGCACCGGAATCCTCGATATTTCCGCTAACTGCGGCATCCACGCTATCGTGCATTAACGCGTGCCAACAAGCGCGTAGTGCCATGACTACCGGCTCCTTTGTACCGCCACTGTACAAGCCGTCTGCACCGTGTACTTTGCTATATTCTATTACGTTTTAGAGAGTGCCGATCCGAGGTCAGGCGATATTTTTTATGGTCAGACGCGAATTGTCGGGTTTGTCCTCATATTGGAGACCATCGGCTATGTTGTATGTCGGCACTGCATTGGTCCAATCGATGACCTTCGGAGAAGCATAATGTCGGCGTGGTATATTGATAACCGCTGGACCATCGCGCTACTTTCCTGTCGCCTGGACCGTATACCATCCGAGGCGGCTGTTATCTTTGCCCTGAAAAACTATTCCTCAGTCGGCGCGATGCATTTATAAGTCTACACTGCAGCAGTACAAACATCGCACTTCACGTGTCAAATTTCACGATGATCTAGTACGGTTGTTTCTTCCTTTGGCGATCGCCACCGGTCTGTGCGAACAAAAGAGAACGAAGTTGCTTCGACGTTTATCTATTTTGATAATTGGTAAAACATCCTGAATCGGGCATGAAACTTCTGAAAACACGCTATAAATTATATTCTACAGTAAACCAAACCACAGTTCTAGGATTTTTTTTTAAACCGGTAGGATTTTTTTCCGTAGCTGCTAAGTCGTGCCCGAAACCTAGTGGAACTTTTCCCACAACTAAGGTTGCTTAATTGAGCTAGGTATCATGGGGAATTGTGTTATATGACTTACCTGGTTAGAATATTTTATCGTAACTGGTTTCATAATGCACCCTATGTGTACAGTTTTTAATGAGTTTATTACAACTATATCAACACTTTCTTCTGAGTGAGTGAGTTCCGCTGTTCCCTGTGTAGGATGACAATGTCACAATACTAAGCAAAGTTATATCAAGGAACAATCAAGGAACAAGATCTATGTTACAACAACCCCGTAACATGTGGATCAGAAAGACTAGAGAGAAACAGAAAAAAACTGAAAGCGCCATTCGATTCAGCATGGTTGGAAACCGTGTCACATGAATTCTGATTTAAAAAAGAAGTAAGAGCAGCTCCTAACCCCTGTCACAGATGCCGGTGCCCGTGCCGGTGGAGCGATAAATGTTAAGGTTACCTGAAAAATGTGGTTGCATAGAGCAGAAAATCAATAACTTAATACGTTCTAACTGTAAACTCTTAACTTGGATAAAAAAATTAAGGTCTTAGTTCACCATAATCATCGTCCAAACGGCTGACCTTTCATTACAATCCTTTTAAAGTCGTTAGCGGGTGTAAAGTTTACACATGAACTGTCATGTAAAATACTTAAAAGGGAACCCGTTTTATGTAAATCGCCGCAGCTTACCCAGGGCGAGTGACATCTACATCCGGACGTATACATACTATGAACTCCTATTTCTTAGATCAGGTAAAACTTTGACATGATGGATCAGAATGAACTACGTATAGAAAAGACTGCGTGCACGTTTAAAAAACCATTCGCAATAAAAACACTCATAAAGATGCATTTGTGCCGCGATCATTGAGTGGGTGCCATTACTGTCCTGGGCACAGAGCTCGCTAAGTGAATGTGTGACCGAGCTACCACTACTGTCCAGTGCACAGAGCCCGTTAGGAGAACTGGCGACCGAGCTACGACTGTCCTGTGCACGGAGCCCGTTAGGTAACAGTTCTGTGACCGTCCAGTGCGCAGAGCCCGCTAGGTGAGCAAGTAACTGATCTACCACTACTGACCGGATATAGACCACCGGACACACACCGTTTTCCATTGAAGAGAGCCTGTGAAGTGATCGAGTCACCGAACTAGTAATAGTGCCCAGTGCACTCGCACTGTGAGTTTAAAATTTAATGCGATATTTACAATCTGACTTCGAGTTTATTTTCAGATAGGGAGATAGAATAAAAATTATCTGTGCAGTCTAAGGGAATTCTTTCGAGGTTAAGAAGAGAGTCAGGAATTGATTGTTATATAAAATTAATCTGTGTTATTGCGCTGTTGCGAAGTACTTATCATGTTTCGATGAAATATAGATGTTATACTAATAAATATTCATCGAAATCAAATAAAATGGTCGTGGAGCACAAGAAACACGGCGGCAAAGCCGAGTCTGTTTCTTGTATTATTTAACTTTACTTACGGTTAGTGACGAATTTATGGACTGTCGACTGTCTTAAATGAGAGAAGTTTCAGTAATCCCTAAAATCTAAATTGAAAGAATTCTGAATGCTGTTAATTAATGTGAACGAGGTAAAACGCGATGAACCACGATGCTGGGAGAATAAAAACAGACAGCAAGCTGTGTAGCAAGACTTGTCTGGTTTACAGAAGCGGAGCCCATTACTAAATAATTAACATTTCACGGAAGACGAACCAGCACCTGTTCTATTCGTCTTTATTGTATTCGTCTGACAGTTGTAAGAGTAATATGACAGACAACTTCCGCAAAACAGCAGTAAGTTAGTTATTCAGTTAGAAGCAAGTTAGTTAGTTAGAATTCCGTAAAACAATAAACCAGAGTCGTGAAACGTGTTTGGCAGCAACGTGCCTGAAAAGCTTTGCGGCGATTCCGGAATGCCACAAAGCGTTTCTCACAACAGTGGATGACTTTCTTTGCCAGCACTCAAAATAATGCGGAGGAAAATCAAAGTGAACGTAGATCGTGCCGCCACCAGATGTGAATCCTTTACCGTGTACAACCGGGATATCCGGCCAAATCGATTACGTTGAATGGATGCATATATTAAGACAAAACCGTCTCGCACAGCCGTTATTATGTCGTTAGTATGTTCAAAACTTAGTTTGATTTCACCGGCATGGAGAACATATTATTAGAATGCTTGCTCCGATTTCGTGGCGTACCAAGGTCCATAACATTGTTTCTTTTTTCTCTTCTGCTAACCTTGCCGCTCATATCATCGAACAACATCCAAACTGTCAACGAGATTCCACGCTCACGCCTTAATAATACAAGGATCTATTCCCAAATCACCGAATTAGGTATGTACAAATGCTTCGTGCTTAGAAGAAACCACAGAACCATTCATGTTACACACTACCGCATCCGCCAAAGGTTATTACCGTATGCCGTGAAGGTTTCGGTAGTTAATTTTCCATAATAAACTGGCTCACAAAGTGTTTTCTAGGAGAGAACGAAACCTTTCCAGGAACATTCAGCCTGTGTCCCAATGTTTCGGACACAAAGCTAGTCAACAGAATCCCACTACCCGAACGTTACGATTACCTACAGGTTTTACGTGGAATGAACAGTGTAAGCTTCGATGTACAGCCCGACTTCTTCATGCGGCAGTTCCAAACGTTCCTCGAACTGAAAGAATTTGTGAGCCACCACAAGCTGGCAATAAAGATCAGTAACCAATCGGTAGCTGAGCTGCAGGATGCCCTTACTTATGCTTGGTTACCTCGTCTTGGTAAGATGGCCACACCTCAACAGACTCGGAAATCAAGCAGAGAAGACGCTTTTAACTGAGTGTGCGTATATTTCAGCAAAAAGCAACTGGACAGCGACACGTGCAGAAATCCTGCGCATTGAAAACGGGACCAGGTTCTCAACAGACGGGTAATCGCGTGTCATGGCTTGGTCTGTAATTTGTGCTATTGTAGATTGGATAATTTGCACGTTTGCAGGTCGGCATTGATGCTAATTCGCTATATGCTACCGGTCTCGGATGCCTTTTCACCGGCAAATTTCTCGCGCAATCAGCCGCAGTATCCTTGGTTGTACGCTCGCAACTCCACGTACCACGAATTAACACAAATAGTTACGCCACCTCTGGATGAGTTCATTCAGCGATTGCAGGACAAGGGTGTGACAGCATACAACGGTCCGCTCTTTTTTGAAACCACTGGCATACTGGACGATGTTTACTTGCGGGCAAATTCTACATACGGCTTCTTTGATACCGACCAGATGAAGACGGATGTGATGGAGATGGTTCAACAAACGCGTGCTAGAAAAAACTGTAGCGACGGGGGCATGAGCGACGTGGAAATTCATTTTGGTGGACTCGAGCCGCAAATCGTGACATCAAGGACAAACGGCACCTTTTCTGAGTAAGGGTATTTTGAGAAATTTTTCAGGCGACGATATCCATTATGATGCATCCTGCGGCATTCCTTACCATTACTCATTAATTTGTAGTTTACATTTTGCACAACTGCTCAGCACGCTTGTAACAGATTTAATGATGTATTTTGTATGTCGACACGGTCATTACAATTCTATTTGATATGAGCGCAGGAACTGCTGCCCGCAGCAGGTCGCGTTTTTGTGGGTGCGATGTTGTTCTGCAAGTAAGGACTGTTGATATAAACTGTCATGGTACTCGTATTACGTTTATGTACGTACTACTCTTTGTCTCGTTTATGAGATGTTTGATATAGCACCAGTTACTGTTTTGCACAGTGTGACAGTGATGCCCATTCAGCTTGCCATCCACGTCCAGCAGAGGACCCTAGTCTCCGATCGTTTCGACGGGTTCCCGTTACCCATCCATACCGATCGCTACTATTTTGACTCAGAATCGGTCCGTCGCCGAGTTAATATAAACACCACGGGTCTTCATCTGCTGGACCAACTGCCGCTGAACCCGGCACACTCGTTTCGGATGCATCTGGGTCGACCATTAAATGTGCAGTGGTTGCCGCTGCTGGAGACTCTGATGACATCGCAGCTGAACACCAGCATCGGTGACCTTTTCTATAACGTTCTAGCAGCGTAAGAGAAAAATATAGAGTAACGTTTACTCCTGCAGGTCCACATCACCGAGCGGAAGTGCGAGTATGGAACTTCGATCCAGATGGTTGGGTTGTCAACTTCTTCGTGATTCTGCGTTCTGAACCCATGCTATGGCTGGGATACGTTCTGGATGCCAGACTACCGTACGCTGCCAGCATCTACCGTAAACTCGAAGGTCTTCAGCTTCGTCTGCCATCGGCTAGTGCAGTGTATATGCTGATGACGTATGTTGTTGATGACATTTCGAAGCGCGTGGTTAGAGAACGGGCCTTTCGAGATTGCGAAGGCGAGGATAAGTGGCTTTCCTTTCCGGTAGAGGAGCAGGAGTGTCCTCTGCAGAAGAACTTCACATTGTACGTCGAGTGGCTATCCGAGTATCCACATAGACGTTATCTTCAGAACGGATTTGTGAAAGTGCAACCGGTAAGATGCAACATTTTGGACGCCAGGTGATTATTACTGGCCTGGTCAAATGCAGTACAGTACGCACATGTGTCAGACATCATTCTGTAATCTGTGGACTGCGCGATCCCAGAACAAAAAGTTTGCGTAGGAAACTTTCCTGCTGGGATAACGTTGGACATAAATGCAGTATACTGAAATAATGAAGCGAACGGTGCCCTTATAATTTTTGCTGTTTCTTCGCAGAATGCCGATAAAATCTTGGATGCCGTACAGCAAGCTTTTGCCATTGCAAACCCCGTGACAATGGATAATATCGTTCTTACCATTTCTTTAACGGATCGCGATGACAGTTTACGAACGACCATAGGGTAAGTTTATTCAATGACATTTCCACAGGAAAAGCATAAAATTACCAAAGCGGTGCTCAGTGGTGCTATTCCAAAGCGCATTTTTCCGTGGTTACCAGTTAGTCTCACATACTTCACTCATGTTTGCTCCACTTATAGGCGCGACGCTTTCAAGTTAAGTTTCGCTCTGTCGTACCCGAAAATGAAGAGCGGATTGTATTGGAAATTGTGGCGCTATCCATCCTACGATGAACTAAACGGCTTGTTGCAGAGTGTTGCAGAAGTTAAACTTGTCCGCACTTGGACAGTTGCGATCCCAGTTTCCAATTAACATAGTTCAGTGTCCCATTTATCGTTTCTGTTTGCAAAGAAACGACGACATTTCACCGTTTGAATTTGTTCTTATGTTAAGTTGCAGTACTTACTAAAAGTTGTGCAAGTCTTCGTAGCGTATTAACATTTATTATGTTATTTATTTGATAACGGCAAAAGTAAAGTCAAATAAACCTTTTGCTGAGCAAGTTTTGTACTGATTTTGCATTAAAACTTGATAAAGCTGGTATTTAAGACTTATCCTGGAAACCGTCATTAAGAATGCAATAACATCGCTGCCGTGAAGAGATGACCTTGATCGAAAGTTTGTTAGAGCAGTGATCACTCAGTGACTACGCTGTAAAACCACCAACATTTATTAGCTATTGTGCTGTTGGTTGAATCAGTTGCGCTATGATGTTGCCTCCGGTTGTCTCTTGTTGTTCTGCTTTTCTCTCTACGCGTTTTTTGCTCTTTCTCTCTACGCATATGAGTTTGGTGTAACTGAGTAAACTCAGAGATTGCATATGAGTTATGGCATTTAAAAAACGCGGTTTAAACGCAAACAATCCTTTAACCTTTATCAAAACGAATTTAAGCTTTACATCTGACCGCTTAAAATGCTACACAATTGTTTATCCTAGTGCAAACAGTACGAATACCGACATACAGATACTCTATACGTGACTTTTTCATAGTGTGCAAAGCTTGTTAAAACTGCGCAGTCCAACGTTTTACTTTTAGGCTCTGATGATCGAGCGGAAGGGCATGTACAGTACTTTGATCCGATGCTTGAGTTGTCAACTTCCTGTGAGGCCTTCTTTGTGGTTTATTTCGGTAATTTTAAAAATTTTAAAATGGCAGGCTAGCAAAATGCGCACCATGACTGCATGAGTGTTTTGAATTGAACCATGCTGTAGATTACGCCAGGCTACTTTTGGCAAGATTTTTATAGGAACTTTAGGAACTGAAAAATTATAGGAACTGAAAATTATAGGCTAGATTCTAGAATAAAAGGAATTTCATGATTTTACTATTAGTTTTATATTACCCGTAAACAGGCTGCCTGAAAGCAGCCAGTTCAGTACAGTACCGGACCACTGTCTTGAATTCTTCCTCTGCTGGACACCATCGATCTGTATTATTTACTATATTTACTATAAATAGTCAATACTAATATTTATGTACATGGAAGTACTTCAGTGCGGTTGCAGTGTCTGGCGTTTGGCAAAATTGCGAATAATGCTTGTGTAATTGCTGTGGCGCACCTGGAAATGTGTATACGTTCACTGCATTGTGCGTACCTTGATAAGAAGCGGTGCATTTCTATGGTTGATTTGATAGCGGGCTGTCGTGTTGCCAGTTGTCATCGCAAACAGCAGCCGAGTTGTTAAATAAGAGGTTCGGTTCGTTATCGGTGCTTTATCGGTGTCCATTGTCAGAACCATCGCGTAACCGCTTTCCATCATTCACGACTGTTCCCAGGCTGCTAACTGGCCTAACCTTGATGCCCTACAAAAATTACGATTCTAACTATATATAACAATAACGCGAAGCACAGCTACGCACTTGTAAAATTCATAGTTTTAATTTTTTCGATTGCGAATTTTCTTTGCTCGGCTTTCCACGATGATGGGCATAACGGCAGTAATAGTTCTGACCTTGAGCGGTTTCTCAGGTATGTCGCCCCGTTTATGCGTTCTAGCACTACATATTGGCATTGCGTACAACAACCTTGTGAAGCTCGCACAGCGACAACGACAATTTTTGAAGAGAATCTGCGTTTGTATTCTTCTTGGCATATGCAGAGCGTTGTGTTGATTTATTTAAGTGTTGCATTTGTTGCATGCCACTGCAACCTGCTGTTTTTCAGTTCTTCACGCCTCCGCACAAGTGAACACAGCGACGCCCGCTGTACAGAAAGACATTGTCGACGGCATAATGCCTACCGCTCCTCGGTTTCACCGTCGGCAGCCAATATGCGCAAACTGGAGTGGAGCGCCGCTGTGGCCCAGATGGCGCAGACCTGGGCCAAGGGCTGCAACTACGAGCATAGTCCCAGTTCTCATCGACCGGTCAGTTAAGAAACCACTTGAGCGCATCGGTAATAATAGTGTTAATTATTTTTCTTAAATGCCTATCTGTATGCACCATGGCCAGCCACTAGACTCACTACTGAAACCTTGCGGCATAATGCCGCATTTTCATAATGGAGGTTTTAAGAAATCCGTCTAAGAATGCCTGATAACAGCAATCGTAGTGCATGACTGAATTGTTAGACGGACATCCTCACAGTGGCATATTATATTTATTTAAGAAATGGCACAGTTTTTAAATACTGGAAACTTTTAGGATGGTGCATGTCACCGCTTCCTCATTCTTGTTACGTTGTCACTGTAGGGCTGTGGCGAGAATCTGGCTGCCAGCGCAGGTACCGCGGCGTCCTGGGCCAACGACGCTATTGATCCGTGGGCGGATGAGCGACATGATTATACGTTTGGCCAGACAATTATACGTCTGGCCAGGCCAGACAAGTATGGCCACCGGTTGGTGGGATCCGAAACCGGTTGGTCACTGGACAGCGGTAAGAACAACAGTACACTGCAGACTCAAAGGGTCTGCTTATAATTTCGATACGAGTACTGTAGAAATTTTACACATTGTTGACAGATGATCTGGGGCGAAACGTATCAAGTGGGTTGCGGCTATAAATTGTGCCCGGAAATACCAGTCCACTGTGAGTTTAAAATTTAATGCGATATTTACAATCTGACTTCGAGTTTATTTTCAGATAGGAGATAGAATAAAAATTATCTGTGCAGTCTAAGGAATTCTTTCGAGGTTAAGAAGAGAGTCAGGAATTGATTGTTATATAAAATTAATCTGTGTTATTGCGCTGTTGCGAAGTATTTATCATGTTTCGATGAAATATAGATGTTATACTAATAAATATTCATCGAAATCAAATAAAATGGTCGTGAGCACAAGAAACACGGGCAAAGCCGAGTCTGTTTCTTGTATTATTTAACTTTACTTACGGTTAGTGACGAATTTATGGACTGTCGACTGTCTTAAATGAGAGAAGTTTCAGTAATCCTAAAATCTAAATTGAAAGAATTCTGAATGCTGTTAATTAATGTGAACGAGGTAAAACGCGATGAACCACGATGCTGGGAGAATAAAACAGACAGCAAGCTGTGTAGCAAGACTTGTCTGGTTTACAGAAGCGGAGCCCATTACTAAATAATTAACATTTCACGGAAGACGAACCAGCACCTGTTCTATTCGTCTTTATTGTATTCGTCTGACAGTTGTAAGAGTAATATGACAGACAACTTCCGCAAAACAGCAGTAAGTTAGTTATTCAGTTAGAAGCAAGTTAGTTAGTTAGAATTCCGTAAAACAATAAACCAGAGTCGTGAAACGTGTTTGGCAGCAACGTGCCTGAAAAGCTTTGCGGCGATTCCGGAATGCCACAAAGCGTTTCTCACAACAGTGGATGACTTTCTTTGCCAGCACTCAAAATAATGCGGAGGAAAATCAAAGTGAACGTAGATCGTGCCGCCACCAGATGTGAATCCTTTACCGTGTACAACCGGGATATCCGGCCAAATCGATTACGTTGAATGGATGCATATATTAAGACAAAACCGTCTCGCACAGCCGTTATTATGTCGTTAGTATGTTCAAAACTTAGTTTGATTTCACCGGCATGGAGAACATATTATTAGAATGCTTGCTCCGATTTCGTGGCGTACCAAGGTCCATAACATTGTTTTTTCTCTTCGCTACCTTGCCGCTCATATCATCGAACAACATCCAAACTGTCAACGAGATTCCACGCTCACGCCTTAATAATACAAGGATCTATTCCCAAATCACCGAATTAGGTATGTACAAATGCTTCGTGCTTAGAAGAAACCACAGAACCATTCATGTTACACACTACCGCATCCGCCAAAGGTTATTACCGTATGCCGTGAAGGTTTCGGTAGTTAATTTTCCATAATAAACTGGCTCACAAAGTGTTTTCTAGGAGAGAACGAAACCTTTCCAGGAACATTCAGCCTGTGTCCCAATGTTTCGGACACAAAGCTAGTCAACAGAATCCCACTACCCGAACGTTACGATTACCTACAGGTTTTACGTGGAATGAACAGTGTAAGCTTCGATGTACAGCCCGACTTCTTCATGCGGCAGTTCCAAACGTTCCTCGAACTGAAAGAATTTGTGAGCCACCACAAGCTGGCAATAAAGATCAGTAACCAATCGGTAGCTGAGCTGCAGGATGCCCTTACTTATGCTTGGTTACCTCGTCTTGGTAAGATGGCCACACCTCAACAGACTCGGAAATCAAGCAGAGAAGACGCTTTTAACTGAGTGTGCGTATATTTCAGCAAAAGCAACTGGACAGCGACACGTGCAGAAATCCTGCGCATTGAAAAGGGACCAGGTTCTCAACAGACGGGTAATCGCGTGTCATGGCTTGTCTGTAATTTGTGCTATTGTAGATTGGATAATGTACGTTTGCAGGTCGGCATTGATGCTAATTCGCTATATGCTACCGGTCTCGGATGCCTTTTCACCGGCAAATTTCTCGCGCAATCAGCCGCAGTATCCTTGGTTGTACGCTCGCAACTCCACGTACCACGAATTAACACAAATAGTTACGCCACCTCTGGATGAGTTCATTCAGCGATTGCAGGACAAGGGTGTGACAGCATACAACGGTCCGCTCTTTTTTGAAACCACTGGCATACTGGACGATGTTTACTTGCGGGCAAATTCTACATACGGCTTCTTTGATACCGACCAGATGAAGACGGATGTGATGGAGATGGTTCAACAAACGCGTGCTAGAAAAAACTGTAGCGACGGGGGCATGAGCGACGTGGAAATTCATTTTGGTGGACTCGAGCCGCAAATCGTGACATCAAGGACAAACGGCACCTTTTCTGAGTAAGGTATTTGAGAAATTTTTCAGCGACGATATCCATTATGATGCATCCTGCGGCATTCCTTACCATTACTCATTAATTTGTAGTTTACATTTTGCACAACTGCTCAGCACGCTTGTAACAGATTTAATGATGTATATGTCGACACGGTCATTACAATTCTATTTGATATGAGCGCAGGAACTGCTGCCCGCAGCAGGTCGCGTTTTGTGGGTGCGATGTTGTTCTGCAAGTAAGGACTGTTGATATAAACTGTCATGGTACTCGTATTACGTTTATGTACGTACTACTCTTTGTCTCGTTTATGAGATGTTTGATATAGCACCAGTTACTGTTTTGCACAGTGTGACAGTGATGCCCATTCAGCTTGCCATCCACGTCCAGCAGAGGACCCTAGTCTCCGATCGTTTCGACGGGTTCCGTTACCCATCCATACCGATCGCTACTATTTTGACTCAGAATCGGTCCGTCGCCGAGTTAATATAAACACCACGGGTCTTCATCTGCTGGACCAACTGCCGCTGAACCCGGCACACTCGTTTCGGATGCATCTGGGTCGACCATTAAATGTGCAGTGGTTGCCGCTGCTGGAGACTCTGATGACATCGCAGCTGAACACCAGCATCGGTGACCTTTTCTATAACGTTCTAGCAGCGTAAGAGAAAAAATAGAGTAACGTTTACTCCTGCAGGTCCACATCACCGAGCGGAAGTGCGAGTATGGAACTTCGATCCAGATGGTTGGGTTGTCAACTTCTTCGTGATTCTGCGTTCTGAACCCATGCTATGGCTGGGATACGTTCTGGATGCCAGACTACCGTACGCTGCCAGCATCTACCGTAAACTCGAAGGTCTTCAGCTTCGTCTGCCATCGGCTAGTGCAGTGTATATGCTGATGACGTATGTTGTTGATGACATTTCGAAGCGCGTGGTTAGAGAACGGGCCTTTCGAGATTGCGAAGGCGAGGATAAGTGGCTTTCCTTTCCGGTAGAGGAGCAGGAGTGTCCTCTGCAGAAGAACTTCACATTGTACGTCGAGTGGCTATCCGAGTATCCACATAGACGTTATCTTCAGAACGGATTTGTGAAAGTGCAACCGGTAAGATGCAACATTTTGGACGCCAGGTGATTATTACTGGCCTGGTCAAATGCAGTACAGTACGCACATGTGTCAGACATCATTCTGTAATCTGTGGACTGCGATCCCAGAACAAAAGTTTGCGGAAACTTTCCTGCTGGGATAACGTTGGACATAAATGCAGTATACTGAAATAATGAAGCGAACGGTGCCCTTATAATTTTTGCTGTTTCTTCGCAGAATGCCGATAAAATCTTGGATGCCGTACAGCAAGCTTTTGCCATTGCAAACCCCGTGACAATGGATAATATCGTTCTTACCATTTCTTTAACGGATCGCGATGACAGTTTACGAACGACCATAGGGTAAGTTTATTCAATGACATTTCCACAGGAAAAGCATAAAATTACCAAAGCGGTGCTCAGTGGTGCTATTCCAAAGCGCATTTTTCCGTGGTTACCAGTTAGTCTCACATACTTCACTCATGTTTGCTCCACTTATAGGCGCGACGCTTTCAAGTTAAGTTTCGCTCTGTCGTACCCGAAAATGAAGAGCGGATTGTATTGGAAATTGTGGCGCTATCCATCCTACGATGAACTAAACGGCTTGTTGCAGAGTGTTGCAGAAGTTAAACTTGTCCGCACTTGGACAGTTGCGATCCCAGTTTCCAATTAACATAGTTCAGTGTCCCATTTATCGTTTCTGTTTGCAAAGAAACGACGACATTTCACCGTTTGAATTTGTTCTTATGTTAAGTTGCAGTACTTACTAAAAGTTGTGCAAGTCTTCGTAGCGTATTAACATTTATTATGTTATTTATTTGATAACGGCAAAAGTAAAGTCAAATAAACCTTTTGCTGAGCAAGTTTTGTACTGATTTTGCATTAAAACTTGATAAAGCTGGTATTTAAGACTTATCCTGGAAACCGTCATTAAGAATGCAATAACATCGCTGCCGTGAAGAGATGACCTTGATCGAAAGTTTGTTAGAGCAGTGATCACTCAGTGACTACGCTGTAAAACCACCAACATTTATTAGCTATTGTGCTGTTGGTTGAATCAGTTGCGCTATGATGTTGCCTCCGGTTGTCTCTTGTTGTTCTATGTTGCTCTTTCTCTACGCGTTTTTTGAAAATGTCCATGCACGAATCAGAGATTGCATATGAGTTATGGCATTAACTGAGTAAACTCGGTAAACGTCATATGCAATCCCTAATTCGTGACACATTTAAAAAAAACGCGTTTTAGCAAACATTAATTTAACAAACCTTTAAGTCGAAAATTTATCTGCAAGACGGAATTTAAGCTTTACATCTGACCGCTTAAAATGCTACACAATTGTTTATCCTAGTGCAAACAGTACGAATACCGACATACAGATACTCTATACGTGACTTTTTCATAGTGTGCAAAGCTTGTTAAAACTGCGCAGTCCAACGTTTTACTTTTAGGCTCTGATGATCGAGCGGAAGGGCATGTACAGTACTTTGATCCGATGCTTGAGTTGTCAACTTCCTGTGAGGCCTTCTTTGTGGTTTATTTCGGTAATTTTAAAAATTTTAAAAATGGCAGGCTAGCAAAATGCGCACCATGACTGCATGAGTGTTTTGAATTGAACCATGCTGTAGATTACGCCAGGCTACTTTTGGCAAGATTTTTATAGGAACTTTAGGAACTGAAAAATTATAGGAACTGAAAATTATAGGCTAGATTCTAGAATAAAAGGGAATTTCATGATTTTACTATTAGTTTTATATTACTCGTAAACAGGCTGCCTGAAAGCAGCCAGTTCAGTACAGTACCGGACCACTGTCTTGAATTTTCCCTGCTGACACCACGATCTGTATTATTTACTATATTTACTATAAATAGTCAATACTAATATTTATGTACATGGAAGTACTTCAGTGCGGTTGCAGTGTCTGGCGTTTGCAGCAAAATTGCGAATAATGCTTGTGTAATTGCTGTGGCGCACCTGGAAATGTGTATACGTTCACTGCATTGTGCGTACCTTGATAAGAAGCGGTGCATTTCTATGGTTGATTTGATAGCAAAGCGGGCTGTCGTGTTGCCAGTTGTCATCGCAAACAGCAGCCGAGTTGTTAAATAAGAGGTTCGGTTCGTTATCGGTGCTTTATCGGTGTCCATTGTCAGAACCATCGCGTAACCGCTTTCCATCATTCACGACTGTTCCCAGGCTGCTAACTGGCCTAACCTTGATGCCCTACAAAAATTATGCGATTCTAACTATATATAACAATAACGCGAAGCACAGCTACGCACTTGTAAAATTCATAGTTTTAATTTTTTCGATTGCGAATTTTCTTTTGCTCGGCTTTCCACGATGATGGGCATAACGGCAGTAATAGTTCTGACCTTGAGCGGTTTCTCAGGTATGTCGCCCCGTTTATGCGTTCTAGCACTACATATTGGCATTGCGTACAACAACCTTGTGAATCGCACAGCGACAACATTAATTTTGAAGAGAATCTGCGTTTGTATTCTTCTTGGCATATGCAGAGCGTTGTGTTGATTTATTTAAGTGTTGCATTTGTTACTGCATGCCACTATGCTTGGTTACCCACGCTCGGTGAGATTGCCACGAAGCCAGTGACTCTTCTGTTCACGCTTTTAAATGTGTGAGCATGTTGCAGAAAGGAGTAACTGGGAGGCGACGCATGCCGAAATCGTGCAGATTGAAAACGGAACTTGGTATTTTTCTACCACCGGGTAATTAACGCTAATGCTTCCATTAACAAACAATTACCAGGTAGGATACGTACATTATGGCTTATTCGAATTTTTAGGACGCCGCTAATGATGATTCGTTACATGTTGCCTGTATCGGATGCTTTCTCACCCGCGAATTTCTCCCGTAATATACCGCGGTATCCCTGGTTGTACGCTCGCAACTCATCCTATCACGAACTGCCCAATTTAGTTCCACCATCCGTTGATGAGTTGATTCAGCGACTGCGGGAGAAGGGCTTAACAGTATACAACGGTACGGCCTTCTACAACACCGTGGGTATACTGGATGATGTCTATCTTCTGGCAAATTCTACTTACGGCTTCTTCGATGCGAATCAGTGGAAGGCGGATGTAATGGCAAATGTTCAACGAAGACGTGTTATACAGAACTGTAGCGACGCGGGTTTGAATGGGGTGGAAATTCATCTAGGCCAACTCGAACCGGGAATTGTGACATCAAGGTTGAATGGCACCTTTTCGGAGTAAGGGCAGTTTTTCAATGCAAAAGTATCCATTGTGGTGCATACCGATTCTGTCTACAATTTTGGAGCAGAATTTCATTTCCGCCACATATTATCGGTTTATGGATACATACACCGTTATAGATACATACATTATAGATACATACTTGTACAGTACCTTATAGATACATACCGTTATAGATACATACATATTACATTATAGATACATTAGTGTGGTACATAATTTAATTATATGTACATACATATGTTGTGTATATCATAGCATTTTCGCTAGATGTATTGCTGAAACACCGGTTCTTGGTTTTAACAGGACGGTGGCACTGTCCGCTCCTTTTATGATCAACGTGCAGCAGAAGACGCTTGTTTTTGATCGGAGCTACATATTTAGTCCCTTTTGTCAACAAAACCGATGGTTACTATCTTAACGTAAGAACAACACTTCTGAAGAACACAACTGGTTTCCATCTGGTGGACCAACCGCCGCGGAACCCGGCTTACTCGTTTCGGATGCATTTGAATCGACCGTTGAGTGTTCAGCGGCTGCCGCTACTGCCGTACAGCAAGCTTTTGCCATTGCAAACCCCGTGACAATGGATAATATCGTTCTTACCATTTCTTTAACGGATCGCGATGACAGTTTACGAACGACCATAGGGTAAGTTTATTCAATGACATTTCCACAGGAAAAGCATAAAATTACCAAAGCGGTGCTCAGTGGTGCTATTCCAAAGCGCATTTTTCCGTGGTTACCAGTTAGTCTCACATACTTCACTCATGTTTGCTCCACTTATAGGCGCGACGCTTTCAAGTTAAGTTTCGCTCTGTCGTACCCGAAAATGAAGAGCGGATTGTATTGGAAATTGTGGCGCTATCCATCCTACGATGAACTAAACGGCTTGTTGCAGAGTGTTGCAGAAGTTAAACTTGTCCGCACTTGGACAGTTGCGATCCCAGTTTCCAATTAACATAGTTCAGTGTCCCATTTATCGTTTCTGTTTGCAAAGAAACGACGACATTTCACCGTTTGAATTTGTTCTTATGTTAAGTTGCAGTACTTACTAAAAGTTGTGCAAGTCTTCGTAGCGTATTAACATTTATTATGTTATTTATTTGATAACGGCAAAAGTAAAGTCAAATAAACCTTTTGCTGAGCAAGTTTTGTACTGATTTTGCATTAAAACTTGATAAAGCTGGTATTTAAGACTTATCCTGGAAACCGTCATTAAGAATGCAATAACATCGCTGCCGTGAAGAGATGACCTTGATCGAAAGTTTGTTAGAGCAGTGATCACTCAGTGACTACGCTGTAAAAACCACCAACATTTATTAGCTATTGTGCTGTTGGTTGAATCAGTTGCGCTATGATGTTGCCTCCGGTTGTCTCTTGTTGTTCTATGTTGCTCTTTCTCTCTACGCGTTTTTTGAAAATGTGTCCATGCACGAATCAGAGATTGCATATGAGTTATGGCATTAACTGAGTAAACTCGGTAAACGTCATATGCAATCCCTAATTCGTGACACATTTTTAAAAAAACGCGTTTTAGCAAACATTAATTTAACAAACCTTTAAGTCGAAAATTTATCTGCAAGACGGAATTTAAGCTTTACATCTGACCGCTTAAAAATGCTACACAATTGTTTATCCTAGTGCAAACAGTACGAATACCGACATACAGATACTCTATACGTGACTTTTTCATAGTGTGCAAAGCTTGTTAAAACTGCGCAGTCCAACGTTTTACTTTTAGGCTCTGATGATCGAGCGGAAGGGCATGTACAGTACTTTGATCCGATGCTTGAGTTGTCAACTTCCTGTGAGGCCTTCTTTGTGGTTTATTTCGGTAATTTTAAAAATTTTAAAAATGGCAGGCTAGCAAAATGCGCACCATGACTGCATGAGTGTTTTGAATTGAACCATGCTGTAGATTACGCCAGGCTACTTTTGGCAAGATTTTTATAGGAACTTTAGGAACTGAAAAATTATAGGAACTGAAAATTATAGGCTAGATTCTAGAATAAAAGGGAATTTCATGATTTTACTATTAGTTTTATATTACCCGTAAACAGGCTGCCTGAAAGCAGCCAGTTCAGTACAGTACCGGACCACTGTCTTGAATTCTTCCTCTGCTGGACACCATCGATCTGTATTATTTACTATATTTACTATAAATAGTCAATACTAATATTTATGTACATGGAAGTACTTCAGTGCGGTTGCAGTGTCTGGCGTTTGCAGCAAAATTGCGAATAATGCTTGTGTAATTGCTGTGGCGCACCTGGAAATGTGTATACGTTCACTGCATTGTGCGTACCTTGATAAGAAGCGGTGCATTTCTATGGTTGATTTGATAGCAAAGCGGGCTGTCGTGTTGCCAGTTGTCATCGCAAACAGCAGCCGAGTTGTTAAATAAGAGGTTCGGTTCGTTATCGGTGCTTTATCGGTGTCCATTGTCAGAACCATCGCGTAACCGCTTTCCATCATTCACGACTGTTCCCAGGCTGCTAACTGGCCTAACCTTGATGCCCTACAAAAATTATGCGATTCTAACTATATATAACAATAACGCGAAGCACAGCTACGCACTTGTAAAATTCATAGTTTTAATTTTTTTCGATTGCGAATTTTCTTTTGCTCGGCTTTCCACGATGATGGGCATAACGGCAGTAATAGTTCTGACCTTGAGCGGTTTCTCAGGTATGTCGCCCCCGTTTATGCGTTCTAGCACTACATATTGGCATTGCGTACAACAACCTTGTGAAGCTCGCACAGCGACAACATTAATTTTTGAAGAGAATCTGCGTTTGTATTCTTCTTGGCATATGCAGAGCGTTGTGTTGATTTATTTAAGTGTTGCATTTGTTACTGCATGCCACTGCAACCTGCTGTTTTTTCAGTTCTTCACGCCTCCGCACAAGTGAACACAGCGACGCCCGCTGTACAGAAAGACATTGTCGACCGGCATAATGCCTACCGCTCCTCGGTTTCACCGTCGGCAGCCAATATGCGCAAACTGGAGTGGAGCGCCGCTGTGGCCCAGATGGCGCAGACCTGGGCCAAGGGCTGCAACTACGAGCATAGTCCCAGTTCTCATCGACCGGTCAGTTAAGAAACCACTTGAGCGCATCGGTAATAATAGTGTTAATTATTTTTCTTAAATGCCTATCTGTATGCACCATGGCCAGCCACTAGACTCACTACTGAAACCTTGCGGCATAATGCCGCATTTTCATAATGGAGGTTTTAAGAAATCCGTCTAAGAATGCCTGATAACAGCAATCGTAGTGCATGACTGAATTGTTAGACGGACATCCTCACAGTGGCATATTATATTTATTTAAGAAATGGCACAGTTTTTAAATACTGGAAACTTTTAGGATGGTGCATGTCACCGCTTCCTCATTCTTGTTACGTTGTCACTGTAGGGCTGTGGCGAGAATCTGGCTGCCAGCGCAGGTACCGCGGCGTCCTGGGCCAACGACGCTATTGATCCGTGGGCGGATGAGCGACATGATTATACGTTTGGCCAGACAATTATACGTCTGGCCAGGCCAGACAAGTATGGCCACCGGTTGGTGGGATCCGAAACCGGTTGGTCACTGGACAGCGGTAAGAACAACAGTACACTGCAGACTCAAAAGGGTCTGCTTATAATTTCGATACGAGTACTGTAGAAATTTTACACACATTATTGACAGATGATCTGGGGCGAAACGTATCAAGTGGGTTGCGGCTATAAATTGTGCCCGGGAAATACCAGTCCCTTCGGAAGCAGCTCGTGGCATTACTACGTCTGCAATTACTGTCCTCCGTGAGTGCAATAACAAAACTGCGCTAAAAACCAATTTTCCGTTAAGGGTATTCATGAGCTTTGACAGGGGCAATATGCAAGACGGTAACGGACTACAGAAGCCGTACCGCAGTGGAGCACCGTGTAGCGCCTGTCCTGCCGGTTGGAATACCTGCGACAACAATTTATGCAGTAAGGGCACATGCATTATCTGTACAGTGTTCATTCGCCGACTAACCTTAGCTTTCATGCTAAGGTAAATCAGCCTCGGCGACTACGGCACGCCCTCCGCCCACCACCGCATCAGTCGGTCAGGTGCAGTGCCCCGCGGAATGCCAGTGTCCGCCTTCACCGGTATCGGATTGTGATACGGCGCGACCAGGTAGGTTTTTTATCGACCACTAACTGATCCGGATGTACAACATTCGGAGTAACGATGACACGCTTTATAGACCAATGGTCCAACTGCTACGAATTGGAAGTGGAATACGGGATTTGCAATGTGGAAGTGGAGGGTCTGGAAGGGACCGGCGCCGAGTGCGAGACCACGTGTTTTTGTTATGCCCGCAAGCGTAACACCATAACGGATCTGTCACGCAGTTTGAAGATACCACAGCGTTTCTTATAAAAACAGCGCGTATCTGCGCTAAGATGAAAGTGTATTTGAATAAAAATTCTGTAATGCGAATCAATAGTATTTAACTTGGTTAACCAGTTTGGAAACTGGAACCACAATAATAGTTTTTTAAGGCTCTTTTCAGCCATGTAGTTCTGCGAATTCTGTTAATGGGCTTCTCTGCACTTTATTACGCCCGTCCGTTGCACGGGCGTATACCATTTACTGGAGATAAATAAATAGTTATCTTAATCTCAGATTTTTTAATGGTGATCCTCGTCGTCCCGCAAAAAAATTAGAATTCTCTTCAAGGCAGTTCAGTTTCCGCCGCATCCCATTAACCAATAAAATGCGAGATAATATTGAAATTTATAACACACAGGAAACCGTAACAAAACTTTTAAATTGCTCACTTTAGCTCACTCACTCACTTTTGCTCCCTGTAAATTAGCTTCGTCGTTTACGTACTTATTTTAAAGTTTCTTCCACAACGGCAGAACCGAAGGATACTTTTGGTTATTTACAATATAAACATGAATCGTAATCGACGACGAATCGAAGTTCAAACTAGAATTGCGAGGTGCGCGATAACATGATGGATTAAAACCAGAAGGATAAAGCTCACGATGCTTCTCGTTTTCTTTTCCGCATTCTTTTCTTGCGATACGTCTACATAGATGTTGCTTGGTACAGATACTGAGAGCTGCGCAAAGTTGCGCGCCGCATACGGAAAATTGATTGACATGCTGTTGCTGTCAATAAGCTGCGGGCAGCTACGAGTAGAATCAAACCTGCCAAATGACAATAGTCATAATAGTGATTAGACTGTCATGTTAACCAAGTCTGATTGAAGATTTTCGCAGCGGTGCATGGTGTCTCATCTTATTTTCTATATACCGACGCACCGCAGAAGAAAAGCACGAACCATTCTTGAAATCTTTTCGCGCCGTGGGAGAGAATACAGCGCTTGAATAGGGCGCTCAGATGCTTAACAGCGTTTCTCGCAACTGTGGTTGAGTTGTTCCCCACTGATGCAACCGAATCCAATGAAACAGAGCAAGTCCCACCGTACAGGCACCAAAACCTGAATACTCTTACTGTATAGCACCGAGATAACCGGAACTCGATGTGAATAATTGTCATTTCTTTTAGAGTCTATGCCTCTATGGAATAAGCTGAATGAATACATATTTCCGTAATATACAAAAAATCATGGCTTGTTAATGTACCGGCTGATGTACTAGGTACTGGTTCTGACTTGCTGATGTATCGGTAACGCGATTATTACATTATTTCGATGTCTACAACATGGATAATATACTAGAACGATTGATCCTCGTGGCGGACCATGGCCCATAAGATATAGCCACCAAGGTGTAAATTTTTTGCGGGCTGTGATTCACTGATCCCGGCAAGTTTCTGGGTTACTGTATTTCGCAGACGCCCACTTCCAGTAAAGTCCTGGAGGCAATACAGCAGGCTTTCGCCTTCGTGAACTCCGTTGCAATGGATAATATCACGTTAACCATCACCTTGACGGATCGCGATGACAGTTTACGTACTACGGAAGGATGAGCATGCTTATCCGCACGACGAAAACATAAACGATCACCCCAGATAATCTGCCAATTTTTCTCCGCACGTTGTTTAAGTGCGTACACTGCATTATGCATTATTCAGCCATTTTTCATAATTAAATTTATCTGCTTTCTGTTCACAGACGCTATGCTACCAAGTTCAGTTTTGCCCTGTCATATCCGAAAATGAAGAACGGGCTGTATTGGAACCTGTGGCGTTATCCGTCATTTAGTGAATTAAACCGTTCCTTGCAAAATGTTGCAGAGCCTAAAATTGTCCAGACACCGACAGTTACGGCGCAAGCGTTCCGCTAAGCTTATTAAAAAGTTCAAAACCAATCAGCAAAAAATAAAAAGGAATGAAAAAGATCAAATTTGAAATCGAAATCATTCTCTCCTCGTTTTTTTCACAACCTGCCGTAATAAATTAATATTTTAGCGTTTTGCTGTTTTACTTGACTCCTGTTCTTTTGGCGATTGTGTCAAAAAGAATTTTCTAGGGTGAATACATGACTACACATTCGCTGAGCGAGTGCATGCACGCTGTTATCGATATAAAATTATGTCATGTAGCTAATTAATGCACAAATAACAAGAAGCATCGGGGTGTGAAAGGGAAATTAACGATATTATAATGAATTTTCTGCGCCTGAGAAGAGGTTGGGGCTAATACTCGTATCATGCATGCACCAGCAAAAGATCAGGATTCCGAAAACAGTATTAGCTGATAGCGATAGCAAAGCTCATGCTGAACAGGTATGAAGCGATTCGATTCCGGAAATGCCTCGAAGAGCTTCCTACCATAGTGACTAACAAACATTTGCCGGTGCTGCAAACGATTTGGTCTAAACAGAGTAAAGCGCATTACTCAGATATTAAGCACCGGGATAACCGGAATTCACACAACGTAACGGATATTCCTTCGGGCGGAACTGGCGCAAGCTGAAGGACATATATAAGAAAGCAAAATTAGTCATCTTTCGTAGTCTGCTAATCTACTATCCCGGCAACGTGAAAATTACATTGATCTGTTGAACATGGAAAACACATTAAAGCTGTTAATCCGTGTTCATGGTTTACCAAAGTCCACAACACTACTGTTTCTTCTTTACCTTTGGGCGGCTAAGCCGGCCGCCTCCTCGAACCACATCGAAATTGCCAACGAGATTGCACATCCACTCCTAACAGCACAATATTCGGCCGTGTCAGCGAACTGGGTGAGCATCTGTACCACGTACCAGTTACGGATTATAAATTTTTGTAGTTCCACATCCGGTAATAGTCGTCTGAATGCGGTGCTGTTGAACAAACGCAGCCAAACCGGGACGTAAATATTTTGGTCGTTTTGATTTTTGGTATTGTTAGATTTTGGTTCTTCCTTTGGTATGACGATGACTTCTGTGCACAAAACATTTTTTTAGGAGAAAACGAAACCCTTCCAGGAACATCTACCGTTTGTGCCAATAAGTCGGAGGTCAAACTGCTCAATATGGATGCAACTCACGCAAGACAACTGTACTACGAAGATCTTCTTTTATTACGTGGATTAAGCAGCGTAAGGTTCGATGCCCAGTTTGGCTCTATTATGAAACGTTTTCAAACGTTCCTCGAACTGAAGGAGTACGTAAGCCAGCACGTGGTTATGCTGCAAATCAATAATCGAACAATATCCGAACTGCACGATGCGCTCACCTATGCTTGGTTACCCACGCTCGGTAAAACTGCCAAGAAACCAGTGACTTTTCTGTTCACGCTTTTAAATGTGTGAGCATGTTGCAGAAAGGAGCAACTGGGAGGCGACGCATGCCGAAATCGTGCAGATTGAAAACGGAACTTCGTATTTTTCTACCACCGGGTAATTAACGCTAATGCTTCCATTAACAAACCATTACAGGGTGGGATACATTATGCGAAGTTTTAGGACGCCGCTAATGATGATTCGTTTCGTGCTGCCTGTATCGGATGCTTTCTCACCCGCGAATTTCTCCCGCAATATACCGCGGTATCCCTGGTTGTACGCTCGCAACTCAGCCTATCACGAAGTGCCCATATTAGTTCCACCATCCGTTGATGAGTTGATTCAGCGACTGCGGGAGAAGGGCTTAACAGTATACAACGGTACGGCCTTCTACAACACCGTGGGTAAATGTCTATCTTCTGGCAAATTCTACTTACGGCTTCTTCGATACGAATCAGTGGAAGGCGGATGTAATGGCAAATGTTCAACGAAGACGTGTTATACAGAACTGTAGCGACGCGGGTTTGAATGGGGTGGAAATTCATCTAGGCCAACTCGAACCGGGAATTGTGACATCAAGGTTGAATGGCACCTTTTCGGAGTAAGGGCAGTTTTTCAATGCAAAAGTATCCATTGTGGTGCATACCGATTCTGTCTACAATTTTGGAGCAGAATTTCATTTCCGCCACATATTATCGGTTTATGGATACATACACCGTTATAGATACATACATTATAGATACATACTTGTACAGTACCTTATAGATACATACCGTTATAGATACATACATATTACATTATAGATACATTAGTGTGGTACATAATTTAATTATATGTACATACATATGTTGTGTATATCATAGCATTTTCGCTAGATGTATTGCTGAAACACCGGTTCTTGGTTTTAACAGGACGGTGGCACTGTCCGCTCCTTTTATGATCAACGTGCAGCAGAAGACGCTTGTTTTTGATCGGAGCTACATATTTAGTCCCTTTTGTCAACAAAACCGATGGTTACTATCTTAACGTAAGAACAACACTTCTGAAGAACACAACTGGTTTCCATCTGGTGGACCAACCGCCGCGGAACCCGGCTTACTCGTTTCGGATGCATTTGAATCGACCGTTGAGTGTTCAGCGGCTGCCGCTACTGGAGTCTCTGATGACATCTCAGCTAAACATCGGCAATGGTGATCTTTCCTACATTATAAACTTGTAGTGTATAAGAAATGTGTGCCTCAAGGTGGTTCTTCCAGGTTCTGATCGAGTGGAGGTGCGTCTGTGGGGCTTTGATCCGAATGGTTGGACTGTTAACTTTTTTGTGATGCTGCCTCACGCCTGGCTCCCGAAGCAAGAGGTGCTGGATGCCAGATTGCCCTATGCCGCCAGCATCTATCGTAAACTCGATGGTCTTCAGCTTCGTTTACCATCGACTAATAGAACTTATACGCTGATGACGTATCCTCTACCCGATTCTTTGAAGGATGCGATTAAAGCATCGACTCTTGAGCAATGCGATGGAGAGGATAACTTGCTTTCCTTACCAGTGGAAGAACAAGCGTGCCCTCTGAAGAAAGCCTTCACCTTGTACGTTGAGTGGCCATCGGAACGGCATTCCCATAAGCATTATCTGGAGAACGGGTTAATAAAAGAGCTACCGGTAAGCTGTGAAATTAGTTGTGCTGGGTTAGTTGAATCCCGGTCTATGCCTATACGGCCAGGGCATGTGGAACAGTCATGCGTCTATTAATTGGAAACTGCTACACTGGAAAGAATACTGCAACCATTTTTTGGAATGTTTTTTGCAGAGTTCCGATAAAATCTTGGATGCAGTACATCAAGCTTTTGCCGTCGCGAACCCCGTGACATTGGATAACATTACGCTAACCATCACGTTAACGGAGCGCGATGACAGTTTACGGACAACCAACGGGTAAGTTTACTGTCTACCCATTTGCATAATAAAAACAGTGAATCTACCAAAGTGATCTTAGCGACTTTTCCCAGTGCTTTTAATTCCATGGATAAACATGTCGCTGGTTATTTCTTGCAAATAAGGATGTATATTGTCATTTCACAGGCAAGATGCTTCCAAACCGAATTTTGCCCTGTCGTATCCCAAAATGAAAAGCGGATTGTACTGGAAACTGTGGCGTTATCCATCGTTTGATGAACTGAATGGCTTCTTGCAGAGCGTTGCAGATGCCAAACTTGTTCGCACTTGGACAGTGGCATTGACACTGCCGGCTTCTAGTTAATGTTAGTTCGATTTCTAAATCCTGCTTCCAGATTCTCTTTGCAGTAAAAATGCGTCATTCATCGCTTAGTCTGTGTGCTTACGTGTAGTACCCATTTAGCGTTCTGCTGATTTTTGTAGCGTGCTTGATAATCTGATCAAAGCAAAAGAATGTCAAGTAAATTTTTAACAGTACATAACAAAGTTTTACCCTGACTTTTGAGGTCAATTTTAAGGTGTTGGAGGTATCTGTAGACTTTGACCGAAAACCACAGAAAATCATGTCGACTCTTGTTGACATTTAAACGAGTCATATTCAAGGATCGCGTTCCATGAAATTTTTTTGGTGGATGCTGCGCGTGCACGGAAAAACACGGGCGTCAACTGCATTCACCGCTGTTCATACTGTGGATGTACATATGTGGTCAGGGATTAAGGTGTCAAGCACAAAGGGGCGTTAAATACGGTGACTCTGTGCTATCGCAATGGCCATCGCATTTGTTTACGGGCTTGACCAGGGAACGGCAACATTCGAACCGGAAATTATGCAAGGTAGTCTGAAGGCCGCATTCAAGACCATCAACATCACTGTTAATACATTGTGAAAAGAAGGCTACGAGTACGCAATTAGAAATTAGAATGCAAAATTCAAAAATATTTAAGCATAAAATAATGTAAAAATTCGTGCACGCAGCGAAAGCCCGTGGCGTTCCCGTGCATGCAGCCAGAACGCGTGCGGATCCAAAAAGGTCACTCGTGCACGCAGCCAACGCCAGTGCTTACCCGTGCACGCAGACGTTAAGCCATAATGAATTTTTTTGAGTCAGGAATGAGGCTTCCTAATCTACCGGCGTACGGTATTGATGGTGCTAAAAAATTAATGTCTAAACACAAAAAAGCTTACAGGTTAGAAAAGACTGGAGAACTTGGAAATATCTTTCCTTTGCAGCCGTTGCCCAGTTACGCAATCGAGCTAGTACAGATCTGCATAGTAGTTCACGGAAAAGATTGTCAAGATGAAGCAAAAAGCGCAAGGGAAGGTGGATTAAGTGAACATTTTGACTTTACCGTATGCACCCGTGCACCGGAATGGAGACCGAGATTGCTAGCTACCCGTTCCCACCGATTTGACGGCTTCCAGCCACCAGAGGGTGCAGAATGATGAGAATGGAGAAAGTCTGCCGACACTGTGTTCAGCGTAGAGCGACGCTTGTAGCCGGCAGAAAGGTGGATGTGATATGGCAAAAAGGTGGACGGCTCATCCACCAATCTGCCGAAGGTCGGCAGATTGGTGGATGCGATTTTATTGAACTTCCACCATCCACCCGTCCACCTTTCCGCCGGCTACAGACGCTGAATGGACTAGCAGCCACTAGACGAACTAACCGGCTTCGATAAACAGTGGGTGTCAAATCCTTAAAGCTGGCCGGTTGAAACCGTGAAGCCCTAAATTAACATATGTAAAAAAACTATCCTTTATGAATAGAGCAATAAATGTCTGATAAGAAAATGGAACGCATTCTTACGCTGACAATAAACGGTGGTGATGTGGCCACCGGCCACGATGTTGCAGAACGCCTAACGTGGGCCAGTCTAACGCATTACGTAGCGTGCGCATGGATCCCTGTTGGCGCAAGGCTAAATTTCTGCAAGTTGGTGACGTACGAAGCAACGTATATGGCGGTTACCTGGATCACGAGTTGTGCTGATTTGCTAAACTGTCTCACCAGCCACCAAAGTCTCCACGTGCTGCTCCGTTTAATTCGAAATTTTTGTCCACCTACATCCGCACAGATTCTCTCACAATTACAGTACATTTTCATTTACGGCTCTTTGCTGACACAGTTGTGTTCTTTTACCGTCTGCTGCGACAGGTCCTCTTACCGGGAAAGGGTTGTGCACGGTTTCGATCGTTCCGACGGAGAAAAAAATGGCATCATGCGGTCGTTCCCGAGGCAGAAGTGTCAGGAGTCTGCGGCAAGAAGTCCACATCAACCTTACTGTTCTGCGCAACTGCAAAAGATCGGCTACTGGTACGTTGCATGAACAATTTCCAGCAGTGATAAATTCAGTTCCTCATTAGAGAGATTCATGGGCTGGTCTGCTCTTGACTCTCGAGAAACCCTTTTTGATTCTTGTAATATGATTGACTGTGCATAGCTTAGGTGTGGTTTTTATGGTACAGAATACATCGAAGACGCCATGGTTAAGAATACTGCAGCTCGATCCTCCTTGGCGCAGGCGAGAGCTGATGATGATGAGATCGAGAAGGCTCTCTTTGCTCGCACTACGAACACGCTGCGCTTTCGTCCGGAGATAGAGGAATTCGTCAAGCAGACCGCAGCCGTTCAAAAGGAACACTTTAATGAAATGCGCGTAAAAGCCAACAACGGTACGTACGCTCCCACAGTACTGTAAAATTGTCGGGATAATCTGAAATAGATAAATCGTAAGTAATAAGGAATCTCTTATTGCTGCAACGAATTTAGGGGACCTACCCTTCACAGCAGTGGACAATGAACGAATTACAGTTGCGGCACTCTTAAAAACATCTACCAAGCTGCTAACATTAATCTAGTGTGAAAGTTCTAAACCGGCAATCAAAGTAACACGGCCGAGCCGCCAAGGTCTAAACTGAAAGTTTATTGAAGGAGGCCGGGTTTGTTGCAAGGGCACCGCAGAAAAAATCTGTAGATAAAAAAACGAATTCCATTCTGGTCTTAGTACATATCGGTACATATGATTTAACCATATGTAACGACGAAATTTCTGAACAACAAAAGATCTCTTTTAAACCTTGGAAAAGTGTCTCCTTCAAAATATATCCCAATTTTTGGCATAAGAGGTTCTCTTCCATTTTATCTCATCCAGTATTTGCGGACATGTTCCCCCAAGGAAACTGACATTCCGGTGCTGGGGCACGTACTCTGTAAGTCAGTGCTAGCGATTAAAAATACTCTTTTGTCTGGACACTAGAAAAAATGAATGACTCACTATTTTTTTAGACACTCACTATGAAAATCACTATTTTTTCTGGGTGCTTTCATCGCTAGCTTAGCATGTACATGTTTGACAGCGATGAAAGTTATTTGACATCTAAATAATCCTTAACTTTGGAATCAAAAAATTTAGGAAAATTGAAAATGTGGGTGGCCGGTTCGCTGAACCGTAAAATTCAGTTCACTGGTTGGCGAACAGAAATAGAATCGAAGTACGTGTATGTACTGCTATTAAACGCAAGTTTCACCATACGGGCATAAGTCAGATTTCATCGTGGTGAAAAAAACAGGGTTCTGCGGCGGAAAAGCGGGATAGTCATTAGTCTGACCTACAGGTAGCCGCTACTGCAGGCGTATTAAGACCTACATTGCTCCCCTAATGTCGCAATTTTACTAAATTTCACCGATTCCGTTTGATTGCTCGCTTCCGCTTGCCTTATTACTTCTGGGGCTTACGACTGCAGATTTCATCGAGGCGAAAGCGGAGCTAACCATGTGGGTTACCACGGTGACGACAGCGTACCGCAATACGATGGGCGCGGCTGACTCTCTGCGCGCTCTGGATGTTCCGGCAGCCGAGGATCTGCGCATTCAGCTGCTGGCGATGTATCGCAGGTTCATGGCACTTGCAGGTAAACCAAGAAAACCGACACAATAAAATATTTTTTCCCTAGACAGCAACTTATGTACCGTAGCTCTGGTAACATCTTTTGACGGTGTTTGTGTGGAAATGCGTAGAGAAGGGCCGGATTCGCCTGGTGAAACAACTCGGGTACGATCTGCGGCACGTGCGTCTTGACGAGCTGTACATTGAGCTGGTAAGTCGTGGGAGACCAGGGCACATTTCCCCTCCAGATTCAAAAAATTCTCGTATTTTGTAAAATGATAGTGAACTATTCTAGTATGCTTAAAAAATATTTTTAGCCATCGTCAAGAGGGCCTGGCCAGACAACAATAGTTATTAAAAGTTTGCAATTTGCATACTATCACATCCTGCGTCATGGAGTGCAGTACAAGTTATTCGTAATTACTCGTAATATGTTAACTTTTACCTGCAGCACCGTGGACTTTTGCAGCTGTCCGCTGTGGTGAAACGATGTAAAAGAAGCCCACGTGCGCCAGGGCAGGGTGTAAAACCTGGCACTGGCAAGAGCCTGTGGCGTTGCCACTGGCATGGCAAGGTATAAAATCTGGTATGTTTCCCTCTGTCTCGCAATAACACATGGCATGTGCCGGAAAACACTTAATTGGATTCGTAAAACGCATAAAATTTAATATTATAAAAAAATTATATTTAGACACATACATGAATGATAGTTCTGAATAACAGGGTTCTTCGACTCGATCCATTAGGAAAACGTTGACGATATTACGACAACAAAAACGCGAGACTTTTATGTACAAATGGCGGAATGGGCAAGCTGCAGCACGTTGCAGTTGGCAGTACAAAAACACTTTATGCCACTTGCCTAAATTTTTGAAAACGCCACTTGTAACCCTATTTTAAGCCACTTTCCTGCAAAATTTCTTAGCCGTGCACTTTCTTGCAAAATTTCTCAACCGTACCCATAAAAAAATTTGCGTTATGCATAAATGCGTTATGCATGCAAGTTTTGCAAAATCGCTCAGTAGATTAGCAAGATGCAGAAAGTTCCTCCAATTAACTGCCAGTTTATCATTCGATAGGTCACTAAAGAGCTATTAAGTTAATTTCGTGAAATAAGTTTTATGAAGCAGACAAATTTATTAAGATTACATATACAGCCTTGCTACGCCAAGTTCGGGCATTTTTTTATTTTACATGTTTCGCACTTAATATATCCTTGCTGTACTGCAACTTTCGCACTTAATATATCCTTGCTGTACTGTACTGGCTTAGAAGTATGCCAAAAACTAGAATTATTAGACTCAAGATGGCAATTTTTTCACGTAATATGAAAATAAAAGAAAATGACAAGGCTGTACCCAGTGTAAATCAGATATCTTAATATCTTTTTACATCAGCCTGATTATTTACCACAATCGCTTTCTCTAATGAACAGGCTACGAGCTGGTGAGTGTAACCTGTTCAGTACTTCACGATCGTTTTTGCATCAATTATCAGGCCCGCTGTTGGGATCCTAGAACGAGATAAAAATAAAGCAGTAGTAACATTCGCCATTCATCTTATTCAGCATACGCAACATAATATAATTTTAACACTTCATCACATCGGTCCTTATCAATATTAATTTGTACTTATATTCGGTGTTGCACATCATATAGCTTCAAACGCTTACAGAGTGGTCATCTATAGTGTCCAGTATCGCCACGCTTCCAGTAGTTCTTCATGACAGATTAAAGCAAACACAATAATGTTCCGAACGTACAACTTGAACTAATAAAATTATGCGTAAGTAGTTTGCTGGCAATTGCCAGCAACACTGACGACACGCTGACACTTACACTTGCAAGTGTAAGTGTCAGCGTGTCGTCTAGATATAACAACGATGGTTGAACGCAGTAATTTTAAGTTACCTAAATGTGATTAGCGTTTGATGCCTGAATGGCCACTAGTGGCCAATGTCAAAAGTAAGAAAGAACTTTTGTAAGAAAGAACTTTTATGTGGTCAAAAGTAAGAAAGAAGTTTTAGAAGAAAGAAGTTTTCTTAGGTCAATAGTAAGAAAGAAATTTCCCCAGTCAAAAGTAAGAAAGAAATTTTTGTTGATGCCAATTTATTATGTACAACACAAATTAAATTTATTAACTCTGTTATGCAGATTACATGCGCAATACATTACGCGCTTTCCCTGAAACGTGTATTGCTGACCGGCTCACTAGAACGAGCGGAAAGCAAGGCGATATCAAAGCGGCAGATACCACGCTGAATAAAGTATTCTTGCGGTGACACTCAGGTGTGATCTGGTCTGATTCCTTATGATCATCCGCAAAACAACAAATTTTTCCAGTCTAGACCAGTATCTGTACAGCTGACGGGCACGCGGGCACAGGTCTGTTCTCTCCCGGCGTAGACAGCACAATCGTTACGCAAAGATGCGATGCACCTGTGCGTGTGTGTGCAATGCAATCCATAAAGTCTGCAGATGCAAAGCCGTTTCTTGTGCAGCGCATTGCCGCTGCTTCTTCAATATAAATATGGGTGATGTTTTCCTCAAAATATAAATTGCACTAATCAAGCCCAAAATTTGACAATGAAATTTGCTGAGATTCTTTGTTGCCTTTTTAAACCTATGTTTGGAAACATCCTGGAGATCACCAAGGGATAGTTTTACATTATGTAGCATTCGCTCCGCAATGGCTAACATGGAGCAAGGCTATGAAACTGAAGATGCAAGCAGCGACGAAGACGCATATCCGGCGTAAGAGATTTGTGCTAATATGCCACTTATTTTGTTTTTTATTTCTATTATTGCGCTTTTTGCAACCGCATCTTTGGTTCGATACATAACTTTTATTTTCTTGCAATATGTTTCATATGTGTTTCATATGTCAGCAATACATTGCAGCAGCTATAACAAAAATTTCTTTCTTACTTTTGACTGGGGAAATTTCTTTCTTACTATTGACCTAAGAAAACTTCTTTCTTCTAAAACTTCTTTCTTACTTTTGACCACATAAAAGTTCTTTCTTACAAAAGTTCTTTCTTACTTTTGACATTGGCCGTAACTAGTACTAACTACCATAATAAAGTTGTGTCTATGTGCACTGAACTTTGGTCCGGCTAAAAAGAAGGTCGGTGCCGATATGAAATTGTACCGTTGCACGAAAAACAGAGGCGCCATATACAAATTTCATAAACATAAACATACACACACAAGCGTAATACAAGTAGATCAGTACACATGCCAACTGCCTTTTTGCATGCAAGCTTATCATTGCATAATAAATCTGTTTTCCAGACTGATGAGCCTGTTTGTTTGTGAAAATTATCAGTCATGCCAATTTTAATTTAATTTAATTATCAGTCATGCCAATTTTTACACATGCTGTCAAAGGCAACAATGCACCAGCGTTGGGTTAAGTTGGTATTCTGTTTTCGATGAGTGCCGTTTCACTTTGTGCCGGTTGTAGAAAGCCTGCACATGTAAACATTACTCTAGTCTCTAAGTAGTACTCGTATTGAAATTTAAGTGCTCATTTGAACACGTACATTTTAAAAGCAATTCGAATATACTGGGATGCAAATGATGCTGCTGATTACAAATTTTGAATGATGATGATAACAATTGAAAGTTGACCTTATTTTCACAGGTGCGTCTATTTAATGCAGAATAACGGGTATTTCTCGGCTTTTCAATGAACCACATTACAGTCTTGCGGTGTGCTTCTTTTACCACATCAAACAGTGAGCGCATAATGATTTTTGAGATATTTAACTGCATATGTTTTGTGTGGACTTAATTTTTTACAGTGACCTTTGTACCATCGTGTAAAAGCATCTGTACAGACGGCGCGGAATAACTACGCACCGTGTGTACCTTCTGTAAAAAACGATTGTAAAATAAAAATTTTTACTAATTATTGCAGCGACTTACACCAGCGAACTTTGTCTGGACACCAACCGGTGTCCATTAGGCGATAAGGATTTTGCATTACAGTATTAGGCGTACACGGCCCTTGCCAGAGGATTGCAAATCGAAACACGGAAATAGTGTTTCGTGGAGCGGCGTGGTTTGCAGCTTAGTGTGGTTCTCAAAATCATTCTTTTTGCAACACCGTTACGCAATTAATTGCTGATTGAGCCATAATTCGTTGAGAAAATTAATAAGGCGTTGTAACTCTTGTCATGTACGGGTTTAAGTATGAGCAGCTATTAATGTAACAGTTATTGTAACTGATACCATCGCAATTTTATTTGCAACTTGTACAAAGGAGACACCCGTCAACATTTTTCTACCTTATTTACGTACTCGTATTAAACTTGTACAAAGGAGACACCCGTCAACATTTTTCTACCTTATTTACGTACTCGTATTAAACGCTGTGGTACCTTTTTTCTGGCAAATGCCATATTTTATTGCGTGTCAAGAGGGGTAACATACCAGGTTTTATCCCTTGCCATGCCAGTGGCAACGCCATAGGCACTTGCCAGTGCCAGGTTTTACACCCTGCCCGTGCGCCAGTTCGCGCCATTGCTGCCTGAGTACACATTTTCGGAAATTTTTCATCGATTTGTGTTGTGAACAATAAGTTGTGCAAAAACTTTTTTCTGCTAATAAACAGATATGTCCTGTACTTCATAACATTGTGCACACAGGCAGCAATGGCACGAGCCGACGCACGTCGGCTTCTTTTAAGTATATCATTTCACGACAGCGGACAGCTGCAAAGTCCACGGTGCTGCAGGAAAAAGTAAACATATTACGAGCAATTACTAATACTTAACTTGTACTGCACTCCATCACACAGTATGTGATAGTATGCAAACTTTTAATTGTTGTCTGGCCACGCCCCCTTGACGATGTCAGCTAAAAATAAAATTTTTTAAGCATACTACAATAGCACACTACCATTTTACGAAATATGAGAATTTTTTGAATTGGGAGTGGGAAAATGTGCCCTGGTGAATGTTAATGATGAGATAATGAATCTACTCAGACCGTTTCCCTGTTCTGCTGCCGTCACTCGCCTGGAGTTTGCCGTTAAGGCATTACAAATGGTTAAATCCAGCAGGGCACAACAATACTTAAGCGCAGTGCTCAGCCACATGCCCACCCGACGGGTTTCGAAAATACAAGGAAACGGTTGGCGTAAAGTGGATTTCCCCTAATATAAAAATGAAAGTAAACCGGAAAAACGTATAAATTTACCCATTTCCCATACCTTTACTCTAGGTATTCCGTTTAAGACAGTTGAGCACTGCGGTTGAATTATGAGTAAACTGTAGTTTCTGAATTATGAGTTTGGATAAAGTGTAGTTTGCGCTCTGTGATAGGAAAATTACAGTTCTACAATCAGTACCACGATTTACGTACTGTATGCCAACTTTTAGCCGGTAGTACAGGTGTTAGCGTACTGCTCAAAGGATAACTGCGTGATTGCATTTCCAGGTGAAAGTTATCCAAGCTAAAAAGAGGGCAGACGCAGCAGCGAATTCCATCGAACACTGAAGAAAATGCGTTACTGGAATTATCTCTTACGTACAAGTTTACATTACCAGTTATTTTAACTATCAATATTAGCTGCCGGATTCTCTAACGCTCGTAGAGGGCAGTTGTTGCGATTATGTATTCTGTTCCCGCGATTTCCGATAGGTTTTCGCTGCAAATTGCAAAAGTAGTGCCATTTTGATGTGCATTTGATTTTCCGTTTCACATTTGGTTTTTTAAATAGGGCGGTATGAGTTCAGAGTTGCATTCTTCGATGATTGCACGATTCTGCTTTTTCTTCTAATGTGCTCGTCTTAGGTTTTTTACATGTGCAGAATTTTTTTGACCAATTTAGATCTTCTCATTTTACAAAATACGAAGGATTACTATTACTGTTTCTTTATAAATAAATATGACTGAATTGCACACCTTTGCAACAGCATTGTTCCTAGTCGTGCCGCACTCGTACTTTTTTACCGTATCGATGCCACTTTAAAAAAATGCTATTCAGCAATAGCGAGCCATTTTCTCCAATGAAGATACAAACATAGCCACAGAGAACCAGCGGAGATTTCGCTGACAGAACAGCGAGATCCGCGTACAGTATATCACACTGTAGGAATATTAAGCGTATCTGGTCGTCCTTCTGCAGAAGCGTATCCCATGAACCACAGGCGTGACATTTGACATAGTATATGAATAGCTACGCAGCACAAACAAACACTAGACGAAATCCCTTAAGTCACAATTATCTTGCCACTCCTTCTGCATTCAAGAACGACAGTTGTACCATCTTTGTGATCGACCGCCAAATGGCCGGGTATACCATAGCGATTGTAACTAACAATTTTTATACATTTCCTGTACTTCCCATGCTCCCACTGATGAAATGCGGATTAGCGCTAAACATTAGCAACAAAACCTTAAAATAATGCGTGTGCTTTTAGACTGACTGCGGTGTCCAGGGAAATGGTGCTTTTCTTCTTTTCCTTCCCGAAATGAAGAACATCTTCATCGGTTAAAAAGACCACCTAAAACAAGCCAGTCCGCAAGTTTCGCAAAATATTTTTTCTTTGACTTCCGGTACATGATTTCGAACACCAAGACGCTACTATTAGGAAACTCTGCTACGTTGTGTCTTATGGTGGCATTGCAACCCATACTCTATTTCTTAAGGCTATTTGAAGTTCTTTCTCTAGTTTTTAAAAGTTCGTAGAAGCGCTATAATATCATCCGTTATAATACAGTGAACCAAAATCGTGAGCATTTGATAAACACCTAGTTTTCAAGCAATGCTCTATTTTTGCGTACGTCCTTAACCACTCTTTAATAAATAATATTATGTGCAACATGGTAGCCAGAAATAGCCAATGCACACTTGGACAAGTAGGTGGACGAAATTCACCTACAACTGGACATTCCATAGAATTACAGCTCTTTCGACTTCTCTGGTCTTTTTCGAATTGAGAAGATCATCGCTTGTATGAACAACGGTTAAGCTGATAGATTGCGATTACCTGTATCATGTATGTTCCCGTATATCAGACTAGCATAATGGTTATGTAAGATCTTAAAAGTTGATTTAGTTAACTTGTTTCATCTGTTAGTCACAAGCGCTCGCGGGAAGAATGTTTAAGCTGTATTCAGGTCTTGTAAAAGCTTCTCCCTATTGCATTCCGAAATTTGTTTTGCCACTTGGTTTTGCTTTTTCTACCTCAATAACAGGTTTAACCGAGCGGCTAACTGAGTAACTTTTATTAGCAAAGTGCTTGCTGCGCTACACAATACACATGGCGCCTGTAACATTCTTCTTTTCAGCAGCCCTGGTTTACGCTGGCAGTAAGTACTACGAGAGTAGTACAGATACAGTTGTGCATAACATATATTCATTTCAGTTATTGCAATCCTGCGCAGCCTTTTTTATATAGTAAAACTTAAACAAAGTAATATATTTATAATCACTTATCGGTGCCTTACTTAGCGCTTGCGGTTTAAAGTATATTCTTGTTTCTTATTTCGTGCAACGTTTTGGCGCATTCTAATATGGTGGTGTTTGATGGTGTATCGGATGTGGTAGTGAGATTCGCACTCGTAAAATTTTGCACCTTATGTTATTTTACAAATTCTAGCCGTAGTACTGTAGTTCAAAACGGGATAAGGAGAAGTTAAGCAGTAAGAAGTATTTATAGCTTATACTGTATAATAAGCAGCAAAATTATCCAGATTCGGAAGCGATATAAATCAACTAGTTTTATAAAATTTTGCTAGTGTGCAGAACAGCATGAACCGGTTGTGCTTTTGCAGTTTTCTTGTTCGGGAACGTCGCAAGTATACCATTAAACTCTTGGGAGAGGTTTAACACGATTGGTAAGTTGGCTCTTGACATGGTTCGGTGAATCGTCAATTGTTTGTAATCGGCGTTGTGACGTCAGATGCCGACCGGAATGCACTGTTCCGCTTTAAAGAAGCGCAAATCCCAGTGAATCCCACTACACAGAAGCAATCCTCTAGTTTCGCTGCGGTGATGACTGTTCGCGGAGGTCTCAGTACTACATACACCGCTGCAGATGGCGCCATTTCACCCCAGGAATTCGACGAAATCGACCACTGATGCCGTTGGTGTGCAATTCAGCAACATTTGGGATTTTATAGCCGTTTCAATTTATTTGTGTATATAATATGTAAACAGCCTGCGCGCAGATGTTTTCCCTTACCAAAACCAAATATAAAGCAAAGTTTAACGGTGAACAGGAAGTTATGTAATCACGATACCGCGATAATGTACCCAACACCAACAGTGTGACTATCGCCGACTGTTAAGTGAACAGCATAATAAAACAGGTTGTGCACGAGCGGTATTTCTCTGTTTGTGCTATATCTTGGTATCGTAGACCAGTTGTTGCATTTATTGATAGAAATGCTAGTCGTAACCCGGAGATCAGCTGAGCATTCAGCAATTGTTGGTCGCGAAAGCGACTCTTTAGTTTAGTGCACACAACACGGCTCTGAATCGTCTGAAACAGAACCGATTCATTTACTTATGTAAAGTGTTCATTGATGTAAATACCTTTTAGCGCACCAGGCTGTGACTAGTCCCACGGTCTCGTTGACCAACACGTATAGCAGAATTACCTGCACGTGGAAAAACGCCGTTTAAATTGGCGTCGGAGCAACTACAGTTTGGTCTCTACTCGCTCCATCGCTGCAGTTATGAAGACAGTTGATGCTCAAAAGATTTTTCTGGTTCTGAATGACGTTTGCACTTGAACATGCAATAAATCCACCTTATGTACTGTAACTGCATAAAACATTTGCACTAAGAATTGCTGTCTATCATTGCTGTCTGTCACTCAGTCAATTAGTTCAGAAAGGATCCTTTATGAAAAGCCGAAAGAACGAGGCTCTACTCCCGTCGTTTCGCGAACCTTTTTGCTAACAAAAGAAAGAAAACAAAAATGTGCTCTGATGTACTGTTGTTTGTCAGCTGGAATGAAGACTAATAAAGGAATGAGGTTTTTTTTCTACGCGCCTGAGAATGATTTTCAACAGAACCGGTAAAACTAACAATAAGTATAGTCTTTTGTGACTCCGACAGGTTACCTTCCGGTAACGCAATAACCGGAATTCCAAAACCCTAATTGACACCCCTTTTGCAGCCGTTATATCTATAAATATTTAACGTCTCTACAAACAGGATGCCACATCACCCGCTGTGACCCGCATATCAAAGTAGTAAAGAAACTAACAGGGACAAACTCGGTCAGAATTTTATTTATAGAACATGGACGACGAAAGTGAGCCACTGGCGAAATTGCGCTACGTCTCTCTTATCACGGTATTTTGTTTGCATTCGGTCCTTTTGTTTATGCCCAGCCGATCAGAAAGCCACGTCAGTGCCATCAACGAGGTTCCAAAACCATGGGCGAATGACACGTTAATTTTCGGGAAAGAACTGCGTACGTGCTTGATTTAAATTGTATCTTTGAGTGTATGTACGCTTGTGTGCATTTTGCTCGCATTTGATTGCTGTTAAATAGCTAAATTTATCCCCATTCCCGGTACTACACTGGCCGCTGCATTTCTTAGAGCCGGGAGAATCATTAGCGGCAACGCTGAGTGTGTGCCCCAATGCGTCTACTGCACACTTGGTCAATGTTAGCCAATATGGTGGCGACGGATTACCTCGGAACATGTCCAATTCTTATCGGGACCAGTGGGAGCATTTTGACAAACTCCTTTTTCTACGCGGAACATCACCAATTACTTTTAACAGACGAGCGGACTTGGATTTGCAGGATTTCGCAAACTATCTGGCACTGGACCCTTTTGTCAGCTCGCATATGGTAACGCTGGAGTTAAGCAATGCCACGGTAACCGAAATACAAGACGCGCTGACGTTCGCCTGGTTACCCAGTTTCGGTGAGATTTTGAAAAGACGATAACAAAAAATAGTATTATGCATAAAAGCTAAAGCAGCAAACACCACATGTTTTTTGCCTAACAAACGGCATTTTCTCGTAATTATTCTGGTGCGATACCGCCACCGGTTATGAATTAAACGATCATAATAACATTTTAACAATACTCGTACATCTATTCAACACTAATCCATAGCATTCCTACAATCTTTTTATTTCTACCGCAAGTATAAATCATAGCCGGCGAAGTTAATCACTGATAGGGATTTGAAAAACGTAAATTTTTGTCAAAATGAAGAGGTATTAATATTTTAGCATAATTGAGTGAAACTGTTTTCATGACAGAAAAAGGCAACTGGACAGCAACCCACGCCGAAATCGTTCAGATTGACAACGCCACCGATCGCCCGCTGTTTTCGGCTAACGGGTAATTACCTCCGCATGGTTCACCGAAAATTATTTTAATCGCATAACGTTTGACAGGTCACCTGTTATGCGGATTGTATATATTTTACCCGTTTCCCCTGCTGCAATTCCGGCAAATTTCTCCAAAAATCTATCAGAATATCCATGGATATTTGCCCGCAATACGATCTACCATGAATTACCGAAAACCCCTTCACCTGATCGCGAAGATTTCTGTCAGCGTTTGAAGAGTAAAGGGCTGACCGTGTACTTGGGACGAGTGTTTTCGGGCACCTTCAATTCTGGAGGAGGACAGGTGTACCTTAGCATTAACTCCACTTCCGGCAAGTTTGACACTGACCTGCTAGAACAGGATCTACTGGAACGCGTACGACAGGCGCGAGTGGAAGAAGGCTGCGGCGACGCCGACATGAGTGATGTGCAGGTCCACTTCAGTCCGTTCGCAACTTGGATCGCGCCCATGCGGAAAAACGGCTCGTTTTTTGAGTAAGAAAATCAGGCAATTTATTTGGACAGCACCGATATATTTTGCGGCTTTAATTTCAGCATAAAGGTCATGCCACTTAACTTCAAACTGTTTGTTAAGCAGAAAGCTGTCGTGTTCAATGGCATTAACCTGACATCGCTGGCAAACAATACCGACCGCTACTATGCACGTTCAGAATTCTTGGGTGGCGATAAGTATTTTCCATCCAATGCGCGTTACATAGAAACGCCGCCAATGAATCCCCTGAATTCATTTCGCATGCATTTTGACCGCTCGATGAGTGTCCAGCTTTTGCCAGCGCTGGAAGCGGCAATGGCAGCACGCCTGAATACATGGACTTATGGCACAGGTATTCTTTTGTATAGCACAGAATTTTCAGTTTATGGTAATATGTAGGTGTTAGACGTTTACTTTTTTGTAGACGATGATCGCTGTGTGGTAACAGTGCATTTATGGAACTTCGATCCTGACGGTTGGGTGGTTGACTTTTTTGTTGTGCTCCACAAACACTCGTATCCTTATCATATCTACTTAGATGCCAGACTGCCGTACGCGAACAGCATTTATCGAAAATTAGAGGGCCTTCAGCTGACGTCACCGTCTATTAAAGCTGTTTACACCATGACAACTTCTCCTCTTCCTATTACTTTAAAAGAAAACAATAAGTCCTTAACCCTGCAAAACTGTGACACGGAAAAGGATTTGTACATTGAACAAGAAACGTTATGTCCCTTGAAAAATGTTTTCACTTTATATGTCGAGCCAGTTAAATCGCAACAATCGCGCCTCCACGCATTGGTCAACGGTTGGTCAGCCGAAACTTTGGTAAGAGTGTTGAAAATTCCTACAAAATTCTGAAAAAAAAATACTTTGGTATTTATGATCGTCACGCGAACAAGATGCGTTAGCTTAACCTCACATTGACGTGCGGCAGAGTTCCGATCAGATTTTGGAGGCTGTCCAGCAAGCCTTTGCCGCAGCCAATCCCGTGACAGTGGACAACATGACACTGACGATAACGCTCACTGAATGGAGCGACCGCTTGAAGACCCTTAATGGGTGAGCGCAGATCCAACAGTGACCTTTTAAGCAACGAAGGACTGGAACCATAGAATTCTTTTAAATAAAGTATACTATCATAAAAATAAAATCCACATTTGACGGTATGATTTTTTTTTGCAGAGGCGATGCTTCGAAATACTACTTTGCAATATCGACTCCCAAGATGAAAAGCGGATCCTATTGGCGACTGTGGCGCTATCCAACAGCGGATGGGCTCAACAAGTTTCTGAATATAACCGCAAAGGCTCGGATTGTGGATACATGGACAGTAGCTCACAAATAGATCAGTTTCCCCAACGTTCTTCGCATAGCGCAGTGATAAGCGCTTTGGCCACAATTCATCGGTGCTAACCACGCGATTTTATTTGCCAACTCTTCTAGTAACTATGTAATTCCCCTTATTGAATGAGCAGGATGAAGTTAACGATCAGTGCGCAGGCCTGAAAATCAATAACAAATTGCTTTCATAATTACAACAACCGTTTACGTCTAAATTTGCTATAAAAACAATTTTATGTTCTGAAATATGTTTGTAACAAAAGATTACATTTATTTATGCAGTAGCACCGAAGCTGTCGTGATGCTTTGGAGACAATTAATTCGAAAATTAGCTACTGGTATACGGAACAACGGTCAAAGCTATGCGCAGGAGTTTTTTAATTACTGTATAGAAGGCATTTGTACGTCAAAATTTTGTATCTAGAAAAGGTGTACCAACTCAGATTGCGCGTACGTATTTGGTGCTTGAATTACAGTACAGTGCTTGTATTAAGTAAGACATACAAAAATACAAGTATATAGCTTTACTGTAACGTCTCATGTTAAAGCCCTTCACACTATGCCTGGATTGTGTGAAGTACTGCAGATTGATGTATCTATCCACATATACCTAATTTTGTGAAAAAGTGAAAAGCCAGTACTGCACAATGTGTATTCATCCACATATACCTAATTCCGTGAAAAAGTGAAAAGTCAGCACTTTACTTAAAGTACTGCACAGTGTGTATTCATCCACATATACTTAATTCCGTGAGTTAGTGAAAATTAAAGTACTGCCAGGACTTTAAACTTCCCATATGGCGTGAATCCGTGAATCGGTGAAAAGTCAATACTTTATGTAAGGTATTAGTACTGCCTGTACTTAATTCTTCCTACACGCCGTGAATGCGTGAATCGGTGAAAGGTCAGCACTTTATGTAAGGTATTACCGTAGTACTGCCTGTACTTTATTCTTCCCACACGCCGTGAATCCGTGAATCGGTGAAAAGTCAGTACTTTATTAAAAGTACTGCCTGTACTTTATTCTTCCCACACGCCGTGAATCCGTGAATAAAGGTCAGTACTTTATTAAAAGTACTGCCTGTACTTTATTCTTCCCACACGCCGTGAATCCGTGAATCAGTAAAAAAATGTAATCAGTAATTTATGTAAAGTACAAAAACAGTCCACAAAAAAACAAAAAAGGAAAAAAAACAGTATTTTCCGTACCACTGCCTATTGGTATTACTTTTCTCACAAAAAATACTCTGTAATGTGAGAAAAGTCTGTTTTGCAACAAAAGATACTCTGTTTTGCAACAAAAGATTGCAAAATTATGTAATTAATATTTGTAATTAATTATGTAATTAATACTTATCGGATTACATACTATGCGATTTTATTAAATTCATACTAGTTTTGTCATAAAAAAATAGAAATACCGTACTTTTCGAATTGTATCGTAAACAAAGTGTACGGTGGACAAAATGAATGGTGGACAAAATTAGCGGTGGACAAAATGATAGGTGGACAAAATGAATAGACACGGTTCTTTTGCGGTGCTAGTTGCCTAGTACGTACTGTACATGTGGAATATTGTGGACCGGTTCTGCGTAGACTAGTGATCCAACTGATTCGATGGTATAGTACAGGGTGGTCGCGCCAAGTGTGGGAAGTAACAAAAATTCCTCAACCGCTACTAATGAAGTCTAAAATTTTTATTTTATTTTTGCATGATAGTTCTTGTTATATAGCAACTTTCTTAATAGAGTTTTACTGCAAAAAGCTGAGGAGCAGGCAACGGGAATCAAAGCTTTACTTTCGATTTTTCCGAAAAAAACGCGCTGCGTAACACGAAAAAATGGTGTTTAGTCTATAAAATTTAAAAAATTGCAATCGTCTAGCTGACAGCTGACAAGCGATAAGATAGTGTTTTGATATTGCCTTGAAAATGCCTTCCTAGCTTTCTTTCAAATATGAACATCTTGACCAAAGCGATCTTTCGCTTACCCACAGAAAACACCGTTCGGGCCAGTCAGTAATTTCCAAAAAAAGTCCATATAAAAATAACACTTCTTGAAGTTTTTAGAAGGGCAGTTATGAACCCCCGAAAATGTCCGCTGCCCTCTCTCCTTAAGCTTCACCCTGCCCCTTACTGACACGTTACTAAAAAAATAATAAAGCTATTAAAAAAATTATTAAAAAACCGTAATTTATTTTTCAATATGCACATCAATGAGCGCCACTCAGTATGTACAGATACAATCAAATCAAGAATTTGTCCCAGTTAACACGAGAAGGGACTGTGCACAATACACTCATAGCATTATCACGCATAATCTCCAAACTTAAACGCTGAAAGAGAAAAGGAGTGGAACGACTCTCGCCTGTTCTCATAAACAGTTTTTAAAACGTTATTAAAAAATGTTTTTAAAAAATTATTAAAAAATTCCGATTTCATTTTCGATGAATCTGAAATGAAAAGTTACACAAGAAAAGTGCAAAGTGAATACGAAAAAATTATTTACAGAAATAAATGTGAATTATTTTATGTAGCTGCCCCCGGTTCGACAGCACGCACTTTTTCAACGTGTGCCAATCGTTCTCGAAGCGTCGCCGAACGCCGTGTAAGACCTTTACAGCGCGCAAGGCTACCGTTCTGCATGTGTATAGTTTTAGTAGAGTTATCGTCGCTTTCCTGACGTTACTGACTACGTGTCGAAAGTGTGCTGCAGAATGTACTGCTGTGGTCACGACGTAGCCCAAAATGTGTCCGCTGCTCCATGGAAACGTTTCAGAAAACCGTAGTAAACGGGTTCAGGACACGTGCTAATTCTGTTGATTTTACCTATTATTTCCGACCATATACGTAATTTTCTACCGGGCCGCGACGTGCTCGCTTAGGTTCTTAATCTTTATTACTTTAATTGTATGTACCCTCAAACATTAAGATATTCACAACTGAAAATGAAATAAAAAATTTCGTATTACGCTGAATGCATCTAATTAAAAAAAACATTAAAATGAAAGGGAAAAAACACTTTGGGAAGGTTTTAGACAGGTGTGAAGCCTCGGGAAATTCAGACAATATTGTCAATAAATGCAATTCTCTGCCCAGACGATGTCGTCAGCACACCTTTCGCTCGACGAATTTTGGAACACTTATTCTGAAGTTTCAACTGGGGTTCTTTTTTGATGAATTCTCACGTAAGATCCAGCTAATTTCCGCTACTGATGTGGCAACCGGAACTGTGGAGTACACTACGAAAAACATTTCCATAGATAAACTGAGGAGCAGAATTACTCACTTTTGCTATACAGAAATTAGACAGGCTTACTGTAGAACTGGGTGGTCATGACATGGCGATATCGCCGATCTTTGAGGAAGCCGCAAAAAGCGAAGCCTTTGGTTGGCGTTTTCATCCAGTGAATGGTGCTACAACAACGACAAAATACTTAAAAATCTACTTTGTAATCTACGTACTCCTCTTGCAGAATCCATAAATCGTTAAATCAATTCAAATTTCTCACAGCATATAAAAGTTGGCCACAACATGTCCGTAACGACACGAAATTTATTTTTAATTTTTAAAATGACAAAATTGTCTTAGAACAGGTTTGGATATCTTGGTTTTCGCTAAAGTCATGGTGTAAAAGCGTCACGAAGAAAACTTACGACGATGAATCTGTTTTCCACGACGACGATTTCGTCATTGAGCAACTTTTTCTATAATTTCTCAAGAAGGCCCTGTGTGGCGTTGTAAAGCTACCGTCGTATGGTACTGCGGCCTAAAAATAAAGAAAATTTGCTTAATAAAGCCAAAATACCTACAAAACTAAAAATGAAGTAAATTAGTCGCATTGAAAATTACTGCATTAATGTTGGCAGTGTAATACAGACGGCGCTTTCGCTGAATGCTCAGTTTACGCTATCGTAAATGACTAGCACCTTACAGAACTTTTAGCGATATCGCCTAATTTATTCTTACTCTGTGAATGAAAATTTGGAACGCACGCAGCTCTTCTCCGTTTTCCTCTCCGCGCAGACGACGGGCTGGGTATGAACGATATCGTCACATTTGGCTGGGACTTCATTTTTAATAGGAACGGATGCTACAGGCAGAGTTTCCGGAATGCGATAAGCGCTGTCACAGAGCAGAAGTTCGCATAGGGTAAGCTATCAGTTAGCAGATTTCTCCAATGTCTCCTAGCAGAAGGACGAAGAACTCTGTTCGTAAGCATTTCACTGCGATATCGCAAAAACTACAAGAAAAGCAAAAGGTGCTCCTTCTGTTCTGTTAGAATTCGGATTCGTTGACGATGACGTCGAGAATGAGAGCCAAACAAAAAACTAAACGTCTTCCAGTTTGATCACCAGTTGAAATCGAAGACAAATTTCAAAGTTGAAATTTCGAGCGAGCGTATTTTTCTGGTAAAAGATAACGTGGGCGACAGACCGTAGGCACTATCGCCAGGATGGCGGTTATATGCTAAGGGTGCCTTTATCGGGCTCTATCGTAAACATACAGTGCCCCCGTCGTGTTCTCTACGAGCCGCGCACACCTGAAAACGTCTCGGGCACATATAGTTTTTTACTGAAACGAACCGGGGCCCACACCTGGCGCGAACACCCTGTGTGTATTATGGTAACAGATTGTATGAGCATCAACGCACTTTACTTCACTGACTGCAAGAATAAGCTACAAATGCCGTATACAAAGAGATGGTCCATGGCAACTGCAAGATAAAATTAAGAAGTTGAGGTTCTCTGCGCCTCCGTCTCCACCCATTGCAGCTCATGTTTTGCGCATGCTGATATCAATATAAAATTGCGGTGAGAGAACCCCCCGGCCCCCAGGGGCATAACAAATTTCAGGGAAGGTAAAAAAAAATATTACCTTAAAACATTGTACGTGCAAGCACGGTGCAGCGTCGTGCAAGTACGATCATACATTACTGTGGTTGCTATGTAACTTACGATGCTCTGTACAGCACCACAGTACGAAACTCCTGCGCATAGCCACTTCGACGGAACAACTGCACAAGCGTCGCGTGTCAGTTACCGGTTACTGCATTCACCCTATCGCGGATGTAAAACAAAACGATCTTGCTAACTTCTGCGCCTCAGGAGAAATTACCACAAAACACACTAACATCGACAGTAACTCAGGATTCCGACAACAGTGCTGTCTGATAGCAAAATGCTTGGTGAACCGGTTCGAAGCGATTCCGGAAATCTCGAAAAGCGTTTCTAGCAACAGTGATCGAGTTGTTTGTTAACAGTCTTAAAATGATTCCGAGGTGAACAGAGTAAGGCACACCGCACAAGCACGAAAAGTGAATACTTTAGACAGTTATCACAGCAAGAATAACCGGAACTGACAATACGTAACTTACATTTCTTCCGGCGCAAATAGCTGACTTTAAACGGGGGCATATATTGGAACAAAATCATGTCACGTCCAGCAGCTTGTTAAAATTCCGGTGACGCCTGGACTACTGAGTTCTAAAAAAATGGATAATTTGCTAGAACTCCTGATTCAATTTCGTGGCGTACCAAAGCTCACGGTAGTGCTTTTTTCTGTACTAGTTACTATTCCTGCCACATCATCGATCCTTATCCAAACTGTCAACGAGACTGGAAGCCCATTATTTAATAAGACAAAGAATCAGTCAACCACCGTGGCTCCATGGACTACGGTAGCCGGAGCGGAAAGTCATGGACCTGGACCGTCCAGTGGGCGAATTGTGCCTGGTGTCTCGGGCAGCATGAAAAATGCGGTGACACTGACGGGTCCGGCCAGTGTAGACCCCCTAAATAACGAGACGCGCGCACTCGGCCTAAGCGGCCAGGACCTCGGTGTAACGGCCCCGACGCAAAGGACACCGAAACAGTGTGTGGCACTCAGTGCGGTGAATTCGCTGGGCAGCCACCATGGTGTGTGCATGCAGGTCGGTGACGTTGCCCGCAAATGCACCAGCCAGATATCAGGAGATGGCAAGGACTGTGGACCGACGGAGACGTGCTGCGTCGACTATTCTCCGCGGATAGAGGTTATAGAATTTCTTAAGCGGCAAAAGGCAATTCAGAATTAGCTAATATTTAAAGAAGTCAATCCCACCTTAACGTAAGTTTGTTTGGACGAATGTACAACCCTTGTGCGTTGTATTTTATAGGATCCCGTTAGTTGAATACCATACGAAATGTCTATATTAAAGCGGATGAATGTTGTCTAAGCGGTTCACCATGTGTGACTACCTGTTCTGACCAGCTGGCTGTGAGAGTAGCATGACTAACATATTATAGGAAGCTGTCCATTCTATTTCTAAACCTGATTTTGTTTTCTTCTTCCGCTCTAATAAATTAGGCCTGCGATCTGGCCGCACAGTGAAGTGGTGTTTCTCTCGCTTCTGGTAATCGTAATCATAGCTCATTCGTGATCTTGCATCCTTTTCTATCCTGTACAGTTGTAAGCTCCCCCGAAGCGCGGATTACGCAATTCGAGTTCAGATGCTTTAAGAGCATAGTATTAATATTTTCGGTGAAATAAAATTCCCATTGCTCTGCAGAAATTATTTTGTTTTTTATTACGCTGACCCTAAAAGTAAATTGCAGACATACGCTGCTATAATTGCACAAGTAAGTAAACTAAGCAAACAGAAGCACTCACTTTTTGATACAAACGATGTCCTAAAGGCTAACAATACTGATGCTGCAGTTGACAACATCGGAAAAACAACAATCCCATTTAACAATAGACACCAAAGTACCTATAAACAGTACCGACTTTGGTTGAGGACATTCGTGTGCCGATTCTGCAGGCAACTTCTACGAACACGGTCACACAAGTGAAACGCTTCAACATTTTTCCTGCATGACTTACACTGTGATATGTAATTTTAGCCTGCGGCAGAAAATCTGATGTGCAAAGGGATCAACTTCCCCCTGTGACCGAAGCTGCCTAGTCTCACAGCTCCGCTCAAATCCATATGCCATAATAATTATAATGAAACTACACGTTCAACACCGCTTAAAACACTCGAAACAGCTTTATTCAGCCATTCCTAGCAGCGGAATTCAATGTGAGGCTGCGTTATGGGATTCTCACCGCAAATTTCACATGTCTAGATTAAAACTCGCTCAGGCACCGGATGTCAGTTAATGGTTACTGTACCCAACGTATCTCGAATATATAATATAACATAACGATTTTTGTTTACTTTCTCTATCTCAGGAAAAATTAACGCAATACTCACTAACACCGACAGTAATCAAGATTGCGGCAGTGGTGTTGTTTAATAGCAAAATGCTTGCATGCTGAACAGGTTCAAAGCAGTTCCGGAAACCGAAAAGTGTTCCAGCAATAGTGATTCAGTTGTCTGCTAGTAGTTTTCAAATGATTCGCAGAGCATAGTCACTAAATGTTAATACTCTATAAATGAGTTGCACTGCCAGGATAACCGGAACTGACAACGTGTAACAGACATTTCTTCCGGCGCAAATGGCGGACTCTGAACGGATGCATACACGAGTATTAATATAAAACCATGTTACGTCCTGCAATTTGTTAAAATACCGGTAACGCGAAGACTACTGAATTTCAAGGAAAAATGGGTAACTTGCTAGAATACTTGACCAAATTTTGTGGCTGGCCAAAGTGCGCGGCAGTGATTCTTCTTTCGGTACTAATTGTTATTCCAGCCACATTCTCGACTCCTATCCAAACTGTTGATGGGATTGCAAGCCCACTCCTTAATAAGACGAGGAGGCCAAGCTGGATCAGGGACTTAGGTAGGTGTTTCTAGCTCAATGCCCATTGCAAACGACGGAGACATTTATGTTGTAAGGTCAATACTGCTGGCGCATGGTTATTTACGTAGTCCAGTTTCTGAAGCAAGCCATTTTGAGTAACACTTGAGAATGGTGCAGGACCCGTGGAACGTGTTGTAGTAGATTTACTTTTGTTACGGGCAAACTTCGTGGCGACAGACAGACTATCACGTGCACGATCTATCATGATCAGACACACCTGCTATCACGATCTTCTTAACTGTGGAACCTTATTACGCTCCGTGCAAATAAAATTGATTATACGTCCAATAATGTTTATAGCGCTGTTGCGCAGCCACCCGGAGCATAAAAATTACCGGTGCTTCGACTGTTGTCGGTCTTGATACATTCCGGCCCAGCACTTATACTGTATATACGGAAATATGGCTTTGCTTATACAAACTATTTTTGTATTTTAGGAGAAAACGAAACCCTGCCAGGAACACTGAGTCTATGCCCCAATGTGTCGGACGCGAAAAGATTCAATGAAACGCAAGGCATACGACGTTACCTTGACCTTCGTGGCTTACGTGGGATGAACAGCACAAGCTTCAATGTACGGCCTGACTTTCTCATGCAGCTTTTTCGAACATTCCTGGAACTGAAGGAATCTATGAGTCAGCACCTGGTCACGCTGCTGATTAATAACCGAACAGTAACCGAGCTGCAAAATGCTCTTACCTACGCTTGGCTACCTAGTCTTGGTAAGATTGCCTCAATATTAGTGAATCCGGTAATATTTACAATGAACGTGTATGTTAGAAAACGCCAACTGGTCAGCGACGCGTGCTGAAATCCTGGAAATTGATAATGGAACCACATATTTTTCGTCAAACGGGTAACCATACGTTATGGCTTCATCTTTTTTCACATCAGAATAAATCGTTTGTTATTTCGTAGGTCTCCGTTGATGCAGATTCGCTATACGCTACCGGTGTCAACTATCTACTCGCCGGCGAATTTCTCCAAGGGTCTTCCGCGGTATCCCTGGTTATACGATCGCAACTCCACAAACCACGAGTTGACCCAAATTGTTCCACCATCTGTCAGCGATTTTATCCAGCGTTTGCAGAATAAGAGTTTGCCAGTATACGATGGTCCCGTTTTTTACACGACCTCCGTCCTGGAACATGTCTATCTAGCGAAAAACTCAACATACGGCTTTTTCGACACGGACCAGTTGAAGGCCGATATGATGGAGGTTGCCCAACAACGTGCGAAGGAGAGAATAAGTGGCTTTCCTTACCGGCAGAAGAACAGCCGTGTCCTCCAAAATGACATTCACTTTGTTCGTAGAACGGTCATCCAACTTCCGAAGGGAGGATACACTTATAAAATGGCGGCCGGTAAGCTGTAAATTTATTTGCCCGACTGAGGAAACCCAATAATACCAGCAATACGCGAGTGCAACCGGCAAAAACGCCCTCCCGGACATTTTAGTTGTGTCCCCGTAACTGCACAGAACTCTTTAATAGACAGAATTTGCCATATTGAAGTTGTGGTGCGGTAGTACTTGAAAACCTTAATAAAGCCGAACTTTGAGTTTCCGATACTTGTGCGCACAGTACCGTGGAAGTCTGGTGCTATGGGCACCGTCATCAGTTGCATCATTTAGTTTAAATAGCCACTACCTTATAACAAGAGCTACAATATAAGAAACCGTTTCTTCGTAGAAATCGGAAAAAATTTTGGATGCAGTGCAGCAAGCTTTTGCCATCGCAAATCCTGTAATAATGGATAATATCACGCTGACCATAACCCTGATTGAACGTGATGACAATTTCCAGACAACCACAGAGTAAGCTACACACACTCACACAGCAGACGTACCTACATATAGTATTTCCTAATTAATTTCGGTTTGCTGACGTTTCCCCGGCTATTTCAACAAGTACCACAAATCGTTGGTTATTAAATATAGTAATAATTGTGTCTGCTTTTCCTGCACAGGCGGGACGCTTCCAGGTTTAGTTTTGCCCTGTCGTATCCAGAGATGAAGAGCGGAGTGTACTGGAAACTGTGGCGCTATCCATCATATGATGAGCTAAACGCAGCTTTGCAAAGTGTTGCAGACTCTAAAGTTGCCCACACGTGGACAGTCGCGGTGCCTGCATCCGATGATCTGCTTTAGCCCGTCAATCCTAGCTACTTGTTCCGTGAGAATTTCGCCTTGGCGATAAAATATTATATCATCAATGAAAAAATACTTTTCTCAGAAGTCTGGTGACCTCTGGTTAGCCAGCATAGAATGCTTTGTTTAAGAGGGTCATAGAATGTTGTGGGCCTAGGTTATGTTATTAAAAATCTTTATACTTATGTAACTAACTCGGAAGTCTACTCGCATGCCACCTTAAAATCATTTTACAGGATTTTCAGTAAAACAGTTAACGTGGTCATCCAACAGACTAGTGAACTACTGTAAAATACACCGATCTGCCAAATTCTTGTGAAATATGTCAGTTCCCAGGGAATTTGCTCTGTGCACAGTAAAGGAACAACACGAAGTCCAGTCATTTCAATGTGTTGACGGTAATTTATAAAGGCTAATCAACGGCCAATACGTTCAAACCAGCGTTTGTCAATGGCCAGTAAGACAATTAAGCTTTTGACGACGATAAACACAAAGATAAAGTTAAAAAGCAAGAAAAATCAACCCGGGCAGCAAACGCTGTTGAGTTTCTGTTACGATCACCCGAAACACAATGCAGCCACTGGCTGTACGGTGATTTTCATCCGGTCATGCGGCGCGGGTGGTCTGAAAATAAAATAACCTGTTCTAGAATGAAGCTCAAGCTATACTGTCCATCCAGTCCAAAATACTTGCCGGAATGACTGATGCTAAGTTTATTTCGCTAGGATAGGGCAGGCATGAGCTGCATAATCACATGTTGTATATACATAACAGAATATTGCTCGTACAATGGTTATTAGCATTACACTTTTCAACGCTGATTAATGCACGGTAGACATTCTGGTTACCGCTCCTAGTTTTACGAAGGAGAATGAAATAAGAGAAACAATTTATTCGGGTATTTATGCAACTACTTAGTTACTCGCTCACTATGACGCTGCGGGTGGCAACTTCACGATAGAGCTTTGATTGTACTCTTAAATCTGATTAAATAATCCAACGGGTTGGGCCCAGTTTTGGCTGTTGTAGACTTGTTACACTTCTTGAGTTTGCAGTTGCAAACGCTGGCTATAAAACGCTGTAAATAAAAGGGAAGTTTATAACCACAGCGCAAGCACGATATCATACCTTCTCAATGTACAGAGTACAGTATATCTATCACACCGACCACGCGAAAACGGTTATTTCAACGTTAGCTTGCCGTATTTCCACTGGAATCCTTGCTAAGACAGTTAGACTTATACTGCCATGATTCACTTTCTGATTTTTTCGCTGTCCGTTATTCTTTGCCGATCAGAAAGCCATATCAAAGCTGTCAATCTCTTTGGAAATCCATATCCAAACGATACAAGATGGCACCCACTGACCCAACCATGTAAATGCGTATTATCTTTTCAGATTGGAAGGTGTTCTGGGTACCAATAATCATGATATGACTGCAACATATCCCACATTAATAAGACATATGTAACTGTTGCCACTGTTGGTTTTGTAAATACTCTCTTAAGGCCGCATTTTCCCTGCAGTAGCTGACCACGAGACGTTCACGGCGACGGTGAGTCTCTGCACAAACGGCTCGCAGTATGACGTCTTCGACTCCAACCGTACAAGCGATGACCGTGAAATAGGAAAGCACCGTGTTTACGCGTATTTCCTACGCGGCCATGAGCCCCTGGCATTCTATGCGCGACCCAAGCGGGACATCCCTGCAATCCAGTACAAAGAATTCCTAAACATTCCCCAGTTTGTCGGTTTCCATCGGGTTGCATTGGCACAAAATAACCTGAGCGTCCCGGAACTCGAAGAAGCTTTGGCATACGCCTGGTCGCCCAGCTTCGGTAATGTAGCCACATATTGCAACAGTTTAAAATACCTTCTCCTTCGGATGTTAGCAGGATGATAGATGGAAAGTAAAATTCACGGTAAATTTCTCAACGTTTGTCTTTTCCTCAGAAAATAGCAACTGGACCGCGAAGCGCGTCCAGATCGTGAAATTGGGCGACACATGGGATGATTTTACTATTGACGGGTAAACTGCCAATCGGCTGTCAAATTTTCTTGGTCAAGTTTACGATGCACGCAATGTTAGGGTGTAAATGTCATTATCATTTGAAGGTCACCTCTTATAACGGTCAACTACATTCTGCCGGTAAATAACCTTCCGTCTTCCGGAGATTACCCGGCTCAGAAGCAGTCGTATCTGGAGCTGCCGAAAATTGTACCTCCTTCTAACGAAATTTTCTGGCAACGGTTGAGAGAAAAGGGCTTAGCACCAATTAAGGGGAAAATTTTTATCAACAACGTCCCTTCTGATGCTTACCGGACATTTTTTTACCTCAGGGCGGGAAACACTTCGACGTCAGGCGTTTTTAATACTGACCAATTACAGGCTGATCTAAAGGCTATAGTTCTGCGAAACAGAATAGGGGCAGGGTGTGACGAGGATGGAACCAGCAATGTGCAACTGCATTTTGCCCCGTTTGAACCGGCCATAGCCATCAACAGATCTAATGGCGCATTTTCTGAGTAAGTTAACATTATTAGTAACTTATTAACGGATTGTTCGGAATTGCTTCGTGAATAAGAGTATTGTACTCGTATACGTTACTTACAGTGCTACTGGGTGTACATGATATACTTCGTACTGAATTTTTGCCTACTTAAATTATTTTGCTCTTGTAAAGCGGCAGCGGTCAGTAACAATAAATACCAATTTACGCGATTAGATGGTTCATTCCTTTGATTACTGTCATGCGTGTATTTTACCTTACCAGAATAAGCGTTCTGCCATTTTCCTTTGTGGCGACCGTGAAGCAAAAGATTTATCAAGAATTAAATATGGGTATAACCAACCTGGAAATCGATGGCCGGGACCGCTATTACATATACCACCCAGATCCACAAAGCCGACATTGGTACAACCTACCTTACCTGCCAAAATTTCCGCTGATGCGAATGTATTCCTTTCGAATGTACACGGATCGACCCATGAGCATCCAGCTGTTACCGGAACTGGAAGGACCAATGACAGCCTGCCTCAATGCCGACACGAATTTGAGAGGAAGAGGTAGCACAAATAATTATCTTTGCAACACAGATTAGGCAACTCAAATTAAAGCGTTGTCAGCTAACAGCGGTATTATTATCACAGGCTTCGTGCAGGTGCGTCTGTGGAATTTCGACCCGGAAGGGCTGACTATCAACTTTTTCGTCTACTTCAACACCGGCATATTTGAAGATAGGGCTATCCTGGATGGTCGACTGTCCTATGCGCAGACCATTTATTCTAAATTAGACGGGCTTATCCTAGATAAAAGGAGTTCCGATGGCGATTCTACCAGGAATGTCTACAGGCTGATGAGGGAGCCTCCGGCCGATCGGGCACTGCTTAGACATTCCGTTGTACGCCTTTGTCAACAAGAACTGGCGGTTATCCCACAATCATACTGTCCCGTGACGGAAGAGTTTATTCTGCCCATTGAGTCAGCGGAAGGGTCGGCTTCGCGCTTCGATGTAAAAGATAGGGATGGATATTATAGTTCGAAAGAAAAGATGCTGGTAAGTGGGTTACCGTCACAACCGCAGCTTATACATGTCGACGTGACGGAACAAAAAAGCAACGCCTATAGACTGGGTCCTTTCTACGGCGAAAAAGAATTTTCGTATTATATCTTAACACGATAGGTATCTAACCACCCTGAGCTTGTTTTATTTTGCACAGAATTCCGATCGCATTATGGCCGCAGTCCAACAAGCTTTTGCTGAAATGAATCCCTTAACGATGGACGACATCACACTGACCATCACTTTAAATGGACGTGACGACGACGTCCACACGGTTGACGGGTGAGTGCCCTATTACTACGGACGACTGAAATTCGCCATTGTTTTGCAACTGGCGATATTCGTAAGTTCGCCTATAGTCGTTACATTTCAAAATTTTCCGCTGTAGATTTGATAATTTGGTAGCAACGCACGATGTACCTACGAGCGCGCCACCTTGTATATCCTTGATCGTTTGCAGGAACGATGCATCGAGATTTAATTTCACCTTGTCGTATCCGAAAATGAACACCAGCGCTTACTGGAAGTTGTGGCGCTATCCAACACAACAGGTCTTCAACAAGTATCTCGACCGTGCAGGGGCCCGAATCGCCACCACATGGACATATTCGATGCCTTTGACCATGGACAATCAGCTTTAACTTCTGATGAACAGTTGTCATGGTGGATGAAATGTCTCGCCAGTACAGAGTACCATAGCAGTTCTGGTATTACTGTCGGCATAACTCTAAAATTAATGATGGATTTTATGTGCCCACTGTTACTTTCACTTTTGCTCACGTCGAGATCGATCAGTAAATTTAGCACTTTTACTCACGTACGTAAATCACGGAATCCGACCGGGCGATTGCTTTACTGCATGCGCACACTCACTGAACAGTTACACGATTACCGTATGCTACCGTGATCTATCTAATACTACAGCTTAAGTTTTACTTAAATCATGTTCGTCTATCACCACATTTCTTCCGAATTACTACTGGATTTTACCGATTATCACCAAAAACTCTAAATTGTGAGCTTATGATACTAACCGATCTGTGTGACTAAGTTGTCCCCTAGAGCTCAGTAAAGCTAAGGTAACAGTAAGCTCAGTAAAGATAAATCAGGACAGTTTGACCTGGGTTTTTTGAAGGCTGCGTTTTGTTTTGCTGTTTAACTAGCCATTTTAGCTTGTTTACTGCGCTCTCAGTCTAGACAGTCGTAGCTGTAATTAGAAGGATCATTATGGTTGTGCTGATTTATCTCTTTAACCTTGATTTAAAGCGGTTATATCCTGGTTGACGTTCCTTTCGTTATGAGGAAAAATTAAATAAGAGGAAATTTATTAAGCCTGTGGGTGATATATGCATTACTGAGACTTCCTTTATTGCACTGTTAAATCTGATAAGCAGTGCAAGCGTTGGGTCCAATTTGTGCTGGTAAACCTGTTTTTCCTCGTGCCTTAACACGGTGCAAAGTTGGCGACTCATTGTGTCGACAACAAAACGATTTTATACGGCAGATCACATCGACCAAGGGAAAACGACTTTGATCAAATTCTGCCTTCATTTTACACAGAGTAGCTGTTATAACGCGCTTTTACTGTAATCGAAGGCAGAAGCCTACAACACTACCACTGACGTCATGATTATCATTTTTCTAATTTTTATGTTATCTTCAACTTTCAGCCGATCGGAAAGCCATATCAGGGCTGTCAATACCATTGCAAATCCATATCCAGACGATACGAGATTGCACCGACTAACCGAACCATGTAAGTTCTTACTCCTCAAATTATTTTACGTAGGCGATGTATTGCAAGTCAATATACTGCCACGTCACTGACCGAAAACAGTTTCACATGCGTTAAATATTGTTTGCCATTAATTGGCTGAAAGCGATTTTTAATGGCGAAAATAGCGATTTTTAATGGCGAAAATAGCGATTTTAAATGGCTTTTTTTCTGCAGTAGGTGATCACGAAACCTACGCAGCGACAGTTAGTCTTTGCTCAAACGGTTCACGATATGACGTTTTCGACACCAACAACACAGGCGCTGACGACAGCGAAAATGTCCAAAAGCGGCGCGCTTATGCATTTTTTCTGCGCGGATATGAACCTCTGGCATTCTACTCACGACCCAAGCGGGACATCCCTGCAATGCAGTATAAAGAATTCCTTAACATTTCGAAGTTTATCGGTCTCCATCGGGTTGCCCTGCCACAAAATAACCTGAGCGTTCCGGAACTCGAAGAAGCACTAACATACGCCTGGTCACCCAGTTTCGGTAACTATAGCAATAAACCGTGATTTCGATGATTTTCGAAAGTCCAATGTTTTTGAATGGCATTAGATTTTTAACCTCAAAGTAGTATTCACCGCTTTGTGATTTTACCAGAAAAAAGCAATTTGACTGCGAAACGCGTTCAAATCGTAAAACTGGGGGATACGTGGGATGATTTTACTAGCACCGGGTAAAGCTCTCCAAGCCGCTCGTTTAAATTTGGGTTATGCGAGGGTATTGTGCAAATGTTGATGTTATTGAAGGTCACCTGTTGTGTCAGTCATCTATATTCTGCCGGCGAATAAGCTTCCTTCACCCGGTGATTACACGCCTAGATTCAAACCTACGCAGAAGCTATCGTTCCTGGAGCTGCCAAAAATTTCCCCTCCTTCCGCCGAAACTTTCTGGCAGCGGCTGGGGGAAAAAGGCTTAACACCCGCCACTGGGAAAGTCTTCACTAATGCCGCCCCTTATCATACCTCCGCGACAACATATTATCTTGCGGCGGGAAACAGTTCGACATCCGGGGATTTTGATACTGATCAGTTGCAATCTGATCAAAAGGCTATAATCCTGCGAAATAGAGTGGAGCAAAATTGTGGCGAGGACGGAACCAGCAATGCACAACTGCATTTTGCCCCATTTGAACCAGCGATAGCCATCAACAGATCAAATGGCGCATTTTCGGAGTACGTTCATAACTTCGTAGTATTACTAACGAAAGGGTCCTGAGATTTGCGCCTAGTGTAGATTAATTACTCGCCGGTTATTGTACACTTTGAAGCAAGCATTGCTCTGTAATCTCATTTATTGTATACCCTTTCGGGAAATGTAAAGGCTGACTTCATATAAACTACAGCAGTCTTTGACAACCGAGCGGTCTTTTTCTTGGATTATTGTTGTGCGTTATTTTTGCCAGAATAAGTGTTCTGCCGTTTTCTTTCGTGGCGACCGTCAAGCAAAGGATATATCAAGAAACAATGGGCGTATCCAACTTGGAAGCAGATGGCGCGGGCCGCTACTACAGATACGACCCAGATGCCCAAAGCCGAAAGGGGAATCGTATCCCCTACCTGCCAGAATTCCCCATCATGCGAGCCCATTCCTTCCGAATGTATACGAATCTGCCGATTAGCATCCAGTTGCTACCAGAACTGGAAACATTAATGACAGACCGTCTCAATGCCGACACTGATTTAAAAGGAAAAGGTAGAGCAAAAAAATATGAATCCAACGTCACTGATTTTCTGCTGCAAATTGAACATTTAGCTGCAATAGCTATGTAATGCCTACTGACTTACAGTATTTTAACAGGATCCGTGCAAGTGCGTCTCTGGAACTTCGACCCGGAAGGGCTAGCTGTCAACTTCTTCGTCTACTTCAACACCGGCATATTTGAGGAGAAAGCCGTTCTCGATGGTCGGCTTTCCTACGCACAGACCATATACTCTAAGCTAGAAGGGCTTACCTTAGACAAAAGGCAATCGGATGGCGATTTCGTCGGGAATGTTTTTAAGCTCATCCGGGAGGATCCGACAGATCGCGTACTGCTAAGAGATATGAAAAAATATCTTTGTCAAACTAGCGTTGCTGTTATTCCACAGCCGTACTGCCCGGTAAGAGCAGAGTTTATTTTGCCCGTTGAACTTATGGAACCGACGTCTTCCCGCTACGACGTAGTTGTAAAGGAAGGTTATTACACATCGAAAGAAAAAATGTTGGTGAGTGAAAAGACTTAACACAAATTTATACCTGCTAACATGAACCTGAACTTCAAGAGAGTAGCGTGTAGAAGCTTCATGTTTGTTAGCTGAAAAACATGACTGTTCTTCTATCGGCTATCCCATATCGTAATATCTTATTCCGCAACCCAAGATTTGTTCTCAAGTGTTTTAAGGGGATCTGTAACAACCATTTACGGATTAATCACTAAGACTGTCTTACCACACTCAGTTTGATTTACTGTACACAGAATACCGATCGCGTTATGGCCGCTGTCCAACAAGCTTTTGCCGAAGCCAACCCCATAACGATAGATGACATCACACTGACCATCACTTTAAATGGACGCGACGACGACGTCCACACGGTTGAGGGGTGAGTAAAAGACCGACTTTATTATTGTGCACTAAAGACGTGACCATTGTTTTGCGGCTGGCGATGATTTCACTTGTATTTATCATATTGCAAGAACTTTCCGCCATAGATTTGGTATTTTTTGTGACTATCTCGTATATCCTGGCTCTTCTACAGGGACGATGTATCGCGGTTCAATTTCACCTTATCGTATCCAAAAATGAACACCGGTGATTACTGGAAGCTGTTTCGCTATCCAGCACAAGAGGTCCTCAACAAGTATCTGGATCGTGTAGGAGCTCGAATCGCCACAACTTGGACATACTCGATGCCTTTGACCGTTGACTTTCAGCTGTAATTTTCATGAGAACGAAGAGCAGTCGTGGGAATGAAATGGCGCGCAATAACAAGTGTTATGATGCAGTAATAAGTGATAACTGATAGTGAATAAAGAAAACTGTGCACTGGTATTTTACTAAACTTTAAATAAAGCCTATGCCGACTGTTAACAATAACACGGATATAAAAGTGGGATAAATCTGAGATTGGGTGAACTCCTATCATAAAATTCAGTTGTGTTGTTTAAAAGCAAGGCACCTTATCGTTAGATAAACGTTATGAATATTGCATTTTATACTGTGTGTTTAATGTAGGTATCTGTCTTTAATGCTTTACAGGTCTGTACTGTATTTTGTATTTATACTTCCCACTCCCAGAAATAGTGAGTTGGGCGTAACAACAGTGACTGAAAGATTAATTTTAATTGTAGGTATATGATACTGTAGATCATTGAAGTATTTGTACTTATCACGCAAACTGACCTGACGCAGTAATTTTAGCATTTGATGCAAACTGGATCCGTGAAAGTTTCTGAGGGCACAGAAAAATGCAAAGAAAACGGTATTACCGTTTTCTTTGCATTTTTCTTTACCGTTCACTTTGTATCCATTAATGGATACAAAGTGAACTACCGGAACTTTAATAAGTATCATTATGCGAGTACAAACTATGTATCAAAGAAAACGGCATTTATAACAGAAAAACTAGTGTAATTAGTACTCTGTAAAGTGAACTAGTGTAACTATTGACATAACAAAAAATCGCCAATCGTGCGCTAACCAACAAAGCAATTAGGTAATAGGTAGACAATCATATTATTTCATAATTTTTATTAGGTGAAGGCTCCGCATACCACCTTTATACCACCGTTGGCTCCTAGTACCACCTTTCATACCACCTTTGGCTCCTAATACCACCTTTTGCACACCACTTTTGACTCCGCATACCACCATTTAATTTTTAAAATTTTTAGAAGTGAATTTTTTAACATCAAGAAACAAGATGATAATCTTTCCGTTTACCGGCCGGATAAAGACGGCAACTTGAAGGCATTCAGTATCGCAACCGACGCTATGGAAAAACAGTACGAACACACACGGGAAATGTTTATGCGTACTGTTTGTATGGAAGCGTGTGCCCGTAATATCCGTACATAACGTTACGTTGCGAACATCGTACACCAAACACGGTATCCGAACATGGCTAGTGAAGTAATTTGAAAAGACCAGGATTTAACCATTCGGTTTTACCAGATGTCCTTATTAATTCATAATAATACCGCTGCAAGAAAAATTAAATGGTGGTATGCGGAGTCAAAAGTGGTGTGCAAAAGGTGGTACTAGGAGCCAACGGTGGTAAAAGGTGGTATGCGGAGCCTTCACCTTTTTATTATCGAAGCACGAACCCTCTGATTTAGACGGATTGCGTAGTATAACGTGTTTCAGTTGTATCTTCATTGGCACGAATCGCTATCTTTAGGAGTCCATTGCGCGATCGCCGGTGGGTTGTCGTTGGGAATCGTCGTCATATTTCCCTACAAAGGTCATTATAATTCCCGCACCCATATAAGCCTTTCATAAAATTTACGTACGGATGGGCGCTAACCTGCACGTCACAAATGCCCAGATAGCTGCCACTTTTCGTGTAGAATTCTTGCAGTAGTCGGACGTCCTCATCGTTCCACATGTGACTGCTGAAGTACTTTTGTACTTGTGGTTGTAGTTGCTGGACCATGAAGCGACGTACTGCAGGTAAATCACTACTTCCAATCAGCAGGATGCTAGCCACTTCCGGCGTTAGTTTAGGCCGGAAGATCTTACTGCGGGTATATATCAGGAAGCAAAATGGTCATTTCATCTAGCACGCACAGATCTACGATAAAAGTACCGGTTTTTTCGTGGTTGCGACAGTATTGCCAAGTAACCCGGTACACGGAATTGCGTTCCGCAAGTCTGCAGTGCGGACTTGGGGTAATAGTTGATGAACGCTTGGCATGTTTCTCCCGCAAAGTTTTCTCCGCCCTAAACCGGGATATAGCCTGTGGAAAATATTGTTCCGTTGTTGTCTAAGAACTTAACGTACAAACACTGGTTGAATGTCCTTTTGCGTGGTAAAATTGCACTCCACGACGAGCCGATCACCCTAAATAAAATTAATGGAACAAACATTATGCAGTCACGGTGAGATGTTGGTCTTTCTAGGCGCACTCAATAAACACAAGTCCGATGATGTGCATAATGTCACTTGTATAAGCGCGCGCACCGATCGTTACCGGAAGAAATTTCCTAAACGGAGTAACAGGTCGCATAGTTTGAAGAATGACATCATAATTAGAAACGGCATCGATGATCGGCAGTTCTCTGGAGCCTCGGAAGTGCCGTATAACGCCACTCAAACCTAGAAAACAATACCGATCACAACATTGAATAGTAATGACAATTAGTAACTAATTGCCACTTATATAAAGGCTACCTGCATTCCGCTACCGGCATGCTTTGCCTACCTCGTGTATGCATGTGAAAAACACTGGAGAAGATTGTAATGCCGTCTGTAGGAAGCTGTAATCATCACATTGATCATTCACAAAACCGCAAAACGCTTCCAGATAATATTATACGCACCACATGGGTACAGAAACTGGAGCAATGTGCTTGCACCGTGAAGGCTTTTTGTCCTGGAGGCAAGGTCATAGTAACTGCTCCAAAGATAAAATAGAATTAGAAATTAATTAAATACCATTTAAACAGAAGAGAGCTTCATTTACCCGTAGTGAAATAAAATGAGCTCATTCGTTAATGTCCAACTTGCTGTTATTTTACTGAGTTTATTTAATAAATGTAGCATTTCATATTATGTGATAGATAATCCGAAGACACGGATAAAGGAAAATTATTTTCGTACAATTTTCTTAAGTACTCACAATCCATACCAGTCACCCCGGCCATCAGTGTGCCCATGTCGTATTGTTGCAGTTGTTCGCTCAAGTGATATATTATTCCGGAGTCATCCGCAAACGCTGTAATATAACAAAAAGCACCTCTTGTTCCACATTCGGCGAAGAAATAATAACATAGAACGTACAGCGGCGCTCGGGATTATTGTAGTGCACCTGTAAGAGTAGGTACTTCCCCGACATTTCCGGTTCCCATGGTTGACCGGTCACTCTGGGATAGGAAGTGATGCTCTGAATTGTAACAGGGGCATTTAAAACGAACAAAAATTCAAATTACCAATAGAAAGTCAAAGAACGCTGAAACTGGTAAAGCGATGTAAATACGACGGTCAGGCTTTAGCATCGCATATCGGCAAATCATTAGCATTAAAACTAATGCGGTTGATCTAAGAGAAACTGCGTACCGCTTGGCCCATGACCCATGCCACCGTTATGACGGGGCAGTACTTCAAAATGAACGACACACCATCCGTGGGATTGCAACGAAATTTGCCCTTGATTAATTCCGGCGCATACTGAGGAATGTCATTACATGCATACACCAGTATCTGGCGAATATTTTCGGCATTTTGCTTGTCGATGTCGGGTTGGGTCTGCATGATCATGGCAGCAATAATCATGTTATGAAAAGTACACTTAATTTATCGAGATTATTGCATAACACAGCGCATAACATACTGCAACAGCGTGATACTTTTTCTCCAGTTTCGGCACCGTATGTAGCGCGCACCAGGACACCGAGTCCGTATCGTTCGTCACAACGACCTGCAGAAAAGTATTTTTTCTTTTAGTCACAATATCTGGGACGCGTGGCAGCAATCGAGATGCGTACCATCCTGTGTAAAGCAAAGCTTTAAAAGCCCAGTAAACTAAGTTGTATATTTATTGTGAAAACTCGTGCTCAAGATAGCCAAACGCTTGCAAACCGCACCAAGACACTATCCGCGCATCGTTTTTTCGTAGACGCATTTTACAATGTGTCTTACATAGCAAGCTTACGCAAGTATCACTCGATTGGTGTTAGATATTGCAGCCGGTACCTAACTCACATTTCCAATGCTGAAGAGCATCTTTTTGGTCTCTTCGCTGTGAAGCTTGGTAGCTGTTTCATGATCTGCTTGCCGATCGCCCTCGTCGGCTTTACTTTGTGCAACAAAATTAATGCTGGCCATACCACGGAAAGTGTGGTAAGGCACAAGCGACGTAGGACTTGTCAGCGGCTGGCTGTGTAGACTGTATATAACATACTGCGCAACATCCTGTACAGAAGGCGAAATATGCAATATTTACACTTTTACAGCAATGGTGACCGACCTACAACTGTATCACAAAATTACCCGAAAGGACCGGTCAGCCTCGTCACACGTTATCAACCAACGCGCTGCTCGGATACTCGTGTATGTTCCATTTTTGTATCCAGAGATTTTCTGCCAGTCTTGTTGGGCATCCAAACTTAAATTCACCGCCATTTGGGCCGGGTTGGTTTGTAAATAACGGTCCTAAATGCAACACCTTGGCAGTCTGAAACTGGTGTCACCTGCAACTTTAAGTTTGGTTATCTTTACTTGAACAATAACTTCCAAAGTCAAATCATCGACGTATCCAAACAGCACATCCGATTGGTCCATGCCGCCGTCGGGTGACAGTCCCATGGCCAGCCAGCCGTGCGTCGGATATGACAGTTGCACTTCAATGTGTGACTCGTTCGTGCCCCAGCTGATCTCCAACGGTTGGTCGGGGGCGGGGCCTTGGAACCGGCGGACACTGGATAGCTCAATGCTGTGGTTACCATAAAGCAGCAAGAGGAACACCCAACAAGATAACGTTCCGCTTTGCATATTTGTACATACAAATTTTTGCCTGCAACCCAAAAACAGTAGCAGCAGCGGTGGTGATGAAGAAAATATTGCTGAAATAAAACTGAAATGCATGTGAGCCATCCGTTCTTTCACGTGCGCTAAATAAAATTGGTTTAATTGTAATGCCTGAGGATAAAAATTTGGTAAATCAATGCCTGAGCTTACGGCCACGCGTTGTTGTTGCCTTGGTTGGTGTGCACCATGTTCGTAACTTACATAAGCCCTTTTGTGCTAATTAAACGTTGTTATCTAAAAGGCGCGCAAATGCAGCTGTCATACAAATAATTATTATGAGTACTGTCAGATGAAAATCGTGCAATAATCCATTACGCCAGACAATCTACTCGTACGTTGGGCTTTTATTCTTTTGGGATCCCATTCAGTCAAAAATTTTTTAATGACCTTAATTTCTTAGAGAATGTTATCGGTTCGTTGTGGAAGAAACTAGACTAAAAATTACCGCCGCTCAGTTAAGCCCAACGAGTCTATAAATCAACTGTTCGCTTAAATTTGGAAAATTTATTATAATACGTACAGTTGCAGCGGTAAAACTAGACAAATTCTCAAGTTCATGGTTTATCTCAGCCTGCAGCTGTAATAACCTTAACGCACAAAAAACTAGAGTAAAACTACAATGTTTTCATTGGTACACGGATGTTAGGTTATTAGCGTAAAAAAGGTCACAAGAATACTTACACAACGACCAAGCAAAAAATATTTTTAATTAATATTTTGCGAAAGCGCGTACTTGAAGAAAGTTTTTTGATGAGTTTCGCTCTTTTTATTTAACATCTTGCAATGATCTGCGAAGGTTTTCAAAGAGATTTATGGAAAGTAGTTGAAGAACAGTCAGTCCGGAAGGAGCGCTTTTCACAAAAGAAGTTAGAGATCTGAAAAATAGTTATGCCGCAAGCAGCCATCACTGTCTCCACTAAAATTGCATCACAGACCACTTGGTTGTTCACATCTTCCGCAAATGTGACATGGAAAATGATTTATCCGCACTTATAAGAAAATATCGCAGCATTTGGGAACCACTAGGGTAGGCAGTTAATTATGGTCTTCCACATGGATTGCTACCCTTCAGAAGTGATTACGTTATAATGAGTTTGAAGCTGTTAACTGATTAAACACTGTATGTGGCAAGCGCATTCGCTGTATTAATGTATGCAACCAGATGTTCGGCGTGGTAACTCACGCATAATAGTATAATACGGGTAGAAAGATGTTTGAAAAGTAGAAGGTCAAAAAGTTGCAGGCTCTTAAAAATGCAGGTCACGCCCAAAACTTTTGCAGTTATGAGTTATGACTAAGTAACTCAAGAGTTTATTCCGTGGACCATTCAAAGGCCATCTGTCTTACAGGACATGGTGCATTTTGACTACAGAGGAACAGCTTAAACTGGGAAACAGAATGATATAGGTAAGTTCTCTCGTTCCCCGTGTATACTGGAGTTTTAGCAATCTTTTTTACTTTATTCTGACTACTAAGCATTTGAAGCAATTGACAATACGCACCATAACAATAGCACCATGTTTGTCTGACCAATGATTTTGATGGCATCTATGCCGCTGATTCAATCCGAAAGGCACATCAAAGCTGTAAATTCCATTGTACATCCATACGCAAATGATACGAGAATGTACCGACTAAGCCAACCAGGTGCGTATCATGTATTCTTTCGATTGAGCGTTATAATTATCTGATGCCGTTATTCAGTTATGTCTTATTCGTATCATGCACACAACAGTTTTTAAATAAAATTTAAGTCTTAAGTTCGTTTTTTTCTTACAGTACTTTGTAGGTGTCAGTGAAACATTTGAAGCAACGATGAGTCTCTGCTCAAACATCATACAAGATGGCACTGACAGCACGACCTTGGAAATATTTCGGCGTATGGAAGCTTTCATTCTGCGCGGATACGAATCGATTGCGTTTTACGCGCGCTTTAAGCGTGATCTCCTGATAACGAACTTCAGAAAGTTCTTAAATATCCCAAAATATATCGGCATGCACCGGATCGCATTACCTCAAACGAACCTTAGCGTTGCGGCGTTGGAAGAAGCTCTGACGTACGCTTGGTCACCCAGTTTCGGTAAATTAATTTTCATAATGCAGCAGTAAAATGTGCATGCGCTCTTCACTCCGCTGCAATTAGCACCACCAAATAAAATACGGGACAACGGTGCTCTTCGTATTCCTACCCGAAAGAAGTAACTGGACTGCGAAGCGCGTTAAAATCATAAAGCTGGGAGACACATGGGATTTTTCCTCTAGCAATGGGTAAATTGCAAATCGGCACTTATTATTATCACATCAACAGATTCAACTGGTTCCATTACCATAAACATTTTGCTGTAATTTGAAGGTCACCTCTAACATCAGTTGTGTACATTCTGCCTGTGGATAATCTACCGCTAAACAACGATGTTAGACCCCTGGCTCAGAACGTTTCTTCCCTCGCCCTGCCAAAAATCATACCTCCTTCCACCAAAATGTTCTGGCAGCGGCTAGGAGAAAAAAGCTTAGATCCGCCCACTGGAAAAATCTTTCGTAACGCCGCCCCTTATCGAACTCAGTATTCCACGTACTATCTATCGGAGAACAGTTCAGCGACCGTGCATTTTGATATTGACCAATTGCACTCTGATCTGAACGCGTTGATTGTGCAAGGTAGAAAGCGAGAGAACTGCGGCGAGGATGGAATCAATGACGTCCAGCCACATTTTGCAAGATTTGAACCGGGGCAATAGTCACCAACCGATCTGCTGGCAGCTTTTCTGAGTAAGCTATTAACTGTAAGTAGTACATTGGGCTCCTACTGTCAGCATACATTGAGTTGGTTCGCGGTTCAATTTGAAAATACAGTATTTAGGTAGTACATTTATTAGAAAGCTCGGTCAGTACTTAAGTAATTGCTAATCAGTAGCCTTTACATTTATTCTTGTTGCTTCTGGCAAGATATCAGTGTTTATTCCATTAGAATTAGTGTTCTGCCGTTTTCCTTCGTGGCGACCGTGAAGGGCAAAATGTACGTCGATAGACTGGACGAATCAAATCTGGAAAATTACACTAACCGATACTATCAGTTCCAACCGGACCCGAGTCTTCGCAGTCGAGCACGATCCCGTATCCCGTATCTGCCGGAATACCCAATGAATCGACTTTATTCCTTTCGAATGTACCTGGACCGCCCGATGAGTATCCAGCTGTTACCAGAGCTGGAAAAGTTGATGACAGAGCGTCTCAACGACAAAACCCTCATGGGAAAAGGTACATGAATATATATATTATGTTATGTTATTTAAACTGTGCACTGTGCAGTAACTCCGCAAACTCCAACACTGGCTGTCTGACCGGCGCACTATTACCACAAGAAAAGTGCAGGTGCGTCTTTGGAACTTCGATCCGGATGGGTTGACCATTAACTTTTTTGTTTTTACTTCACTTACCGCCCATGAGAAGAGATGTTGGTTCTCGATGGTCGTTTGTCGTACGCGCAGGCCATATTATAGCGACTGTGGTTAAATTCAAATAATTAGAACTTTATTTGATTGGTCAGTCTGTGTGGATTGATGAGTCACAGCTGGCTAGTGTGTTAACGGTGTTTAACGGTGTGATGTGAAATGGGAAATTGGACGCTGATCAGTCGGTGATGGAGTAACTTCCTAAATTTGAATAAATTGGTCCATGGACATTCTGTCGTTCGTTCGGTCGAAATAACCTCTCGTTCTTCCACCTAATCACGCAGCATTCTTCCCGGAAAACAGTAAGACCATTTCCTGTTCAAAAAACTTCCTAATTGCGAACAATTAGACCACCAACATCGGTCCTTTTAGCGGCGTGGCGCGGCGTGTAGCCAACCCACAGTAAACGGGAGCACACCGTCAGCCTTCCGTTGTATGGCGCTTCCTGACTCAAGGGATCGCAAAGAGCCCCCATCAGCTCCTAACGTAGAAGAACAGTGGAAAGTAGTGCAGAATCGTGGTGCGAAGCGTATGCGAGCTGGAATAGCGGACGTAGAGCGAAGTGCATCAGAGCATCAAGAGTACCTCGGATCCGAAGCCATAGCGTACAGAATCTCGTGGTCGGATTACAAGTGGTGGAGACAGCAGGAGCAGACACGTAAGGGTAAGCACCATTATCCCAAAGTTTATAATCGTAGAGATTGTGAGGTTTTGAGGCAGATTTTATGTGTGAAAACCGACGCATTGGAAAGACATTTTACTCGTATTGAGGACTGACGTTTTAACGTAGTGCAGTATCCTGTGTGTGTCCATACTCGTATGGTTTAATTCTGATACAATCGTATGAAGTTTTATGACAATTTCTGGTTTGAATTCGTATGAAATCCATCTGAAAATTTTGAGAACGGCCGTGTTTTATGGACGATTTGTAGAAGAGCAGAATTTTCGTTTCTCGTGAGGATTTTCCGAAACGTGCCTAGACGTGCAAGATTTGCATGTAAGCTTGAGATTGTAAATCGTGATAAGTGAGCGTCGGCATGTCGACCACTGAACCGACAGCGCGAGGCAGCGCCGATAGAACAAAAGACGAGGAACTGGAAGCAGAGCGCAGACAGATCGTAGAGTTGTTGACTCAAGTGAAAAGGGCGAAAGTTAACGAAATTGCCAGTAAAATTAATGCAGTATTAAAAGTAACGATGAATAATAATGAAGCTGTGGAGCATATTGCCAATTACTGTATTCAGACTGGAATTTCGTATGAAGATCTAAAGACAACTGCAGACATTAAGGAATCGGATTATTGGCGTAGAAGTAAAAAGCCTGAAGAAGCAGGAAACATACTGGGCACTGAACCTACAAGTGATAATGTGCAGTCAGAGTGTGATCGTATTGCGAATCAACTTAGAAGTAATTTAGCGGACGCAGATCTGGCAGCAGTTTCGAAACTACTTAAAATTAAAGATGCAGAGATAGCAGAAAATTTTAGTGATTTGCAAAATCGTTTAATACGATTGGAAAGAGAAAATCTGCACTTGAGAAATCGGACTATCAACGTAGAAGATGAAGAAAC